ACGTGAATGTTCAGCTTTTTCTAATTCTGTCCAAGCACTTGATAAATCATGTAATCCAAGTCCTTCTGGTGGAATATATGACTTTCGACGACCGGCATTTCTTTTTGTTTGAATGGCAAAGAAAAGAGCTTCCAACTTTAAATTTTGAGAAATTTTTTGGATTATTTAGAAGGATTATGTTAATAATATTATTTTTCAACTATTATTAAACAAAACAAACTTCTCCTTTCTCCTTATATTTTGGAGGTTTTTCTTCTTTTCTAAAACAACTAAATGTTGCCAGTAATTCCCGTAAAGAAATTAATAAATTAGGAAAATGTCTGTCAGCCAATTCATTTATTTTTTGATGTATCCAACAAAGTAAATCAGCAGCTAATTGTTCATAATCTTCTTGCAAACAATCTAATTTAACTAATTCCCCAACAACTTTAGCCACTCTTCTAGCCCCAGTCAATTCACTTTTTTCTTTAGCAAAACAATGATAGAAAAGGGAAACATAAGTTATTATGCTTTTCTCATCTGGACAAGAAACATTTACATCTTCAGCATCAAGTAAACGTGCAATGTCAAGTTTACGTTCTGCTACGTCAAATGCCATATTTAAATTAGCTGGAATTTAAAAAAGGGTTGGTGGTTAATTTAGGAAAATATTTTCTTCTAATGTCAAAGCTTTTATTTAAAAATGAGTCAAAAAAATTTTTTTTAATATTTAAAAATAAAGGTATGTGAGTCAATGACATTTTTAGTTAAAATTATTTATTTTCCATGTCAATTTTACAATATTGACAAAAATAATAAATTTAAAAAATATTCTTCTAATTTTAAAATAATTTAATCAATAAAAAGATAACAAAAATATATGTATTTTTGTTAAATTTTATTTTTGAATATTTTTATGATAAAGCAAACATTTATTTTTAAAAATTAAACTCAATTCCCTTTAAATTTTTGGGAAAATCGTTAAGAAACATGACAGAAGGAAACATGACAGAAGTTAAGAAACATGACCTACATAAAGGATCTTGTGTATTAAGTCCATCAAAATTAATTAATTCAGGATGATGTGAATGAATTAAAGCACAAAAGGCCAATCCCGAACGCCAAGAAGAAGAAAAATTGTCGATTCGAACATTTGGATATCCAGCTGTTTTTCTTTGGCACCAAAGCAGCAAAGCTTCTTTTGCGTGTTTTCTTTCCCCCGATTCTTTTGCCTCAATTTCTATATTTTCTATTGTAAAACGTAAAATTATTGTCCAAATAAGGCCAAGAATTAAATGTTCATTTCCATCTGCTATATCTTCTGCCCCAATATTTTCTAACTTAAATTATTATTAAAGGAATGATGATTTTATTAGTAGGCAAAGAAATGCAATTTTAATTAGGTTTTGACCCCGAACGCTCGAGGGCGGGTATGTCGGGGTCGAGGTTTTCACATTGTTTCGGAGCGGGGTTCGGGTCGGGGATAAATGTGAAAAAATCGTTCGGGAACGGGTACGGGATCGGGGTACAAATTTAACTTTAATATAAATCTTTATAATTTTGTAAATTTTTCTTGTTTATTTCAATTAATCAAAAAATTTCCTATTTTTAAATTTAAAAAAATCAAATTCCCTTTTTTATAAAAATTCCTTTTATTAAATTTCATTTAGGCATTTTTTTCATAAAACTTAGAGCATTTACTACTTCCCTTTTATTTTTTAATTATTAAAAACTTTCTCTCCCTTACTTGTATTTTCTTTTGTTTAAGAAATTCCAAACTTTTATTTATATTTTCAATTTTTTGTACACGCATTCTTCCACGATTAGGCTTTCCAAGACTTTCTCCACTTATAATTTCCAAAAATTTTAATAACATTATACCATCCCCCAAATCTGCAAAAAGGTCTTGGACTTCCATACGAGCCTTTTTAAAAAAATTAAAAGTTAGTTAAAATTATTTGGAATTAATATTTCTTCCAAAAAAGGAAGAAGTAAACAAATATTTTTAAAAATTAATTAACATACTCTACTTAAATAAGTATTACACCATTTTGTAAAAGTCTTCTTTTGTATATCCCTCCTTTCATCTTTTAATTGTTTAATTCTATTTCTTTCAAAATACAAAGTTTCATCTTGCAATAAATCTTCTTCCATAATTATATTTTGATTTAATAAATTATTTGTTGGTTTTGATTGTTGTGAATGTGAGGAAGATGAGGATGAGGAATATGGGGATATTGTACGTGACATTTTTTTAAAATTCTAGATAAAATATATTTTTAGAAGGAAACAACATAAATTATTTTTTAATTAAAATAAATTTTTAAATAATTAATTAAATAAATTTCTTCAAAACAAAATTATTTTAAAAACTAAAAACAAGGTCACGTTATTTGCTTTTAAAATATTAAGAAAAGAAGGAGATTTAATTAAATTAATGTACAAATTAAGAGAAAAGAACAAGAAATTGTTTTGAAAAAAGTTTTGGTAAATTTTTGTATGTAGAGAAGAAAGATTTAATAAAAAAAATAAAAATTAAAAGGAAAATAATTTAGACATTATTAAAAAGAATAATTGAAAATATTTACATATTTTATATTAAATTTTAAAATAAATTTGAATGTATTTTAACTCTAAAATTGTTGTTGTCTACATTCTTTTTAAGTCATCGATTAAATTTAAAATAAACATATAAAATTTAAATTGATTTTTGAAAAATTAAAAAGAAAAAATATTTTTTTAATTTAAATATTTTTAAACAACTTTTGGAATTCCCGGCTAATAATTAATTAATTTAAAAATTAATTACAAATAAATTTATTATTCAAAGAGATCTCTTTTAATTTTTTGTATATCCTTTGTAAATCCAAATCTCCTCACTTTAATACATAACAGATTTTTAAAAATAAAATAACCAGATGTGACCAAAATGTTTTTAAATATATTTTTGGTCTGTCTGGCAAAATATCCAGAGAGGAAATGATGAATAATATTTATTTATGTAGATAAATGAATGAGAAAAAATAATTTAAAATAATGTAAGCTCTTATAACGTTAGCCCTCCCTCTCCAATAAGGTTGTTGGATAATTGGAAATCTTCGGATATCTCCAATATCCGAACCGAAAATTTCCGGATTATCCTGTCTTTTTTAGCATCTGGATATCCGGATCCGACAACTTTACTATCCAATTACTTCCCTTCTAACGTCAGCAAAATTCGGCCCGAGGAGTAACGTTATAAAAGGGTTCGAGGTATTAAAATTCAGAAAAACAATTAAATATTAAATTAAATTTTTATTTCAAATTTAGTAAAAAACATTTTAATTTAATTAATTCAAAAAATAATTTTTTCTTCACAAATAATTATTACATCTTTTGGAATTTAGATTTATATTTTGGATAAAATAAAAAGAGGTGTTTGAAAGGAAGAATTTTACTTTATATATTTTATAGAAAGGGTCAAGGCCGTCCTCTTCTTCTTCCAATGTTTTGAAGGAAAGGAAGAACACATTTTCTTCTTTTATTTTTATTTGAAGCGCGCAATTTTTGTGCTTTTCCCCTTTAGTGTTCCCTTATCTCCGTATTCAAATCGCTCGCGCCAGCGCTTTTGGGGAAGGGTATACAAGTAGAGATTGATGGGAAAAAATTGAAATATGTAAAAAGAGAGGAGAGTAAAAACTGTCATTTTAAAGTTAAAATTTAGAGAGAAAAATGTTTAAATTGGATTTGTTTTGTTTTGATTTTTTTTGACTTCTAAAAAATTTTTTTATTAATTTTTTTCAAAATAAAATTAAATTCTCCAATCAAAAGAATTATGAAAAAGATAAGGAAAAGAATGGTTGGAAGAAAAAAAAGTTAACAAATTATTTTTAATAAAAGATAAAAAAATAATTTAAAAAAATGTGATTTGAAAATTAAAAAAAAATATTTCTTCAACTAAAAAAATTTTAAAAGCAAAAAAGTGTAAAAAATGTAAAACATACATATTATTTTCAATAAAAAATGGATAGACAAAAAATAAAAAGAAGTTAGGGTTAAATGGACAAATGATGAATTTTAAAAAATAATATTTTAATATCCAGTCAAGATTTCCCTTTTTTCTCAATTTTTTATTTTTTTGTGTCCACATCTCGATCGATTTAAGTAAAATTTTTGTAAATGGAAAAATAGTCAAGTAGTGTGGAAAAGAATGTTTATAAAAGGGGGGAATGAAGACTGCTGTTGGTGAGGAGAGGAAGAGGAAATGGACTGCTGTGAATGGCTTTAGTTTTTTGTAAACAGTTAAAAATGGGACAAATTTGGTAAAATCAACATTTTTATTAAATATAAAATATTTAGTATTAATTGTAATCGAAAGTTAATAAAAAAATAATTAATATTTTCTATTAAACTAATCCTTTAAAATTCTTCTAAACATAAATTTTATCTTATTGAATAAAAAATTTAAAAAAATGTTAAAAATGAGTAAAGGAGATTAGTCGATTAATTATTTGTTTGTACTTTTATCAATTTTAACAATTATTGGGCTATCGCCTTATCTGACTTCATTCTACTTTCGGATTTAAACTCAAATTAGGTCCATGACCGTGTCCTTCGAGCCCCGATATAAATTTTGCTCTCTAAACTTTTGAAATTTAAAATTTATTTTAGTCCTATTTATTTCAGTCCAGTAACCCAAAAATAAGTTTTTATTTTTAAAATATTAATTGATAAACAAATAAAATAGGTTAAATTTAAATATACTATAAAGAATTTAGTTATTCCAATAAATTCTTATTCTGCCAGAGAACTGGTCATTTTAATTACTAATCTATCTACTGCTAGATTGACCTCAATTTTGTTTTTATTTTAAACAACAACATTCACCTTTGTTTATTCTCTTAATTTTCTTCAACTTTTCAACATTAATAAAATCATTCGATCGTTATAATTATATTTTACCGATAAAAACAGAACAAACAGATATACAATAAATGCTGCTATATACACATATATCACAATCTTTCCAGCAAAAACATCGTTTATTCTTCGTCTTCCGGTACTGCTTCGACATACTTTAAAAGAAATTTATTCTCAAAATTTAAATTATTTTTGTCTCACCTCATAGAGGTTATTATCATTGTCGCTACGCTTCAAATAATCCTCCTTGATAAGTTGTTCAATTGAACTCTTGATCATCCGAGCCTAAAAATAAGCGATACTTTTCTGTCCAAAAATTTATTATAAACTTACTTTCACAACAAATCGACTATTTAACTGGCTTGTAACTTCAGAAACCAAATCATTGTGTTTGAGTTTCTTACGGGCCTTCATTATCCGAACAATAACCGTTTCGAGGACAGACTCCCGAAATACGTCCCTTTTGAGTTTTTGCACTTCTCCTCCCTTTCTTTGAGTTCCAGTGTTAGTAGTAGCCACTGCACGAATCAAGTCTATTATTGTATTTTCACTTAAATAAAATTTTGTTTACTAAAACTTTTCAACTAAATTCATATTCACCTTTTAAACTCGTTATTAAGGCAAAAGTTGCCCAAATCCTTTTCGATCAACAAATTAGTTTTGCATAAGACTTGCAGCAGTGACATTATTTGGTTATTTGGTAGTTTAATTGCAGCGGCAATTTTGTCAAGTTTACAAGAGTCGTATTTGTTATAGAGCATCAAAATGGCAATTTGCTGTGTTGTGCACTGAAATATAAAAGGAAGGAAAAAATTTCAAGGAAGAATCAAATACCAAAAAAACATATTTCTTGTTGAATATTCCATCTAACGAAGATAATTCTCCACGCGAGACTTGGTAAATCCAACTGAGTTTGCGCTTATCTTTATATTTCTTTTTATAGAAGACACCGAAGGCTAAAAATTTTAGAAATTAAAATTTCCTATCATTCTTTTACCATTGACATAATCGTTAAGTTGAGTAGGCAAGGAAAAATTAGAAGTGCTGGGAAAAGGCCAAACTTTTTCAGTAAGCAAGATAACAGAGAAATCTAGGACTGGAAGAGAATTGTTGTCCTCTTTCTAAAAATTAAGAAATATATTTTACTTTTTTAAAGATTTCTCAGCCCACTTTGAAGTCTTCCATCTCGATCTCACTCTTGTGTGTTTCGTTGAGCATTGATTCAAAGACTCTTGGACATTGGAATTTCTCCCGTAATTTAGACACTATTTCCTTTTCTGTCTCGATACCAACGCTTAGATGGTATATTAGACGTTTGCAGAGAAGTTTTTGATAATGGTCATTGAAAGTGTCCTTGTCTCGAATATATTTAAAGGCAATCATCTAGAAATTAAAAAAAAATTTCAATTTTATTATTTAAAAACTAACAGCTTTTTCCAGTCCAGATAACCTTTCCTCTGCTGCAATACCTTTCCTTAATAGTTGATCATAGTAGCTGGCAATCAAACGAGAGGATTTTGCCTCCGTTTTTCCTCCATTTGTTATGTTATTCTCGGCAACAAATTCAGTGAATGATACCTCCATTGTTGTCATAAATTCGTTATTTGTCCGAAAGGAGTCCTTTACTAATTTGCTAAAGTTATCGTGAAGCTGGACTATTGTACCAACAAATAGCTTAGGACTCTGAAAACAAAAAATTTCATTAATTGAATGCCTTTTCTTACTTTCTCGGCCTTATCAGCAATTTGATTGATAGTTTTAAGACCAACACGTGTAAAGTATTTTCCTAGCAGTTCTTTCAACCTATCAACGGTTGATGGAATACGATTGCATAAGTCATAAATGATCAGCAATTTATCTATTTGCAGATCGTTGAGGAATGTCACAAACTCGGAATAGAATCTGTAAATTTTTTGAGTTATTTAAAGATGTGATTGAATGATTACCGATCAATATGTCTCATGACAAGAGCATCAGCGCAGACCATACAAAGCGGTACCAAGGTGCAGAGATCAAAACAAGGATCTTTCTCGCCGCAGAAACTCTCCTCCTCAAGAAAATGAAGTTTCACCTTTATTTTAAATATTAAAAATGTTTCCAAAAATTTCCATTTTCTGGTACCAGTTCCAAGTATTCAGAGAACTCGCCGTCTTTCAAGAAGTTAGATGACCAATCAACGTAGTACCGGTAAGTTTGATGGAGTAGCGGTTTTAGAAATAATTCCCGGTAAAGTGGATAATGACAGACGGTAGAAAGTGTTTTGAAGACCTCGACAACACCATTGTACGTTTCAAACTCGATGTTATAGTCTCCGGTTTCGTGAGTACCGACCGCAACTAGAAGAAATTGTATAAAGAATTTAAATTAATGATTTTTTACCTAACGAGACAACAAAATCGTTAACCAAATTCCTCTGGAATTCAAGTCCATCACGTGCACGATCGACGTAACAAAGTGCAGCTGTAGTAATTTTTCGGAAGGTCTTTCGCATAATCTCTCTCTCCCAAACTTGGAGAGCCATCTAAAAATTGAAACATACTGTAAAATATAAAAATCAAGTCTCACTTTATAGTATCCCATAAAGAAAGAAGAAGACAAACTAGTGCTAAGATCGTCGAAAATCTTTGCAACGTCTTCTGAACTTTTCTTGTATGCCGTCCAGCCTTTCGAATACTCACGAAGCAAATTCTCACCCCAACGGTACGACAGATCCTGTAAGATTTTTAATTATATTTCAAATTATGGGTATTTCTCCGTTATGGCGCCGCACATAAAAAATGTTTTAAAATGTCATGAATATGGACAATGTCGTTCGAAAGAGCTCGTCGAGCTGACAATGAGGACACAAAAATAAGCCCACGGTCTCAATTTTGAGCCTAAATAACGGTGCTAAAGAATGGTTTATTTTGTATCGTAACTTTGCCCAAGCTTGTTGGGTCGCGTCGATTTTGCCGTTCTACTCAGCTCGACGTGCTCTTTCGAATAACATATATTTTGTTATATTCAGACATTTTTAAACATTTTTAAAATGCGGCTCCATAACGGAAAAACACCAAATTGGGTTGTATGTAGAATAAGAGCTGTACCTCAAAAATGTGCCTCGTAAAGTTGGTCAGAAAATTGTCCAAATTCAAGTAGAGATCCGGAACTGGGTGGTCGCTGTTCCTGCCATGTCCAAATAAAGAAGTGCTAATAGGTCTTGTGGTAGTAGCACTGTATGGAGGAGAAGTACGGCAAAAGCTGTAAGCACTCCTGAAAAATTTAAAACAATGAATAATCATTAGAAATAGAATGTTTCTTACATTCTTAGCTTGTTGTAAAAACTAGTCGTGATCAGATTTGAAGCTGTCTCGCGAAGAGCATAGATACTCTCAAGTGGAGTCCCAATCTCTCGCCAGAACTCGTCACTCATCGATTGCGTCGGACGCCTTGGAGGTGACATCACAAATAGATGAATGCCCGATGACAAACAGGTGACTAGAAGTAATAATTGATGTTATTTTGAGATTAAAGGTTATTTTTACTTTTATATAACGACGTTTAGTCATAGCTTGCTGGGATACACAGTACTATTCCGACTTCATACACCTATAACAAATACCTATACATCAACAACACTTCACAGTGCAATTGTCCAATGTGGAATTGTCTCAATATGCAGTTGTCATATTTTTTCAAACTTTTTTCATTATTTGGCGTTAAAATTTCATTTTGGTGTTATGATTTAAATGCTTAATCTCGTCATTTTTACGGAAAACCTACCCTCATTTTTAGACTTTGATAGTTTTTTTATTGCTTTGATAGTTTGTTTGTTTTTTATAATATACGTACTTATATTATCTTTTTTCAAGACTATCCAATAACTTTAATTTTTGAAACTAAATCTTCACATCTTTAGCCACATCGACGTTAATAACAAATGGTAGAATAATTAAAAATTAAAATAATTTTTTCTTCTAGGGCAATGAGAATTCGCTTCCAATGGAGATGTGTAGCAATTTTGATGCTTATGAGCTTAGACGTTTAGCAAGACGTTTTAAAAAGTTGGACTTAGATGGTTCTGGAAGTTTGAGTGTTGACGAGTTTATGAGCCTGCCTGAATTGCAACAAAATCCACTCGTTCAACGTGTTATTGATATTTTTGATTCAGATGGAAACGGAGAAGTTGATTTTAAAGGTTATATAAGGAATTCTATGTCTGATTTGCCAATTATTTTTCAGAATTTATTCAAGGAATCTCACAGTTCAGCGTTAAGGGCGACAAGAATGTGAAATTAAGATGTAAGTTTACTTCGTTCTTAATTATTAATATGCGTTACTAAAAATTTTCGACACCACTGCTTCCCTCCTTGGTCGTAGGCATTCTCGACCGAAGGGTCTTTAACTTTAAAGCTTCAATGCCGCTTAACTTGAAGACACATAACTTTAGAAGGCTTATTCACAATAAAATATTTAAAGTTAGTTTAGATTCACAAATTCATATTTCAGTTGCATTCCGAATATACGATATGGACCGTGATGGTTATATTTCAAATGGAGAACTTTTCCAGGTTTTTTTAATTAATTTATATTTTAATTTTATTCTTAAGGTTTTAAAAATGATGGTTGGCAATAATTTGAAGGATACTCAACTTCAACAAATTGTAGATAAAACAATTCTTTTTCATGATAAAGATGGGGATGGAAAAATTTCTTTTGATGAATTTTGCGATGTAAGTTTTATTTAATCTTATTAAACAATTTGTTTTATCTTTAACAACCGGACTTATGTTAGATGAATGGGTGCTGTGACTATTTTTAGTGGGCGGGATCATTCCGAAATTAAGGATTTCTTTATTTCCACAAAATCTCTCTCGTAAATTATATGCACTTTTGAACAGTTAATGTTCAGAATTTTCTTTTTAAATTTGCACCTTTTTCCATCTTTCCATTTACAGGTGGTGGAGGGGACTGAGGTTCACAAAAAGATGGTATTAGAGAATATTTGATTGAATGAATAAATTAAGACAAATAAATGTATTTTTTCATATTTCGATGTTCTTTCCCTTTTTTAATTCTTTTTATTTCCCAGTTTTTAATTTTCTAAAATTGTGATGTGTTCGTCTGTCCCCTCCCTAAACAGTATATTTAATTATTTAGACAAGGGAATACTTTATGGATATAATTTTAATTTGGGGAGAATTTTTACTATTACATACAATTCTTTTATTTTATGACTGGCCTCTTTTTTTATGAAACTTACAATTAACCTCATTTTTTCGTGCTAACCATAAAAATGCTTTTTAAATAAAATGTATAAATTAACATCAGTTTTTAAAATGCGGTGGTTAACCTTAAATGGCTTATATGGTAAAGATATGGTTTAGGGGAATCCATTGGAGAAATGCAATAGGCTAGCGAACAAAAATCAGATTATTTAACTACTCGTTGAAATTTGATTTTTCTGTATTAGGGCACTCTAACTTTTTTAAGGCTTGACTCGTTTAAATTTCTTAGATTGGTAATTTATTTTCATTGAGTTTAGGTCGTTGGTAACCTGGATGTTCATGAGAAGATGGTTGTGAAGCCATGATTTGACATAAAGATGTTTTTTAGATACTCCAATATCAATTTTTAAATTAATTCTAGAAGAGACACTTTCTGTTTTTCTAAACAAAGTTTTCGGTACTTTCCTGTTATGACGCAACACATTTAAATTTTTTTAAAAAAGCTAAAAATGCTCAACACAGTTAAGAGTTAGGCATGAACAAAACACTACGGTAGACTGGTCTCAATATATGCGGGAAATTTGTGCTTATCATCTGCTTCAAAAAGAACCATAAAATTTTTTCCCATTTTTGCTTCAAAAAAAGAACAAATTCCGCCAAACACCCACTGAGGTGGGAAAACACGTGGGAAAAAGGGGGAAAAATTTTTATGCTTATTATTACTATTTTTGAACATTTTTAACTTTTTTAAAAAAAATTAAATTTGTTGCGTCATAACAGGAAAGTACCTGGTCAAGAGTTGTTTTCTTTTTTGCTGATAGTCTATCCGAACTGTCATCAGGCTCGTAGTCAGAGGAATTAATTCTGAAGTACAAATAGAATAACTCATTGGCATATTTTTCCAAGAATAACTCATTGATTCGTAATATTCCTCTGACTAAGGGTCTATCGCTCAAATTATGTAAATAGTTTATAACCCCTCAAAGCATTAAATTCTTTTCGGTACTATTGCATTATCTCACTCCATTTTTTTCTTTCATTTAGTTTCCTCTTAAGAGCTGTAAATTGGTCAAGAGTTATTTTTATCTTCGTTTTTAAAACTTTTCAGATTTTAACGTTTAAGTTTCAAATGCAATAGTACCTTCTTTACCTTCTCTTTCTAGTCCTAGAAGCTATATAAAAATCTTTTTAATAAAACATGGTTTTCATTGCTCAAAAACACCAAGAGCAATTACAATATTTTTTCTCGTGAAGTGTACATCAACAATATTTGTTCTTTTAGTTGGATAAACAAATTGACCAAATCCGCTTGGGTTGACACTGAAATTTTATTTTATAATTTTTATGCAGTTTATTTTTAAAAATTCTGAACAAATTATATACATTGGATGCGGCATTTGCTGTTGACTAGAAGAATGTGCTGCTGATGAAGCAACTTCCATAGAGAGGAAGCTCAATCCATGTTGTGGTGTCCCAATCGCGACAATTGATGCATCACGAGAAAATTGAATAGGCGTATTAAAGTCAAAAGTATCTTCACAATCGTAGGTAAGCAAAAGACGTTGTTGTGCTAAATCCCAAACTCCAATTGTGCCTGCCTCGTATGCTGCTACTAAATAACGGCCACAAGGAGAACTCTATATTTTTAACGAATGTCTTGAATTTTTAAGAAATGTAAACCTTAAGCCCTCGAATTGTTCCTCTGTCGGCAACAATTTGATCAGAAAGTGTTCGAACACAAGTACCAGTAAGCACATCCCAGATATGAATGAGAGCGTTATCTCCTCCTCCAATAATATACTACATATAAATATTTATTTTATAAAAAAATTAGGCAAATTTACATTGCAGTTTGGATGAAATTCCAGCTCTGTTACATCATCTTTAGCATCTGCAAATATTCTAAGAGGTTTTACCCTATCAGTAGCCCAAAGTGAAACACATTGATCAGCGGTAGATGCAGCAAAATAATAACCACGATTACAGAAAATAGCTAAAAGTTTAATTTTTATATATTTTATTAAGATTTACCTTTCCAAACAGGAGCCATCGGTCTGTAAATAACTAAATTTCTTTGCATTTCCAATCCCCATAATCGAATTGTTGCATCGCGAGAAGCAGAAAGTAGCAATCTTTTCTCACAAGAGAAAGATAGAGAATGTACTGGACCTGAATGTCCCTGTAAAAATTTCTTTAAAATTTCAAAATTGAAAATAAATTTACCAAAAGTGTAAACGATTTTTGTTTATTTTTTTCATCAAACATTTCTTCGCTAAATTCCTCCATTTCATTATCAAGCTCTTCTAATTCCTTTGCTTCTTTTAACATTCTAAGGTTCTCTGTAGCCAAAGCGTTTACCTTTATTTAAAAATAAAATTTAATTAAAAAAATTCTTTAACTTGAATATTAGAACTTCCATAACCAAGTGCTAAAAGCGAAGCATTATCTGAAATAGTAGCAGAACAAAGCCCTCCATCTCCTTGTGAATTAAGCAACGTGTAAAGGCAAACTGAAGGAGGATTTTCATGTGAAATTCGGTACTAAAATATTTAAAGAAAACAAAAATTGATAAAAAAACCTTTCTTTGCTGCGCATCTTTCATCGAAGCTCGATATTCTACTTTCACATTTTCTGGCAAATTTGGCATTGGAATTCGATCAAGAGAAGGTGCATTCGTTTCTTTTCTTTTACCATCTTTGCTGCTCTTCTCAAGTTTTAATCTTTTCTTATCCGCAGCAAAAGCAGTTAAATAATCATCGCGCGAGACTCCGTAGAGAATTCTGTGTTTTTTCTCTTGAAATGTTATTTGTTTACCAATAGAAGTTGAAGAAGGTCCGACAAATGAAGAATCATCCAATAATTTTGTAGGTGAAAAACTAGTTTCATCCATCTAAAAGTTAAGTTAGAAAAAAGCTCTCATCCTATAATCACTTCAAGAACTAAGAAAGTATTGGATAAAAGATATTTTTAGTGCTTGATTAACAATAATAAAAAAAGATTCTTTAATATTTATCCATTTTATTTATTTTCTAAATTTTTAACATTTGACATTTTTAACAAAGAAAACATCCTTAACCACTCATATATATTATGTAACATCAACAAAGTATATCCAAACATCTCTTTACACAACAATAAATGTCCAATATAAGCACGTGTATATCCATTTCCTAATTTACATGTATAACATTCACAATTTGGAAAAAGTGTTTTATGTTCATTCAAATACCTAAAATTTAATTTCTTAAATTTTTCTCATAATTTAAAAATACTTTTTTTCATTCAAGTCAATTAAGGAGAATTGTTCATTATTATCATCCAACGGAAATCCTTCTAAAAGTTGAAAAGCAAAACCTTTTTCAGCAAGAAATGTTGGATAAGATGAGTCAAATAAGTCAACACCTTGCTTAAAAAGGAAAAGTACTTGTGACGGATCAAATGGGCCTTCAACAATTCGAAGATTATTTTGAGGAAGATAACTCTAGAATAATGAAATTTAGTTTGCTGGAAAGAGATATCTTTTAAATTGTTTTCACTCCACTATCAAAAAGACACCCACTCTGCAGTGAATTAAAAATCAAAAAATCTTACCAATGTCTCAGCAATAAGTTGTCTCAAAAATTCTTTATCAAAATTTTCTTCTTTTTTCTTTCCAATTTTACTCCATAAAAATAAATCTAAATTAATAACTTCAATATTGTCAGGACAAAGTTGTAACAATAATTCTTTTACAAACATTTTTCTATGGAAAATTGAAGGTCCACCGCCAATTGAAAATACTGTTCTTTTATCAAAACAATTATTGTCCTCTGAATTTGTTTTTAATGTTTCAAAAAAACTTCTACTCCTTTTTAAACATTTTTGTAATTTTTTGTTGCAACAATCAATTGGTGTATCAAAATCAAAGGGCGCTTGAAAACTATCAGGAATAATTGTTTCGATTGCGTTTTTGAATTGCTCCATATCCATCTAAATTAAAAAATAAGTTGAGAAAACATTCAGAATCATCAAAAGCCTAAAAATTCTTAAATTCCAAGAATTTCTCAAAAAATATAAAAAATACCTTTTTTCTACCGCCTCTACTCCAAAAATGAATAAAACGATTTGACACAACATCTCTACCACAAAGTGGATCTAATAATGAAAGGTGGAGAAAATGGTCAGGCTAAAAACATAAATTTTAGTTTTTCTCATTAAATTTTAAACCTGAAATCTATAAAAGCTTTTTATTCCTCCCGATAATTTAATAACTTCAAGAAAGTCAAATCTAAAATAAAAACTTTAAATTCTTTTAATAATTTGGAACCTACATATTTTGTAAAGAAATTTGAATTAACAATCTTGTATGTTCAACATAAGCTGCAATGTGGTTATCAAAAAGATCCCAGGTTAAGTGAGGAATGTGTCCACCACGAGTATAAAGCATTGTATTTGGTGTAGAACATAAATAATTGGATGCTTAAATTAAAATATAATAGTAGAACGTGAATAAAATGTTTGAAGGTAAGTGATCAAATACGAAAGTTCTATTCTTAGGGTATTAAACATACATACTTGTGGGCGAACATTCCTGTTTAGTGTTTATTTGCCCAACTCTCCCAATGAAAGAAATTGAAGGATTTCTAAAGGATTTATAATTTCCAAACATTGAGTTAAAATCTATACAAAAAATTTTAATTTCTAAAAAAATATAAATTAAGTAAATTAAATTTTCAAGATAATTATTTAATAAAAACATTTGTAATTAAAAAGTTGTTTAAAATAATTTTATTTAAATAATTTTAATAAATGTTAGTTTAAAATACTGGATATAATATAATAGAGATAAAGCTGCAAAAAAAATAGGATTTGAGAAATACATTTAAATAAAAATAAAATAATGCTCTTAAATATCATAAATACAAATGTAATATTTCGTTAATTTTAATCCACCATCGAATTACATATCCTCATCACTTTCTGAAAGGTACCCAAAACGCTTCTCATATTCTAAAAAAATAAAAAAATATATATAAGATATTGAATTTCTCACCTCGAATTATCTGTTCAATAGGATCATTATCACTCAGTTGAAAGTCGTTTGTCAAACAAAAAGTACGCAGTGATTTATTTTCCTTGCGAAGCAACTTAATTTGTATATTTTTAAAATAAAAAATTATCAGGGAAGCCTTTAAACCAAAGGAAAGTAAAAAAGAGGAATACCATTTCTTTTTAAGAAAGACTGGAGATTAAACTTTAAATAATTATAACCTTAACAGCATTAGCGAATCCTTTATTTTCTTCGGCCATTCGTTTACGAATAGCATCTCCATCAAAAATATTTGTGTTGTTAATGTGAGATTCATTTTGCTCAAGATTCACATCAGCAGTTGTACTAGAAACATTCTTAAAATGGAAACTTATAAAGATATTAAGAAAAAATAACCAAATCCTCTCGTTGATTATGAATAGAATTTAAGCTCGAAAGTGTAATATTGGCAATATTGTTCGGAGTAGGATTTATAGACGCCCACGTAATATTGGTAGGGCGTTTATAAACTAAAAAGATTAAAATTTTACAATAAGTTTAAGAGGCATTTAAACCTTGAGAGTCTCGAACATGAGAAGATACTTGCGCAACAACAGCTGGCTTACTTCGAGACCTATCAACATTCAGACTTCTAGAACGAGAAGTAGGATAACGAGGCATCATCTCATCACTTTGAGTTGTAAAAAGATCATTTGATAACGAATAGTTGGTTGCAGCTGAAATGACATATTTTTTAAATTAATATCTGCGATTTATTCTCTTGTATTCCCCCATAAAAGAAATACAAGGGCAAGAAAAAACGTAAAAAAAACAAATTCAGTCCTCAATTTTTAATCCAAAAATCACAAAGGAAACTTACAATTATTATTCGCAGCCCTATAAACTGGAGTTGCTGGACTCTGAACACTTGTTTCTGAACGATTCTCCACTGGTCCACGAGAACGTGAGCGAGAACGCGAGCGAAACCCAGGACCTCCGGCTTCTTCATGCACCATTTCATGTTTGTCCATGTCCTTTCGGCTGTTTGACCCTTGCTCACAATACCTAAAACATAGTAAAGAAACTTACAAAAAAATTAACAAACTTGCACTTAAATTCTGTTCCACGCTCATCCGCAGTATGAAATCTGCTTAAATGTCCTGAGACACCCTTCTGAGTTGCAAATCGCCGACCACAAATATCACAAGGAAATTTTTTTGATGCTACACAGCATTCGAGATGATATGTGAACTAAAAATAAGGAATAATAAAAAAATTAATATTTTAATATTACCCGTCGAGAATCTACTTTGGCAGGACAATGCGGGCACTTTAACTTTGTTCCTTCCATTTCTTGAAGAAAATTAAATATTTGTTACTGATGCTTTACAATTAGATTTTTTATTTAATGCTACGGTTACATAAAAATCGCGCGCGACACGCGACAGTCGCTAGGCGACATGTCGCCGGCGACAGTCGCTAGTGGCGTGGTTACATAAAATCGGCGTCTTCCGCAAAAGCGACTGTCGCAAAGCGACAAACGCTGATTTTATGTAACCACGCCACTAGCGACTGTCGCGCGCGTCTTGTCGCCTAGCGATTGTCGCGTGTCGCGCGCGATTTTTATGTAACCACTAAATTATTAGTTTTTCTATCTTTTTCAACTATATTTTCTTTATTTATTTATCTCTAATTTTCACGGTGGTGAAAGTCAGAGTACTGTAATGTATAGGACAATTTGTTGCCACTATTTTATTGTGGCTTTTATATTGTGATTTTTTAGAATTTTTCCATTGATATTTCGATTAGAGGTAGGCGCGGGACAGGATCCCGACGAGATTTTCCGGGATCCCGATCTTAAGGCCTTATAAAATTCTCTAAATTTTCGCCTGCGGCGCAATCACTATATCCAAATCCCGACTCGGGATCCCGGAAGTGCGATTTTGCCGACCTCTAATTTTGATCAAGGAAATGGAGATACAGTACTTCAAAAAATATTTTAAACCCCTAGAACTTTAATAAAAAATTTTCTTTTAGGCTCATTTTAAAGCCCATAAAATTTCAAAAAAATTCAAAAAATTCTTTTTATCTTTTTTTCCTCCCCAAAATAGGGAGGAACTCATCAAGAAATTGTCACTTTTTCATGTTTTTGATATCATTTGATAGAGAATCAAAAGCTCTACAACATATCAAAAAATCAGAATTTTTGACCGTTGATAAAAAAGTTATAATATAAATACTCGATGGCATACTGAATATCTCAAAAATATCGAAAAAAAGAACATTTTTTGCAAAAAGTATACCTTTTTCAAAATCAATTTTAACCCATAAGATTTAACTTTAAAAATATAAAATTTATATTGATCGATAGAGAATAAACTGAACTTTCAGAATCTTTTTAAATTTTGAAAATCGGATCAGAATTGATCGAGAAATAGCATGTCGCAAAAAAGTGTCGCCGAAAATTCAAACATGTTTGAATCAAAAAAAGTGTCGCCGGCGACAAGTCGCCGGCGGAAATCGCATTTTATGTAACCACTAGAAAAAGCGACAAAATCGCGCGCGACATGTCGCCGGCGGAAGTCGCGGTTTATGTAACCACTCAAAAAAGCGACAAAGTCGCGCGCGACAAGACGCCGGCGGAAGTCGCTTTTTATGTAACCACTAGAAAAAAGCGACAAAATCGCGCGCGATTTTTCTCTCCTCTTTTTACATTATCTTTTCTGTCGCGTGTCGCGCGCGATTTTTATGTAACCGTAGCATAAGGAATATTTGAAAAATTTTTTATTTTTAGGACTCTAAGTGAATTTTTAACAGTAAAGGCCGTTTCAGAGTCGCTCGTTTCAGTCGCGAGGCTGTATTTTGAGTCATAACTTTTTATTCTTTTACATTAGCAGATTTAAGTAATTAATTGTACCAATTGTAAGCTCTGTAACAGAGATGATTTGATCAGCTTATCCTACAAAACGTTAAAGCCGAATGATGCTCAAAACATGCAATTTCTCACATTTACTGAAAAATAATTTTTAAAATTAACTTTTAGATTGTCTTATTTTAGATTGTTATATTTTTTAATGTCTAGCATTTCAACTGGTATTGATCCTGCTGCAAAATATCAACGGCTTAGTGTTGAATATGTTAAGGTGATTTTTAAATTAAATATAGTTAATTTTTTAGTTCGATTTTTATTTTTCGATGGGGGAAATTGTTTTTGAATGTTTATTTATCTGTTTAGGTCAGGAATCAGGTATCTGTTTTGAAATCGGCACTCCTCGAAGAACAAGCCAAAACGACTGAATTACAACATCAAATCACTGCTGGGGATACTAAATTGAGAAAAACAGAAAGCGAACGTGACTCTCTTGCATTCCGAAATGATCAACTTGTAAAACGAGTTGAGAGTTTACAAGAAAGTTTGGAAGCTCAACTTTCAATTTTTGAACCGACCAAAGGGAAAAAGGTTTTTATTTTCTTGATTCCTTTATATTTTTAATTTTTAGAAACATAAAGAAGCAAATTTGCGTTTAGTAGCTGAGAATACCCGGATGCATCAACATCAAACTTTTGGCGGTACTTCTACTTCTGATCCCAATATTATTATGGAGGAGGAACTGGAGCGTAAAATACTAGAAAATAGTGTTCTTCACTCCAAAGTATTTTTAACAATAAATTTTTAAGATTAAATTCTTAATAAAAAAATACTTTTCGACATCTTTTAATTTTTCTTTTAGCTTTTTGACGTTGAAAGGCGCTCTACAGAGACTACTAATGAGTTACTTCAACGAATCGAGTCATTACAGAAAGAAAATTCAGCACTCAGAAATGCTTCATCGTTAAATGGCTCTACCAATTTTGTAAAGACTGCCAATACAGACTTGGTAAATTAAAATATTTTTTCCTTAAAAATATTTTTTAGCCAACAAATTCACTTTCAAATATAAAGGGCAATCCCACTATTACTTCACCCGATTGTGGAGGATGTTCAAATCTTGGAGAACAACTTTCCAATTCAGAAATGGACATTCATTCCCGTTCTCGTTCAAGGTTTTTTTGAAAATAATTTTCTTTGATATTTCTATAAAGTGATGGAAAGCCATCTGATTCTGCTGTTTCGGTTGACTCAACAGATCAAACTGACGTAGAAAATGAAGAAATTGTGGCAAAGAGACGATTGTTGGAAGAATATTATACTGAACGAATCTCTACTTTAACAAAATCTTTGCAACATGCCACTGGACGAGCGACATATTACAAACAAGAGGTAAACAATTTTTGGTTGTTGATTGTGTAACTTCGTTGGTTCAGTCGGATAATTTTGAGAAATAAAATGTCCTATATATTTTGGTTGAGGTTATTTTCTTGAAGAATAGTCAACTGTTAACCTCTTTTAAAGGTTTTTTCAGTGTTACATTCTTCATAAAGTAAACAGCACATTCTCGTTGGGTTTTTCTCTATTCAAAGAGAATAGTCCTCCATTAGATGTGCAACAGAAAAATATTTCTTTTGTAAATTTATTTTTTTAATTCGATAATTTTTAAGTGTGAGGAACTTGTTAGAAAAGGTCTTTCTGATGCTGGGCAAATTGAAGAACTGCAAAGCAAAGTTCGTGATCTTGAAGACAAATGCACATTGCTGCATGTTTGTTTTATAATTTTATTTTTTATTAAAAATATTGCTCAAAAAACATTTTTTGACTTTAAATTAAAATATAATTTTCCTTTATAAATTATTCTAAAAATATCTAAATTTAGAACTTTTTAAGGAAACACTTGAGACAACACAACAAAACTATGGCGAGCAAATGAAACAACTCCATGAATATATGGCTGAACAAGACGATAAAATGAATTCATCTACACAAGATGATCAACTTTATCAAGCAGTAACTAGAAATGGAGGTAATTTAAACGGATTATTTAAAGGTAAATATTTTTTAAAAATTTTAAAGTTGGATCGAAGAAACGTGAAAAAAGACCAATGAGTTGGTTCTCCTCTTCTTAAAGTGTAACAACATAAGACAATGCTTGCCCGATTTTTAGAATGACTATAATTATCGTTTTGACTACTTTCACGCAACAAACAATTGTGATTCTCATCCTTTTTTTAAAAAGGAAAACTTAAAAAGAAATTAATCACAAAAATATACCTATTTAAAATTGACCAATTATTTAAAAAATTTAACCTCCTAATTTAAATGGTTCTGCAATTTTAAAAATTTAAAGACAAGACTCTCTTTTATAACGTGTATCCCTGACAGTTTTTTTATATTAATTTTTACACATTTTATTATCTGAACTTTAATTTAAATGAAATGTACATTTTTTACCATTTGTACACAAAAAAAGAAATTTTGGCGAGAACTTTGTTATTTTTAAAAGATAAAATTGGGCCTAAATTATTAAAGGAAAAGTCAAAAATATGGGCAAAGAGAAAAAAATATTTGGTCAAAAAATTTAAAAAAGAGTAGGCAAATTATTCTCTGTTGAATTCTGAATTAATAAATGAAAATCCGCGAAATTCATCCTGTGCAATTGACTTCATAACTGTTGGATCTGTTGGGGTTAGTGTTGGCTCTTCTTTAGTGAAATCAGCATCAAAATTATTTACATCCCTTTTGCCTTTCTAAAAAATAATTTTTTGATTAATGAAACTGAGAAAAAAACTTACAATTCTTGGCCTAAATGGTGGTTTTACTTTCCGTGCCTCTAATGCATCCCAGTCGATTACTCGAAAGAATGAATGTGCCCGGATTGCATCCTCGCTGGAATATATAATTTTAACATCATTCATAAGGGTTTCTCATCTACGTGGGGAGAGATATGATGGAGTCTTTAAATTTGCCGTTTATCCAAGTTTTTAACCAAATGTTTACTTAATTTTCCCTTTTAACCTAAACATTTTCACTTAATTGTATGCGTATGTCTGACAATTAAATTAAAATAGCACTTTTTACCTTCCTTGTGATTCCATACATCCTAAACGGCGTTGTGGTTTCTTTGTCATAAACTTTAAAAATAATTAAAGAAGTTTGTCTATAATTACAAACCCCTTTAAGAATTGAAACAGCTTCTCGACTTAACCAAACCGGATATAAAACATCATCATGCAGTATAGCTTCGAATAAATCATCCTCATTATCTGCCTCAAAAGGGGGCTGTCCAGCCATCATTTCATACATTAAAACACCCAACGCCCACCAATCAACAGAAAATCCGTATTCCATTTCTTGTAAAATCTGTACAGTATATTTAATTTTATTAAAAGAAAATTTTTTTTTGTTAACACCTCTGGGGCAATATAATCAGGTGTACCACAAAAAGTAGATGTTAAGTTATCACGAGTAATTCCTTCCTTACACATTCCAAAATCAGCTAATCTACAATGACCATCAGAATCAAGCAAAATATTATCCTATTTAAAAGAACAAAATTAAATTTCTTTCATTTCTCTCACCAATTTTAAATCTCTATAAATAACATTATGTCTATGTAAAAATTGTAATGCACAAGTAACTTCAGCAGAATAAAATCTAGCTCTAGGTTCTTCAAACTTTCTTGCTCTTTGAATTTGAAACATTAAATCACCCCCGTTAACATATTCCATAACAAAAAATAATCTGTCATGTGTTTGGAAAGAACAAAATAAAGCAGTTAAAAATGGATGTTTGGCAGCTAGGGCAAGAATTCTTTTTTCACATAATGTACATTCAACATCGTCATCTTGAAGAATTATATCCTGAGGAATTCAAACAAATCTTATAAAAGATTTGTAAACTCACTTTTTTGAGCACCTTCACGGCAAATACATCTTCTGTACCTTTTCTTTCTGCCAGCATTACCTAAATTATTTCAAAAATAATTGAATTGGAGACTAGAGATGTCTTACTGATCAGGGGATTTGAATTGGTAACAGAGAGCTAGGAAGATTAAAGCATATCGGAGGATCAAATGCTCTGATATCTCCAAAAATCCCACAAACTCTTAATCACAAAATATCTTTCAATATCCCTCCTATCCTTCAAATATTGGTGGATTTGGTGGATAAAGTTCAATGTTGGAGACCATTACTTTATAAAAATACAGAGCAAAAAACTCTCTACATATTTGCCTCTATATAAGTTTGGCTAGCATATTAAACTCAACAAGCTGGTCTTTACTAATACTGTTTTGGTAATCAAAAAAAACTCAATTAATTAAAAGAGGTTTACAAAAATTTATTTAAAAAATAATTTGCCTTTCCAAAAGATCCTTTTCCAAGTACTTTAATAAAAGTAAAATCGTTAATAGAAGCAGTAGAAGATTTAATATTTAATTTATCTTGGGGAGAAATGACTGTTGTTTGTTGTGAAATAATTTGTGTAGAAGAAATATTTGTTGAAGGCAAATTTGAAGATATTGGGGAAGAAGATGTTGAAGAAGAAGAATTTATATTTGAAGAGGAAATTATATCGTTTTTTATTGTTGTTATTGATGTTTCTTGTGTGCAACTACTTGAGGCACTACTTTCTGATGTTGATATACTTAATGGTTTTCTCATTCTGACAGACATTTTATCACCAGTTAATCCAAGTTGTGCTAATTCCATTGCCATCTTTAAAATTTATTTTAAAGATTTTAAAATCTCCGTAAAATTAACATATTATTTACTATTAAGGTTGTCTGATCCGGATATTTGGATCCGAAAAAGGCCGGATATCCGGAAAATTTCGGTTCGGATATCGGGTCCGGATATCCGAAGGTTTCCAACTATCCGACAACCTTATTTATTATCAATTGTTAATTTATAAATATAATTTGTCTATAAATATATTTTTGTATGTAATTATTATGAATTTATGATGGAGCGTAAATTTAAATTAATAAATTTTATTTTTCTTTTTTTTACTTGTTTAGCATTAATTCCACAATTATTAGCTACATTTCTTTGACACCTTTTGTGTACATTTAATTTACAAACAGAACATTGTAGTCCTTGTTTAATAACCCCGTAAAGCATAGAACCACAATGGTCACAAAATGTTGGCCTTTTATAAGAATGAATTTGGAAACGATGGGGCATATTTATATTGAAACGGCCAAGACCTTGCTATAAAAATTTAAAAAAATTTTTTTAATTTTATATTTATTTACATCAACAGCATCTGGAGGTATTTCATAAAAAGTTTCTGTTTTACTTCCTGGGCATTTCCATACAACCTAAAAATATTTATTTAAATTAATTCAAATTTTAAATGTTTTATTGTAGACAGATAAGTAATTCCTCTTAAATATTCTAATTATTTTTTAAAGGGGGGGGGGTGTTGACATTTAACTAATAAAAATATGTTAATAGAGGTGCAATAATCTACCTCAGAATGGCAACGTTTGTGGACAACAACAGTACATATTTGACATTGATACCCTTGTTTCCATACTAATCCCCAAATAAATTCTTTACAATGTGCACAGAATGTTGGTTGTCGAAGAAATAAAGCCATAAATTTATGTCTAAAAAATACTTTTTAAATCAAAATTAGCACACAAACACACCCTGTAACTTCGTGGATTTTTCTACGCATTGCTCCACGCCTTTGGCGGTCATTGAATGCTCCAGAACGTTCTTGGAATACACGGGGTTCTTTATCTTAAAAATTTTCTTTTTTCCTCCAATTTTATTTAGTTCCTTCCCCCACCTTCTTCAGTAACTTTTCCCTGTAATTCAATTTGTAAATGTAATTGTCCATGTGGTTCTAAATCTGCCCAAATATCATTAATTCCACTCAAAGTTAAATGATCGAAAGTAATTCTACAATTAGAAACAAAATCATCTGGAGGTAAAGCACAATCATGGAATACTGTAAATCCCAACTCTTTTCCACTCCTTACTTCTGTCTAAAAAATATTTTGAGAAACTCTTTTTGGGATATTTAATAAATACTTGATAGTCTTCATTCCAAACTGGACTTTTTGTTTTTGGTCTAGTAACTGTTTGCCCTATATGGTATTCATCACAATCAACATTTACATAAGCATCGAGTAATTGACTGTCTGGGTCGTCAGATTGAGTAAATCTGAGAGAAATTTTTTTGAAAGAAATATTTGGAAGGGGGAAAGAGAAACCTTTTAGACCATTCTGTAGGCCTTAATTCCCGAGCCTCAACAACCCGAATTTTTGCTGTTCCATTAAATATAACCATTTATTTATTTCAAAAACGATTTTAATAAAAATAAATAAAAATATTTTTTAATAAAAACATGCACCGACGAATTAATTTTTAAATAAAAAGAAAGAAATAATTTTTTAATTAAAAAATATTATTATTGTTGTTGTTGTTTTAAATTAATAAATGGCAGTTAAAAATAACAAAATGCATTTATAAAAAGACAAAAAAATTTTTTCTATTATTTTTGCTAAATAAATACATAAATTTAAATATTTTATTTTTAAAAAGTTTTAATTAAATAAAAATATTATCTAGGTCTATGTATGTATAATGTTGCCGTTAAAAGATATTGTAAATTATAAAATAAACAGAAGAGATTTAGATAAAATGATTTTAGAAACAATTTTGTTTAAAAATAATATTAGAATACGTTAACAAATATAATTAAAAAAAATATGCCCTTTTTTCTCCGTGGTCAAAACAGGTCGTGTAAGGTGTCATTCGAAAGAGCTTGGAAAGGTGAGTCGAACTAGAGGTGATGAAGTTATTTTGCGGTCCCACCCTCCAATGCCGGAGACAAATTAAAATTTAAAAAATATATTTAATTATTTTAAATATTTTAACAGCCAACAATTTATGTCTATTAAAAAATAAAACAATGAAAAAAGACTAGAAATTAATAAATAAATATTCGAGAAAAAATCAATTCTTTTAAAAAGTAAAAAAGCTTTTTATTTATTATTTTTACACGTTTTTTCTTTTTTTAAATGAACACAAACAATTTTTTAAAAAATTAAAAAAAAAAAATTAAAAGGAAAGTCGTGAGAAAAAAAGGAGAAGGAAGAAAGGGAGGGGGGAGGGGGGGGGACAGCTTTTTAATATTAAATTAAATATTTATTTATTTTTAGAGAAAAAGTATTTAAAAATAATTTGGTTGTTTAGAAGAAGAGTTAAGAGTAAAAGTATAGCCAAAACAAACAGAGGACCTGCAACTAAAAAGCTTTTTGACTATAAATGTATTTATTCTAATAGAACCACAGTCTCGAGTATAGCCACCCCAAATGGAGGGATTGAAAAATGGAACCGCCGGTAATTCTATCAGAACAAACATGGTGGTATAATTGTTCTATCAAAATTAAGGAACCCCTATCTATCTAAATATTCTTCTGCATCTTTAAATAAATTTAATATTAAAGCTTTTTTTAGTAAAGTTTGATTGGAATCGAAATTAAGGAGAATTTGAAGGACCCGGAATTTTAAAGGAAAATTAGAACAATTAAATTACAAACAAACAAACAAAAACTTCTCAAAAAATTTTTAATTTAATAAAAAATAAAAATAATTTATTTTTCGAATAATTTAAAAGAAAACAAAAAATTTAAAAGAAAATTTAAACAAAAAAACACAGTTTGATTAAAAATTGGAATTTAAATGAATTTTTAAATAAAATGAAAAGAAAAAAATATTTTTTGTTTAAAAAATTAAATTTAAATTAATTTATTTTAAACAAAACAAAAAAATAATAATTTATTTGTCTAAATTTTTTAATTAAATTAATTTTAACAATTAATATGTAACTATTAATAAAAAAGAGAAGAAAGTTTTTAATTAAATTAAAAATTAATTAATTAAAATTTGATCGAAAGAAAAACCTTTATGATTGAAAATTAAAGTAGGTATACATACACAATTAAAGTAGTGCATGTAGGTAATTATGTCTAAAAAGAAAAGTTCATGCAAAGAAACAATTGGTTATTAACAAATATCCCCCCTAATTTTTTGGTTTTAAGTTTTAATTAAATAATGGTTTTGGGGAAATTTTTAAAAAGTCAGTCTTTTTCAAAAATCTTCAGTTTCCAAAAGTTCACAAAAAACGGTTAATTTTAAAATATTTTATAAACAAAAATTTAAAAATACAAGAGAATTAACCAAAAAATTTATTTACTTTTTTAAAAATTTTATTTGACGTAAATAATAGAAGCCTTCCTTATTGCAATAAATACATACTAATAAAAATTTTTTGTTAAAAAAATTATTTGTATTTGACTTGTTTTACGTTTATTAAAAGATCTTTAATTTTATTTTAAAAAAGATAAGAGAAGATTAATTTTGGAATTCGAAACAATAAAAAATGAAATGGGGAAGGAAGAAGTTTTGTTAATTAATTATAAAAAATAATTTTTATTTTAATTTTTAAATAAAAATAATTTCATTTTTATTTAAAAAATATTTAATAATTTTAGTTAAAAATTTTATATAAAATACTAAAAGGAAATAAAAGAGAGAAGAGAAGAGTTATTTAAACAAAGAATTCTCCTCAATCCTTGTTTGGTTATGTAAAAAAGCATTCCCGCTCAGTTAACGAAAGCAAAAACAATTAGCTATTAGACTAAATGAATCAAAAAAAGGAAGAAAGAGGGAAGGGAGGGGAAGGGGGGAAGGGGGAAGCACTTGACTGGCTTGAAAAAAAATAATAAATAAAAAAAATATCCATCCACATCCATCCAATCTATCCATTCAACTAAAAACCCACAAATTGTTTAAAGTATTTTTTAACTGGCATCAAAATGACTCTCTTTTTTTAGTTAAAGCAATGGATGGCATGTTTAACTAAACTAGCTGTCACTGTCTGCGCCCTTTTCCCTTTAAAATCGATTGGCCAATGGCACTCACATAAAATGAAAAAAAAGAGGAAATGTTTGGAGGCACACGAAAGAGAGGGGGAGTTGGTTGGTTGGTTGGTTGGATATACTAGAAATGGCTGGTAGAAAAAAGAGAAAAGAAGTTCTTTTTTTAAACTACTAATTCAATCCTTCTTTTCCCCCTCTTTTCCCTCATTCCTTCTTTTTTTACCACTCAAGAAGGGACTTTAACATCCATTTTTTGTTTCCTCTCTTTTTCTCTCTCAAAATTGGACCATTTCCGACATTATTTGGCACTTTTATTTTCTTTTTCCTTTTTACTCATTTTTTGTTTCATTTAAGCAAATGTTACTCGAGAAAGTGAACATTTTGAGTCTTTTTGAAAGGAAGAAAAAATAATTAATTAATTAAGGATCCTTGAAATTTACATTCTTTTAATAATTAACTTTAAAAAAATTAAATATTTTTTTAAATAAATATTAATTAAAAAACTTTAATTTTTTTCATTTTAATTAATTATTTTTATTAAAGAAACAAATTAAATATTTAAATTTAAAAAAGAAATTGGTTGTAGTAAATTAAAAATAAAAAAATGTTTAAATTTTTTAACTAAAATTTTTTATTTAGATTTTACTTAACTTTTGAAGCCATTAATTTATAAAAAAAATATCATTATTTAACCCAACAATTAAATTTAAAACAATCAAAGGATGTACACAATTTATAACTTGTTAGACGTGGCCGGGCATGGATTAAGTTGTGATTGTCTAAAGTTTTTTGAACTAAATGATCAGTTGGTTTTGGTGAACTTAATTGATAAAGATGTGAATTATTAATGATTTGGTAAATCTGTCTAAAATAATTAAAACCCTTAATTTGATAAATACCTTCTACAGATGATTGAACTAGCTAATAATTTTTATACCTTTCAACTCTGCTTGGCCAAATTAGTTAATAAAATTTTTATTAAGTATGAGGGGATTACCGTATTTACTCGATTAATTCCCCACCCTCAAATAATTCCCCACCCTCTATTAATTCCCCATGCCAGGGATGAGTTGAAAAAATAATTCCCCATCCTGAATACCCTACTACACATTCAAATTTCAAAACTCGAATAATTCCCCTCCCTTGAATAATTTCCCATGCTACAGATGGGTTGAAAAAATAATTCCCCGGGGGAATTAATCGAGTAAATACGGTATATATTTTTTGAAAAAACTGAAACAGACAAAACTTAATAATTTGTTTAGAGACTATTAAGGTTGGCGGTTCCTGGTAAATCCCCGAATATCCGCTAACCTTAGGGTTAATATTCCTTTAAAAATCAAACCCCACATTTCACCTATATTAAAAGTAGAGACCGGATCGATACGATATATCGATGGAAAATATCGATATATCGATGTCGATATTATCGATAATCGATACCGATATTATCGAACGAAAATTTTTTTGATTTTTTCGATATTTTTCGATAATCGATATTTTTCGATATCGATACCGATATTATCGAACGATAAATTTTCGATATTTTTCGATACTAATTTCTTTTAAATTTTTGACATTTACCCTTCAAAAAATCAAAAATTTTCGCCTGCGGCGCTGGAATGGAAGGATGGAATATGTTATCATGGACGGGTCTCATTATATCCAAGTAGAAAAATCAAGAAGGCCTAGATCAAGGCAAAGAACATTTTTGGCCTAACTGCACTTTATGGGTCTGAGCTAATATGGATGATTTATATGTCCCCCGACATTGGTACAACTTCCCCCTTTGTTGGAACAACTTCCCCCGTTCTTGGAATAACTTAGCCCGTCACTGAGTCAACATCCCCCGTCATTGGTACAACTTCCCACGACATTGGGACAACTTCCCCATCATTGGTACAACTTCGCCCTTTATTGGAACAACTTTCCCCGTCGGGGAAAAATATCGAAAAATTATCGATATTTTTCGATAATCGATATTTTTCGATATCGATATTATCGAACGATAAATTTTTTTATTTTTTCGATATTTTTCGATAATCGATATTTTTCGATATCGATACCGATATTATCGAACGATCACTAAAGTCCGGTCTCTAATTAAAAGCACTTTTTTGACGTTTCACGAAATTATTAAAACTAAAAATCAGTGAGAGAAAATAAATAAATAAAATGATTTTTGAATTTATTTTTAACTTCCAATATTTTTATCATTAAATTCCTCTTATTTTCTAAGTGTAAATGCACCCAAAAAATGATGACAAAAAATTTCATCTTTTAATTTCACCTGACATTAAATAATTAATTATTTAATTAATAATTACATCTACTACATTACATTAAATATTTACCCCTCCCCCTCCCCCCTTTTAAAACCAGTTTATTTTTATTTATCCAATTTATTTTCTCTTTCTTTTTAATTATTTAAAAAACTAGTATTTTTATTTAAAAGAAAATTAATATTTTTTTATTAAATTTTTAATTAAATAAAAAGAACAAATTATATATTAAATTATTAAAAATTAATTTTTTATTTTTTATTAATTAAAAAGAATTAAATAAATATGGGAGTAAAAGATTCTTTGGTAAGCAAAATTTAAAATAATTTTGTTTTAAATAATTAAATCCTAATTAAAGTTATAATTAGAGCCAGGATTTTTAGGCACGATTAAGTTAAAAATAGGCGCCTATATAGGCACTAACAAACTGCCAAAATAGGCACTAAAATCCGAAAAAAAGGCAAAATAGGCAGGATATTTTCGAAATTTTCTGATTTAAATCTGCTAAATTTTATCAAAAAAGTTAAATTTAAGCAATAAACTGTTAAATAAATTAATTTCGACGATCAGAATTACATAAAATTTAATTTATATTAATTATTTTGTTTCCAAAAATAATTTGATAAATTTTTCAAAAGAAAATTTTTCCCAAAAAAATTTTTTGGCAAAAATTTTTTGAAAAAATTTTATATTTTTACCAAAAATAATTTTTTAGACAGCAATTTTCTCAAAAAATGCGCAAAAATTCACAAATTTTAGTAAAAATAGGCAAAATAGGCTGAAAAAAGGCAAAATAGGGCATTTTGCCAGAAAAAGTTAAAATAGGCAATTTTAGGCAACGATAAAATTAGTTAGAAGGCAGATTTCAGTAAAATAACACCGGATTTGAACGTTTCAGCATCAGGCCTATCTAGGAAAAAAACAGGCATTTGCCTAAAAATCCTGGCTCTAGTTATAATTAGTTAAATTTTATATATCCACTTTCTTTTTAAAAATAGTTCAAAATCTATTAAAATACCCCAACCTAAATAAAGGTAAGGCAAAAAAGTAGAATACAGCAAAAAATGCCTTGTTATAATTTCTAACACCAACATTTTTAAATTTAAAATTGTAAACAATGTGCTGGTATTAAAAGACAAATAATTATTATTCCTTAATTTCACAAAAAAAGGTGTCATTAATGGGAGATTTTGTCCATCTACAAAGAAATCCTGAATTTCGGAGTAAACAAGATTTACAAAATGAATTTCAATTTAATCCTGTCAATCGACGTCATTCAGTCCAGATTACTTGTGGAACTGTAAGAAATACATACATATATTTTTGTTAAAAGGTTTTTTAAAAGCAAGAAGAAAAGCCCCCAATCCATCAACGGACATTCTCTGCCCAATTAAATAACCAAACAAATAATCATCGGCGTCAACGATCAGAAGCTTTAATGAAAACAAATTCAAATAATTTTGAAGAAAGAAGACAAAAACAACAAAGAAGAGTATCCGAACCTTTTATTTTTCTACCTAATAATTTTGGAAATAATTTTGGAAATGAAAGGAAACGACGTAAAAAGATTGTTTTATTTAATGTAGTTATTTATTTCTTTAAAAGGTTCACCAATTAAATGCCAATCATTTGATTGTTCTTTTTCTACTGAACAACAACAATTAGATACAAATAATTTACATTCTAATTCTGATTCCTATTCATTAGAGGGACGTTTAACCCCTTCCTCCCTCTCAAAATCAGCTACATTTTCTAAACTTTTCTCTCAACAATTACCTATTGAAGAAGTTGAGGAATACGAAACAGACATGGATGGACAAAGAAGACAAAGTACTGCTAGAAGACCCCAAATTGAACAAATGCATTATGGGACTATAATTCGACTTTAGTGTAAAAATTAAACAAAAATTATAACGGTGAATTTAAAAATTGAAATAAATTTTTTTGAATTAATTTTTTGAAACAAATTTATTTGTAACCTTAAAAATTTGTTTAAAAATTCAGATATTTTTCAATATACAAAAACCTTCTCATTTACTTTAACAACCTTTATTCTTCCCGCTCTTCATATTCCTTGTTTCAATAAAGGAAAAGACTTAGTCCGGTTAGCACTTATCGAAAATCTTATTTTTACTATTAGTTTAACTTAAAATTTTAAAAAATATATTTATGTATTAATTAAAAATAATCAAAATAATAATGTTATTTACTATAATGACAAAAGAAACAAAAAAACAATTATATTTTTGACAAACAAAAAATTATTTTCTTTAAACCCTTCTTATCTTTCTTGGTCTAGGACCCAATTCTGGAAGCGCAGTTCTATCAGTTATCTATAAAAACAATGTTTACTAATTATAAAAATATTTTAACTATTCCCTTTATTTTGTAAATTCTTTCCAGCCCTAATAAAAAAATAAAATTCTCTCTCTCTTACCGAAACTACTTCAATTCCTCCTGTAGCTAGTCCTTTAACAGCAGTCATTCTTCCAGGTCCAATACCTTTAACAACTATTCTAGCTATTCTTATTCCTCTTCGAATCATTCTTGCAGCTGCAGCAGCTCCAGTTGCTTGTCCAGCTAGAGTAGTTTTCTTCTTTGAATTCTTAAAACCTTCTATGCCTGCTGTAGTTTGACAGATAATAACACCCTATAGAAAAGATATGGACAATTTTTGTTTTTTTTGCTAAATTTTTTAGTCCAAATTATTTAAAAAAATCTTCTATCAAATATTTTTAATTTCTAAAAACTAACCTGATGATCAGTAACACAAATTTTTGTATTTGTATATTTAGCATTAATAATTACAATTGGTAACCTTTCATATGGAACTTCTCCAAAAAGTTGTTTCAATGTTGCTAAAGATGGCATTTGTTCATCTACTCGAGATGTTGCAATTGAAAGAAGACTTTAAAAATTAAAAATAAATTTTTTAAAAATTAAGGGAAGAAACGTTGAACTTCCTGTTGTTCCTTCAATTTCTTCTTTTTCAAGAAGATTTAGTGTAGGCAAGTCTCTAGTAACTGTACGTTTGCTTTTATTCCAATCCTTTAAAATAAATGTTGTTTTATTTGTTAAAGATACCCTCCTCCAAAGGGGAGTACTATTTTAGGAAATACGGTATATTCTTAATTCACGCGTGAGAACTTACCCTCAAAAAAATGTTTTTGGTATTGCATTACTATTAAGTGTTTGTGGAATGTATTCTATATAACACTTATAATTCTACAAACAAAAACTGATAACAAAAGAATTTGAATCTGTACGGGAAAAAATTTTTCGCTTTATTTTGTTCAAATGTAAAAGATCCTTATTGGGTTGATGAATATTTTAATATAAAATCTATTCCCCTCTTCGAAAAAGTGCTAGACTTTTCAAGGATATTTTCAATTTAAAAAATATAACCTTATAATGATGATGCGGAACTAACTCGGGTGTTACTTCAGTTTTGAAAGGCATAGCAAAACCTTCACCACTAGACAATAAATCACTTATACCTTTTTCAGTCGACTTATTTTTGCCTTCTTCAAATTTATTTCCCCCACCTTCTTTATCATTTTGATAATTAATTGACGTTGCATAAATTGGCCTTAAATTTTTTCGATTTTTTATTATTCAAAGAATAACCTGGTAAAATATAAAAAGCGTTTAGAACCTTCAGAAAATAATAAAGATGAAATCTTTTGTCCAAAATTCGAAATCATAACAAACTAAAAATTAAATTTAAATTAGTAATTATATTTGTAAAGGTAAAATGTAAAAACAACTGCCGAAAATAAATTTAAAAAATCTTGATAACTTTATTAAATAAAAATAAAAAGATTAAAAAAATATTCTAAACTATTTTACATATAATCAACAATTTAATCAGGCAAATCAATTATTTGACATGAAAAATATTTATTAAAATATAAATTCAGTGATTAACAATTATTTTATTGTTTTTTTTCTTGAACTTTTCCTCATTTTCCAGAACTCGAGGATGAACGTCGACGCCTTCTGCTGTTGCTAGTTGTGCTACTCGATTGATGACTACTCTGCTCCTTACTCCTATGATGCTCACGTTCATCATCCAATGCACGTCGTTTTTCACGTTCCCTCTGTCGAAGTAAACGAGATTCTTCAAGCAATTGATCATCGCGTTGCTTAAAATTAAAAAAGTTAAAATATTAAATCCAGTTAAAAAAATTCATTACTCTTTTTTCTCGCAATATTTCCCTTTGCCGTTGCTCTCCCTCTTCTTTAAATTGAGCGGCAGTTTTAGTCAAAGCTTTCCGCATTTGAATTCGCAATTTTTTGGCCGCTTTTTCTGCTCTCTTAAAGAAAATGGTTAAAGATGATAAAAAGAAAAAAATACCGTTTCGACATCATCTTGACGATTGTTTAATTCTCGCGTTGCTTGTTGTTCTCTTAAGTAACATTCAAATCATTGAAACAGAAAAATACCAATTTAAAACCCACTTCACAATACGCTTTGTTCGCCTAATTCGTCTCTTACGGTTTTCACGTTCAATTTTCTCTTTTTCTGATTCACTCATTGATGAACGAATTCTTAAAGGCGAATCGTTATCAGAAGTACTCAACGATGAAGAACTATCATTTGCATTAGCCAAATGTGAAGATTGCTTGAAAGATTCGTTTCCTGTTAAATTAAACATTTAAAAATAAACTTTTTCAATAAGAATAAAATCAGCCCTCATTAATTAAACTTTAACTTATTTCAGTCGGTGGATGGCTTTTCATCTTAAATCCAAAATCCCAGTTGGTACGTATAAAAAAAGCAGCAGCTAACTACGGACCGTGATAAGATCTAGAACGAAACTCTTGGTCATTGAAAATCGAGATTCAAATCTCGTATCTCTTGTACGACATTTCCAGTTTGGCTAAACTAAAAATTAACATTTCCTCACCGTTAATGCGTCTATGACTCGAAGAATTCTTATTTGGATTAGTTCTTCTAGAAGAAGGCGAACTGGAAGTTGAACAACTCTTGCGTCGACGAGATGATGAACGCCTCTTCCGGTAACTTGTTCTCGTTCGGTTTGAATCACGGTGTTCTCTATAAGATGAAGAGGCATATCTTCCAGAATTTGATCTCCTTAGATATCGAGAGGAAGTAGATGAAGAGCGAGAATGAGATCTTCGCTTTTTACGGGGAGAATGTGGACTCGAAGATCGTGAGTATCTTCTCCCACGTTTAGAATCACTTTGATGACGATTCCATTGAGAGTCAGGGCTGATAGATTTTCGTCTTGATAGTTCCCTAAGTAAAATTAAATATTAATTTTAAATTATTTTTCATTCAAAAATAACTTACAAAAGTCGCCTGTATTCCTTTGTTGGTAAAACAGGACCATGCACAACACCTTTTTCACCATCATTCTCATCTGGACCGCACATCATATTCTTTTTACCAGCATTTTTCTCATCGTCTTCACCAAAACAAGTAATAAACTCTGTTCTTTCAAAATCCTCTCCAGAATCACTTGAAGACGTTCTAAAAATTAAAAATGAATTACTTAAATATTAATTAATTAACCCACTCCTCTTTTAATGAATTTTTATTAGCAGATGAAAGAAAACTCAAAAGTGTGGTTGTTGCTTCTTCATTGGATTGCACTGTAGAACCCAAATTTCCGATGATCATTGCCCGTCGTCTGTGAAAATATAATTTTTTAATTTTTATTCGAATTACATAAAACTAAAAACCTTTTAAGAACAGCTCTGTCAGCTTTTGCATGACGACCCTTTTAATTGAAAAAAAAAATTAAAATGTTTTTGAAACATAATTCAAGGTACATCAATTTTTATAAACTTACTGATAACGCCGATTTAGCCTTATCAATTTCTTTAATTTCAGCGGTTGACGTTTGCTCTTTTTGATCCAAACTCTGAAAAGATAAAGTCAAATATTTTTAAATAATTTTGAATAAAAAACCAAAAGTTGTAGAAAAGCTCCAGACGTAATATTATATTTAGTGCCAATTTTATTCAAAAAGGCTAAAGACTCTGCATTTAATATAGAAGTATCAACGACAGGATCTCAAATTTAGAAGAAATTATAGCTTTTTTCCAGTTTATGCGTCCAATTGCACCTTTATACGTCGAAACAATCTATGGAGATAAGTACCCGGTTCTACGTGTTATAATAAAATGTACATCAAGAACAATCGTGTGTACCCATACCTCTGGACAAATAGCTTTCTATTCATATAGATTTTATGGTACTAAAGTGAAGAACCGGGTACTTATCCGCATTGATTGGATGTATAAACTTTTTGCTAACGTATAAACTGGACAAGAGCCGAAATTATTTTGAAGTTTTCATTTAAAGATTTTTATCATGACAAGGAAACATCGTATACTGTGTACAAAATTTTGGTAATTTTTTTGGTACGAATCGTATAGAACCATCGACTTTCTATTGAGAAGTGATGCGGGGTTTTTGCTAAATGACTTTGGGCCGAGTTATGGCCATTCAAAATTTGAGTACTATTTAGAAGTGGTTGAGCTTAAGGAAAAGAGAGAAAATGAGCGATTTTGACTGGTCATACATAAATTCGTCCAAAGTCATTTTTCAAAAAAAACCTCATCACTTGTCAATAGAAAGTCGATGGTCCTCTATCGATTGTACAAAAGAATTACCAAATTTTTGTACAAAGTATCCGATGTTTCCTTGCGAGAGGATCCCAATATTGCCTTATTCTAATAAAACTCGATTTCCATCTCCAAATATCAGATTTTTCTGTGAAGTAAATATTTAAAAATACCCATTTCTTCAGGTTCATCATCATCAGAACTGCTCATGGTTGGATCATTTATTCGTCTCTCCTTCCAATCTTTATTGGTATTCGAATTCCTAACAACCTCGGAATTTCCATAAGAGAAAGCAATAGCGGCACGTTTATCAGAATTCCTTCAATCATAAAAAATTTCAAAAATATTTCCAAAAATACTTTTTCTTTTCTCGTTCCTTTTTATATGTTGAAGAAGGTGAAGAACCCTTGGATGGCCAAAATTCTTTTGCAGCAATTTGAGCCAGAAAATTGCTCTCACTAACTGAAAAATAAAAAATTATGTGAAAGATTGTCAAAATCTCATCCAAATTTAATTTATAAAGGATTCAAAATAATTCGGTGATATAATGAAATATCATTCTAATTGTAAGAACAAAAATATTAGTTCAAGAATCACATAAAAATAAAAGCAGAGCTACTTTCGTGATCGTTTTCGAAGTGAAACGCTGCTAGTTAACGAAATTAGTTTCAAAAGCAACCTTTTTTAAAATCATTAAATACAAGTATCCTGTACCGTTCATAATCACATTGCAGTTCCATTACATCATCTTTCAGTCTAAATTAAAAATATTGACAAAATAAACTTCAAACATACAAATTCCTTTTTGCCTGTTTAGAAGGCGGATCCTGTATCTGCTCCAAATGAACACGTACATCAAAACGGTCAATTAATATATTATCGTCTCCTTGCCATTTCCTCCTAAAATAAGATATAAAAAATAATGGTAAGAGTTTGCTTATGTAGAATACAAATTGAAAAGTATTTTTTCGTAAAAATGTACTCATCCGATTTTTTGGTGTTTTTCGCTCATTTCGAATTATTATTACAAAAGAAAAATAAATTTTCAATGTGTTCATAAGCGATACTATAGCCAAGATAATAAAAGTAAAGTACAAAATATTGGGAGATTCAGCAGCCTCGGCAATTACGGGATCGACGTGAATCGGCATATGCTGACCATGAACTTGCATGAACTCATTAGGGTCACGTCTCTAAATTTCGGAAGAAGATAAAATCATTATAAGCAAAAAACAACTCACCACACTCTCGTAGAATTGCCTTCTGCGCTCATGTCGTTTTGCACCGTCAACCAATTTGTGGCGAACAGCCCTTTCCTGCCTTCTTGCTTCGTGCCACATCTGTCGTTGTATTAATTTATAAGAGCATCAATGGAAACCAATTAAAAAATAGTTACAGATAAAATTTAACAATTAAGAAAATGTATTTCATAATTAATAATTTATTGATTAAAAATACATGCATGTATACTATTTCAAATTTATTCAAATGTATCGTGAAGCGAAAAATCAATTTCTTCGTCAATTCTGTGCTTAATTTTCTCAAGCAAATTTTCCTGCCGCTGAACAGATTTTTTATAATCAGCAAACTCCTAAAATAAAATTGTAAAATCATTTAATTTTAAATAAACCTGTTTAGTTAGTTCATCAGGATTTTTAAGCTGCCAATTCATAGATATATGTGTGAGTTCACTGTTCATTCCAAGACATGCATCTCGAAACTAAAAGAAAATTTAAAAATAAAATAAAAAATACAAATAAACAACCCCTTTAACGGCAAATTCTGCTGTTTCTTTAATATGCTCAGGGATTGGTTGAGTTTGATCCACTTCTGTAATAACTTGCGAAAGTAGGCAATTCCATTTATCAAACATTTTATTTAAAGCATCCCCGAGTAATGATTCTGGCACAATTCCATCCGGGAATGAAGAAATTAATGCATTAATTTCTCTGCTCTTCTCGGCAAACTGATCAGATCCTAATATAATTTAAAATTAAAAGTTTAAAAAACATAATTGGACCAAAAAACAAATTCACCATATCTAACGCACCTAACTGCTCCTGTTTTTGTGATGAAATGATATCACTCATCGAAAATAAAACTTAATTAAATAAAAGTTCTTTGTTAAATAGAAAAGAAAATATAACAATTTAACCAAAAAATTACTGACTGAAAATGATCTTTATGCAGCGGAAACTTTTATATAAAGCATACAACACAAAAATAATGCCAGAAACAATAATATCTATTGAAATATTAACCTCAAACGTAAATTGTGTGAAATGGTAACGATAAAATTTTTAGTCTCCACAATAATATTTATAAACCTAATATGGATTTACGAGAATAAAATTATTCCTTCTGGCTATATGTATTGGTGTATGAATCACGGAATTTATCTGACAGCAAAATGAAACTTTATTTCCTAGCATAAAACTGTAAAAAAATTTTGCAAGTCAATGACGAACGCAATGCTTTATAAAGATTATTTTCTTAAACTGCTAGAACTTGATTGGGAATTCTGATCATCTTTTGATTGACATTTTCCAGACGTTGAAGTACTTGCTGCTGAATCTTCTGGTTTCTGTAAGCTTTGTTTCATCGCTTCATGCACCATCGAGGATTCAGCAGTTTTTAAAGATTTTAATCTGTTTGCCTCTCGTAGACTTTCCTCAAGAGCCCGCTTAAAGTTTTTTTTAATTTTTCGCGAAAAAAAAACTAAAAACCTGAAGTTCCAATTCCTCAGTTTGTTTAGAGAGCGAAGCCGAGGTAGCAGTCAACTCGTCATCAGGAGACTTAAGGAAAGGATTAGGAATCAAAAATCATAGAAAAATACATTAGAGGCAATCCAAGGTTGTGCTGACTCATTTAAACTTAAAGCAAGTGCTTTTTCCAAATCATTTTCAAATTTGCGAGATCTTCGAGCTTCATTCCAAAATTCTCGAGGCACATTATCGGCAGCGCAAGAAGGAAGTTGTCCCTCAACCAGATAAATTGACCAACCTAAATTATAAGTTGTAAATAATAAAACATTAAAGACCTTCTGTATAAAGCTGCGTAATGTAAAGTTCCATAAAAGTTTCCGAAACAATTCTAGGTGTTTTGAACAAGGAATTCAGGACGAACCATGTTGTACCTATTTTTCGAAGGGCGAACCAATGATCTTCATAATGACAAATATATGCTTGGCCCATGCTAAACAAATAGAAAATTTTGAGATAATCAACGTCCTTAAACCTAGGGTTTTGACGGATTTTAAAAGCAGCAGGGCTATCCAGCGCTTCTAAATGAAGATTTGCTTGCCGTCTCAAAGCTTCAGTAATAACCTTAAATTAAAGAGATGACCGCAAAATGAAAATTCTAGCCTGAATTGAGAAATAGCCAGAGCCACCCTAAATTTTGGAAAAACAATATAATTTTGCTTTAATAAAAGATCACGCACCTCATCGTAATTTTGACTTTGAAAATGAGATTCATCACCGAGCACAGCTCGTTCACGAGCATCAAGTTCGTGAGCTATCGCCACCAAATTATCCGCTGTAAAATAGTTCCCTTGTAATAACATGTTCAATGCATGCTGTGCGCACATACGACCGACTTGCTAAAAATAAGCTGAGAAAAGAGAATAAGCTTTTAACAAACCCTTTCGTGATAAACGAGGTCCATTTCTGGAAATAAAAATAGTGTGAAATAAATGAACGTAGGTATGTTATGAACGTAAATAATCAAAAACAAAAAAAAACAAATATATCAACAGAAAGATTTATCTTGAACAACAGAAAACTTTATAAAGTCGAATGTCTTAATTCATTATATCACCATACATTCATCAACATACGACCATTATCTTAGGCAGCGTTGGAGTTAGGGCCACGACGGCGTCCCGCTCCAGAAGTAGCAACATTGGTGAAGCGACCTAAATATTTATTAAAATAAAATAATTTAAACATAAATAATCACGGTTATATTGAATACGACGGAAAGCACGGCCACGCTTCTTTTTCTTATGTTCCTGCTTTTCGACCTTAGGAGTTTGAGCACGAACCTTTCCAGCACGAGCCAATGAACCGTGAACCTTAAAAGAATTATTAAAGAAAAATTCAAAAAAATATATTATATACCTTTCCACCACGAAGACGTAAAACTAAGTGGAGTGTAGACTCCTTTTGGATGTTATAATCAGCCAAGGTTCGTCCATCTTCAAGTTGCTTACCAGCAAAGATCTTAAAAAGACTGATTTTTTGAGAAAAAATTGGGAAATATACAAACCAAACGCTGTTGATCAGGCGGGATGCCCTCTTTATCTTGAATTTTTGCCTTAACATTCTCAATAGTATCAGAAGCCTCAACCTCGAGAGTAATAGTTTTTCCAGTGAGAGTCTTTACAAAAATCTGCATATTTAATGCTTAATTTTCCGTAGATTGTTTAAATGAGCTTAAAAATAAATTGAAAATTTTATAAAACAAAATTATTTTTTCCAGAAAAGGATAATGTGTTTAGCAACTCTCGCGTTCTTGTCTATACTAATTTCAGCACGTCTATCACATGTACAAAATGGTACATAGCAAAATGGTATGTAGACAGAATAATACGGAATGTAACAAAACAACTCGTCAATTTTTCCAAAGACTACACAAATGTCATAAAATACATAAACCATTTTGCCGAGTACCATTTTGTCTACATCTCTTTAACTACCTGCAATAAAAAACTTATATTTTAGGATATCTTTGAATTATCGAGTAAATAATATGGAAGGTATTGATCTTCCTTTAATTTCTGATGATGAAGGTATAAAGTTAGGCTTTTTAGTTTAAAATTTTATATTTAGAATTGGACTATGATTTGCTTGATGCTTCTGACATTCCATCTGGATTTAAAGTACAAGCAGCGGTAAGTTCTTTTTGTTATTTATAAGATTCCCATGAATAAAAATTAGAGTAAATTTGTGGAAATGAAAAACTGATTTTTCACGTTGGTTCGTTCTAGGGTTTTGATTGACATTACTTTTTGGGTTTGACCACTTTGTATCATTCAATCAAACTCGAAAAGCTCGTTCGAATAAGCTATCATTTACATTGAATTCCCTACCTCAAAAATGGCGGCATGGCCGAAGATGCAGTATTGCGATTTTTAGGAGTTTTTTAGCAGTAGGTGAAAATTTTAAGAATTTTTGATGGCCTTAGGCCGAAAAATCACTCTTTTCCCCTCCCCAAAATTTTTTTTCTTTCCCTCTCCACAAATTTTTTCCTTTTCCCCATTATTTTTCAATTCCCAATTCCTATCATTTTTATGAAATTTTTTCGAGTAACTGCTTTTCAGGTTCTTCATTGTTATTGTGCCAAACCTCACTTAAAATTTTCACCAAATCATGATTTCGTCCAGCATATATCCTACCACGATAGCCTCACTTTTTTCTTTCTCCGCCTTCCGCTAACTGCCACATGCAGTAGTGAGTCGCACTACTGCCGCCCATTCTTCAATAATTCTTTCTCTCAAAAATTCTACTTTCAAACAACCATTCTCTCATTTTTATTTTCAATTTTCCTCACTGTTAATGGCTATAGTTATTGCTCAAATAGCCCCGCTATAGAGTATTTGAGAGACTTGGATGGCCTTTTTAGAAAGCTAGCGCAAAGAAATAGGTTAGGATTTTTATATTCGTTTCTCTTCATTTTCTATCATCCATTTCGTTTTTTTTCTCTCTAAAACTGCTTCAACTTTTTCCCATCAATTTCGTCTAGGACGGTGGCGCCCACCAACATTTCCATTTATGCAGCAGGCGCACTCGCTTGGATGAGTTGTGGGCTGTAACGATAGCGTGGACGACTCAGGCCCATTCTTCCCCTTCCTACGTTTTCTTCCTCGTCCCTCATCTATTTTGAACCTTAATACCTCGCCCGTCGGACACCCACCCCTTTTGCCGCCTGTTTCCCGCTATAGTTGAGAGTCGTTGCGCTTGTCCGCCGTCCATTCCTCCGCCATTTCCTTTTATGGTGTGCTTTTTTATGTCATATTTGCCTCACCAATTTTCAGCATCCATTCCTTCAAGCCTAAAACTTTAACAGTTACATTTTTTACTTTTCATACATAGAGAATGGCAAAAATTAACATAATTTTATTTTTAGTTATTAACCCTAACCATATCAAACTTAACGTATTTTTCTAATAGGGCAGCTGCATCTATTGTTTGAGTTGAATCAATTACCGTTTATTCGAAAAAAGTTCTAAATTAGAATTTAGTTTTTTTTATTTTTATTTAATCTACCGAAGGTTCAGTCTTGTCCATAACTCCTCTTTTGTCTTTAACTATTTCAATTTTATTAGCTTTGGTACTATCATTTGTTCTCATTATTCTTCTATTTTTCTCTTATACTAATACTCTCCCGTCATTACATGCATAAATGAAGGCTGCAAGAAAAGGGTTTAATTTAATTTTTAAAGCAAGCAAACCAATGGCAACTAGAAGCATTGACAAATGCGCCTTAGGTTATAGTGGCAATAGCACTAATGGTACCCAACTAAGGCAATGGCATTCATTTTCTACACAATTCTCATTTTTTCTTTTCCATTATTTTACCTTACCCTTCTCCTGTCTTTACAAGCACCAACAAACTGCGCAACCATTTCCCCTCCTCACCCCACATCCTTTTTTCAGTATACGTGCATACAAAGCCAATTTGGTTTTGTATGATGTCCCATCATTTGGTCACTATATGCAACAATTTTTCTTTTTTTTTACTTGAAAGTGTGAACATTATTGTTCAAAATACAAAAAATATTAATAATTTTTTATTTCACGAACTCGACAATTTTATTAAACGAAATGCTCGCCGCCTGGGACTTCGTCTCAACCTTTGTTTAATATAGGTCTAGGTGAGCAAAGTTTCAGGTGTGCGAGCATATTCATTCTCTACTTAATATTTTAAAAATTATACAAAAAATTTTTATAAAAAATTTATTGGAAATTCTTTAATTTTAAACAATTACTCAATTTTTATATTAAAAATTTTAACAGACAAGCGTTAGTTCAGTGAATGCTGATGCAAAGATAGTTGACAAAGCCACAGAAACACCTACAGAAGCATCTATTCACCAACCCGCTCGTAAACGTAGAACGAATGAAACTTTCGATTCAGATGCCTCTGATGGAGAAATGGCATGTAATGTTGGTGAGGAGGATAATGAAGGATGTGAAGATGATAACGGTACTTTTTAGAATTTTTCTTGAATTGCATGCTTTTTAACAATATTTAGGTGAATCTGGCGCCGATAAATTTTGTGGACGTTTGGCTGGTAGAGTGAAACGTTTAGGCGATAAAAGGCAGCGGCTTGTATCTCCAACATTGGAAGATGAAGAAGAGGTTCAAGATGAAGAAATTCGCGAACAATTTCTGGGGGGATTCGAACAAATTCTTGATGGAAAGAAGGATGAACATCGTCGAAATGTGAGTTTTTTTTTGTGTTTCTAAGAATATTAATGTGTTTTGAAATGGTTGGGATTTAGGGGTTGTTGGATGAGTTAAATTTTGGGAAAGTTATTTATATTTTCCGACTTCTTTAATTAACCAAATTAATGTTTCTTTAATATAAATATTTTTTTATTAATTTCTACTAAAGTTAATTAAACGGGGAATCTAATTTTATGAAGGTCATTTCTCTACCATTGATTGCATTAGAACATAACCTTTAAAGTTTTAGCTAAACTTAACATTTAGAAACAAATTTAAGTAACAATTTAAAATATTCTTTTCATTTCTGATTTTTGTTTTGTTAATTTTTATTTCAACATTTCTTTTCTGATTTATTGTATATAAGGGGATTGTTGGTTATAGTGGTTGTTTTTGTTTGCCAGATGGATTTAATTTTAAGAGATATATTACTATCGTTATTTGCGACCTTCTCCGCTTTGATCCTTTTTTCCTCAAATGGTTGGCGACTTTTGATGTTTTGTTTTAGAAAAGAATTAGGGGGGGGGGGGGGTGTTTGAGAATTTGATGCTCTCAAAATAACTAACCAAAACAATTGCGCATTATTTAGAATTAAGAATCAATAATAATATTTTTGAGTTTTTAAGAGTACATCTATGTAAGAAAAAATATATTTACATTAATCGAAAAATAAATTAGTTGGGGGTCTTTTTATTTATCGGTCTTTATCTGTTTTACTCAATCTTTTTTTTCATTTTCTTCCTCTTTATTCTCAAAGACTGGTCAATCCGTAAAAATGTTTTAATATTTTTTTTATCAAATTTTATCTTTTTTTATATACATAAAAACAAATTAAAAATAGTTAGATGGTTGTTTTAATTATTTTGCTGACATTGAGAGTCCAAAATTAAACAAACAAAGGCGCTCAAATCAACTGTCGAGGCCCTTCAGCGCTATATAGTTTTTAGGAGTGTTAATGCTATGTATGTACGTGCGCAGTTGTGATGGGTAAGAGAGTCTGGTAATAGGAGACGGTCGTCTTTCCCTGGAGGAGTGGAAAAAATTGGCGCGAGAATATATTTTCAATCCAGCATTTTTACCACTCATTGTCAGTACCTCATTCACTCATTGCACCAACCAGCACTCTCAATGCATTATTTTAGTTGGAAAAATTGAGGAAGAAAAGGTTGTGGATTGGATGAAAGGCGCAATGGTGGTGGCCATTGTGGCGGAAGAAAAATGGGCAATTGCCTAAGTATTTTCGTATTTTTATTGAAGTAATATAATAGTATATATTCAAAGTATAATCAGAAAAAAAGAGATAATATTTTTTACTTAAAAATTAAAAATATTAGAGGCCAGGATTTTAATTAACCAATGATTTATAAATTTTTGTTTATAATTTTTATGCGTCAGTGGTAGAGTTGAGTGACCTTGGGGAGTTTGGTCTTCATTATTATGCTTATTTAAAATAAATAAAATTTTTTAAAAACTGGCAATTTTAAAATATATTTTTTACTTCTTTACTTTCTTTGTCACACCGTCATTTTTTTGAAGAAAAATGTGATTATTTTAGTCCTCCTTTTTTGTTTATATGGATGAGAACAATGAAAAGTTGGAAATAAATAGTAGTGGAGGGGGGGGGGGGTATATGTACTATTTAATGTTTATTTTTGGTAATTCAAAATGTGAAAGAGAAGAAAGTTTTTTTTCTTTGAAGGAAATGAATGTTTATTTTGTGATGATAGGATTAGAATAATTATATTTAATTTTAATTTATTACGATATAAGGAATTAAAACAATGGAATCTCTGTTAATAATTTAAAATTCTTTAAAAATGAAAAGGAGGGGGGGGGAGAGAATAATGCGTGTCCGGACAAAATATCGAATCGTTAAAATATGGAATAGGCTAAAAAAGGGTTAAAATCTCGAATCGGGTAAAAATGGGTTAAAATCGCGAATAGGCTAAAAAGGGGTTAAAATGTGGAATCGTTAAAATATGGAATGGTAAAAATATCGAATCGGCTAAAAAAGGGTTAAAATATGGAATCGTTAAAATATCGAATTGATAAAATGTCGACACGGCCAAAATAGGTCAAAATGTCGAATTTTTTTAAAGATGCGCCAAAACCTTGAATCCGGGCGTTACCGTAATACCGACGGTATTTTTCGGTATTCCGTGTCGGTTGTACGGTACGGAATGCCGACCGATAAAATTTAAAAGCTGACCGTTATTTTTCGGTATTCCGTACCGTATACGGTAAGGTCAAACTTTAGGTCTTAACTAAAAACTAATGCATACCACTCTAATTTTTCCATATCAGGATCGCGTTATGTTTTCCGGATCCGTACGATCATGCCGGACCGGATCCGGTCGATTATGCTTGATTTATCCGGTCCGGTTTTACTCGGTAAAGTACAGTGAACTCAGACAGAAAAGATTACGACGGACTACGACTTACCAAACTTATCAATCAACTTATCATCAATAAACTGATGTTGATAAAATTATCAACAATCAACGTATGGCACAAATCTGACCCGTTTTTAAAAGAATTCGACATTTTGACCCATTTTGGCCGTGTCGACATTTTTACCATTCCATATTTTTACGATTCCATATTTTAACCCTTTTTTACCCGATTCGATATTTTAACGATTCCATATTTTAACGATTCGGTATTTTAACCCCTTTTTAGCCTATTCGCGATTTTAACCATTCCATATTTTAACGATTCCATATTTTGTACCGGAGCCGAATAATGAAATATACAAAAAGAGAAAAAATCTATTTAATTTTAGTTAAAAGATAGTGAACTTGAGGCTCTTTATGCTTCTTTGGATGTTGATACAGAAGATCCCTCTATTCGATTTAATGCTTTATACGTCACTGGTACAGTTGAGCAAATGACTACATTTGATATTTCGAGGTAATTTTTCATGAAATTAACACAAAAACTTGGAACTGCAAGAAAAATTTATTAGAAATTTGTCAAAAATTCGAGGTTTTCCTTTTCGAAAAGCAATTCTTAATCATTTCGATAGCTTCGGTGCTATGATTCCACTTTTCCAATCTCTTAATATTATTTTAATTACAGTATAGTTGGATTTTAATGACTTTCTACTTTTTCGTTTTAAAATACTATAAATTATTAATTTAACTTTCTCCAAATATTTCCAGAATTTTATTCTAATATTGCACTATAAAGTAATATTGATTTCAAGTCCCGAGTAAAAGCGCCAACCACTCTTTTTGGGACTAACACAGCATGCACACCCATGATAGAGCCAAAAAGCAAAAAGGAGGGAAAGCACCCCATCTCGAAAAGCCTTTGAAATTTATATAAGGCAAATGGCCCGGGAGCACGAGTGGAGGTAAAACTCAAAATATGTATATATGCATGAATGAATGAAATGAGTGAAAAAATACAATGAATATTTTTATGGCAGTATTGGGCTAATATTTTAGACTGACAAATTTTTGAAGAAAAAAGGGAAAAAATATTGTGAATTGAAAAGTACACAAAAATAAAAATGAAAAAAATTTTTAGTAAAATTAAAAATTAATTTTTTTCATTTTAATGGAGGGCAATGAGAATTTTCTATTACTTTTTTTAGAATTTTTGCTTCATTCAAACCAGAAACTGTTCGACCATTTCAAACAAAACCATTGACTGCATTTATAGTAACTTTTGCAAATGCTATTGAAGCAGCTCAAGTATTTAAATGTTCTAATTAAACAAATTTTTTTGTTTAAAGTTATTGCTTGATATGACAAAACCTTTGAGACGTGTACGTGCACTTAAAAAGCCAGAAGAAGGTGAATTAATTAATAGTTCTGATGAAGAAGAGGAAGAAGGGCAAGTAAAGGAAGAGGGTGGAGATGATGTTGCTATTGTTAAAGGTATGTGTAAAAGTATCCCCCCTCCCCTTAAATTCATAAAAAAATATTTAGAAGGCAATGCTCCAAAGAATGGTTCGGCTCGTTCGCGTCAAATAAATTCAGAAGCAGTAGAGGTTAATGTGGATACTGTAAAAGTTCCTCAAGGTGGATTTTTCGAAAAACATCTTTAATAAGATTAAATTAAAGGTAAATGGAGGGTTGTTGTTCAACATGTGCCTGCGGACAAGCTTATCTATGTGCGCTTAGCAAATGGTGTTGAGCTTAGACATGCTATATATACGGCTAAAAATTGGGAAAATGACGGTATTATCTTCCCCTTTAAGGGAAAATTATTTTTTAAAACTAAAGGCGAATACAACTACAAAAACACAAAAATACGTCCAGGATTGGATGTATTCGATGAAAAAGGGAAGGAATTGGATTGGGATTATGAACATGTATAAATAAAACAAAAATAAAATTATTTTAATACAAATATTTTTAAGGATACTCGATTTTTTGAAGAAGAAAAATCTCCACAACCTCCCACAATATCTGATGAGAAGCCACCAGAAAATTTGGAACTTGGTGGAATTAAAATTCGTTCGAGAGGTCGAGGAACTAAAAAATTCTTAAAAGCATTTTCAAGTGAAGATTCTGATTAATTATTTTTTGAATTTATTATTTTTGTTTGAAATTTACATAATATTTTAAAAAAATAAATACAATGCCGAATATTTAAATTATATTTTTCTTTGTTTTCAATTTGTTTCTGAAATTGCTTCAGTTATTCGTTGAAATCCTAAGAAAATGGTTTATAAATATTTAATTATCTCCCCAGATTTTCTCATTTTTTCTTCACCTTTCTCCTTTTAGAAATAAATGTTTAGATAAAAGTTAGGTTAAAATTAACAAGTTTTAAAAAATTTCTGTGGTCGACTTAAGCCAAGTTTTTCTTAAAAATCCATTAATAAGATTTCATATTTTTCTTTCATTTCCTCCACAGCTTTCTTGAGGAACAACGAGGCATATTTTTTAAAATTAGCAAAATTTGTGGTGTCTGGCCACAGAAATGTTTTTTTACTTTTAATAATTTTTGTTTGACAATTATTTTTTAAATAATTTGTCTTTCTAGGAAGGAGATAAAAAGAAAAAAGGAGAAGAAAATGTTGGGAGATAATTGAAGTTAAATTACACAAAATATATTTAAACTTCTTTTTTTAACCTTTTTCTAGTGTTGAAGAATTAACTGATGAAAAAACAATTCGAAACCATCCAGGTTTAGGCGCTCTAAAAATTAAAAATAAAAACTTCTCTCAATTTCTAAAAACTTTATTTCTTCCCCAGAATTTAAAAGAACTTTTTTTCTAATAAAACGTTCAACAAGCCTTCTTTCTCCTTCAATTGTTTGTTCATCCATAAACTAAAAATATATTTTTTTAATTTTAAAATATTTTTATTTAAAAAAAACTTTAGAAAAATCAGCTAAAACAAAAAATCCAGATTTTGGTTTAATAAAAGGAATTTTTTGATTTTCCAAAAATAAAAGCAATTTATCCCTTGTATTTTTGAGACGACGTAAATTTTCAAATAAATATACTTTTTCGAACCAATCTTTTTTAAATTAAAAAAATTTATTTAAAATTATTTAAAGTTTTTTTAACACCTTGATCATCTAGAAAGTGTCTCATAATAAATTGTGTTACACAATTTGGTTGATTAAACGTCTAATTAATTATTAAGATTTTAAATATTATTTTAAGGGAGGGGGGTTGGAAAAAATTTTGTTTTTGTTTAGCTAATAATAAAGTTTAGCTGGAAGTTTTCTCACCCAAGAGAAAGAATTATTAAAATTAAATAAGATTAATTAAACAAAAAACAAAAACAATCACCACAAATTTAGTAAAAGCTTCTTTTATTTTTTTATTTTTTGTGTAAAATACACCTGCTCTAAGTCCAGGAATTGAAAAAACCTTTTTTAAAAAATAATTTAAAAAATTATTTTCTTCTTTTAAAAAAACTTTGCTCATACTCCAAACCCAAATCATTTTATTTAATTCTTCGGGAGTTTTAAATAATTTAACAGCACTTTCAAAACAACAATTAATTTGTTCTTCTTCCTCATAAATACACAAATTATAAACTTCATCCAAAATAATAAAAAGATTTTTACTTTAAAAGAAAAACTTTTTTTTGAAAACAAAATTCTTTTAAGGGGATTACTTTAATGCCCAGTCAATTATTGGTTTAAGCTGATCTAAAGTAAAATAACAGCCATCTGGATTTTGAGGGTTTACAATTAAAATAGCGCTGACTTTTCCCTAAAAATGAGGAATTTTAATTTCTCTCTCTCTAAACATTTACAAAAAATATTTTAAATTTAATCTAAAATCACTCAATTCCTCCTCATTAATTTTTATATAAAAATTAAATTTAATTTACTTTTGCCTTCAAAAAAGCTTCCTCAAATCGTTCAACAGAAAGAATTAATACTCCATTTTCATTTAAAGTTTGAACAATTTCTCTAATTTTTTTTTAAATTAAAAATATTTATTTTATTTCCTACACATTAACAAGCCCTCTTTCTCCAAAATCATTAACAAAACGATAATAAAAAGGTGCTGGAGTTAAAACAGAATCACCAGAATTAAATAAAATTTGACTAAGAATATCAGAAGCCATTGTAACACCAGAAATAATTATTAACTAAAAAATCAGAATTTAATTTAAAGTTAAATTAACTTCTTCTGGAGAAAGAGGAGAAAGTTCTTTTAGACAAAATTTGTTTATAAAATTTGCTGCAGAAGTTAGAGTACTTAAAAAATTAATAAATTTTAAGTAAATTTGAAGTTTTTAAGGAGGGAATTGACAAAAATATTTTTAAAAATAATTTATATTTATTTTTAAATTTTATCACCTCAATTCTCCCCCTTCCCTTGGATAATGCAAAAGTTTATTTTCTTCAAATTTTTGCCAATTTATTGAACGAAACTTTTCAAATATTAAATCAGAACTTAAAGAATTATCTGCACAAGAAAGTCGAATATATCCCTTCAAAAATAATTTTATAATATTTTTTAATTTCCAACCATTTCATTTGTTTTTTCATTATAAGGATCATCATTATAAAGTTTATTTAAATAAAAACTTTGTGAAGGAATATTTAATCCTTTTATAGCACGTTCAGATAACATATTTAAAAATTAATTTATAATAAAATTATAAAAGAAAATTGCTTTTAGATAGTATAATATTTTTAATAATTATAAAAAAATTGATAATAAAATTGTTTCATAAAAATAATATCAACAAAATAAAATTTTATTTATTTTTTAATAACAAAAAAAACAAAATAAAAAAATAAATATTCAACAAATATTTTATTTCTTAATTGTCTTCTTACCCTTTTTCTTTTTAATTCGTCCTTTCAAAATTTTTCGTCTCAAAGTTTTTGCAGCATTTAATTCTTGATTATTTTTAATATTAATTTTCTTTTTCTTCTTCTCTTTTTCAACTTCATCCTCATCTTCCATATTTTCATCATCATCATTATTATCTTCTCCTTTTGTATTAAAAACTTCCCCAATTGGATCATCTAATTTAACTTCTCTAATTATTTTTTCTTTAATTTTATGTTCCTCTTTTTGTTGATTTTTTAAATTAAATTCAGCAGCTTTTTGTAATTTTAATTGTCGTCTAAAATGATTCGGACTTAAATATTCTGGATTGTCATAAAGAACTGCTCCACAGAAAGACCCATCAAAAATACGAATTAATTGAAGAACAAATCGAGGACCTTTTAAATTAGAAAAAAAATTTTTTGGAGATTAAATTCCAAATTTCCATTTTAAATTTAAATATAAACCAATTCAATTAAATATTTATTTATTTAAAAATTACCAATTTCTTGGAGTTCATTTTCCTTTTCATTAATTATTTGATAATTACGAAACCTTAAAAATAATTATTTTTTAAAGATAAAAAATAATCAAATAAAACCAGATATTTTCATCAACTGTTAAAGCAAAATTAAAAACATGATCAATAAATGGTTGACTTTTTGGATGATGATTTGGAGTTTTAAAAATCTTAAAAATTATTTAAAAAAATAAAATTAAAAACCCTTACATTAAATAATAAATTCTTAATAATATTTAAATGAGGTTTTTCATCAAATTTTGGATCGAATGAAAGAATTGGACGAGAACCTTTAAGACAATTTCCAATCATATTTAATTCATTCATTGAGTGTAAATTTCGAACCAAAAATTTAGCTGAAGGTCCCCCATCTATGTGAGACATCCACTAAAAAAATTTAAAAAAACAATGTTTAAAAATAAAAATTTTTACCAAATAAACATCTCTTCCCTTTCGACTTTCAAAATAAAGACATTTAGTACAATTAGCCAATTCACTCATTTCATTTAAATCATCAGCCATTGATTTACTTTTACCATATTTGGCTTCGGAACGAATATGTGGCATTAATCTTTAAATTTTTTAAAAATATTTTGACTTGATTATTACAAAATAAAACCCTCCGCATAAACCACAAACAAATAAACCAACAGAGTATGTATTCAAAAATTACAGATTTCTTGAAATTCATTTTCCCTTTCATTAAAGGAAAATGTGAGAGGAGATTCCAAAAAAAGATATGAAAATATATGTAATCCCAACTAATCTACACATGTAAATAATTTCGCAAACCTTTTTAAATCGTTAATCAAATGTCTTGTTCGAGCTACAGAACCTCGCGAACAAAGCAAAAGTACTCGTTCCCGATCTGTCCACTTTTTATTGATTTTTAAATTTCCAACTTCATTTTTTTGACCTTTTATAGAAGACTCTTCATCCCCACTATCATTACTATCTTCATCACTCGAATCCACTGACATTAAATTCTCATCTGAATTTATTTCATTGTCAGACATTTTTAAAAACTTTAATTTAAAAAAGTAAAAATTAAAAGAAATAATTATGTATTAAAGATATATTTAAATTATAATTAATCAAACTATATAAAAATAAAAAATTATATTATTCTTATTTTATAACACAGCTTGATAAAAAATAAATTATATTTAAATAAAACTGAAAGAAAACAAAAATTAAAGAAATCCCAAAAGCTAAAAATCGGACAGGAAAATGAGATTAAAAATTTATATTATTGGAAACTTTCTCATACATAGCTACTATGTAGAATACTATTCACTTGAAGTATAGTAATGCACGAGAGGGCATGAGAAAGTTTCATAAGATTTAAATAAATTAAAAAAAACTTTAGTAAATTCACAATTTAATATTGCTTAAATGTAAACCCTTCCCCAAAAAACTAAAAAAAAGATATAAATTAATATCAAATAAAAATAATTTTCCCTTCTTTTTAAAGCTCATCTTTTTCCTTTTCCCTCTCTGACTGGAAACTTTTAACAGCATTATCTTTAAGAAATTTCAACAAATCATTGGAATCCCTATTTCCAGTATATTTAATTGGATCATCTTTTTTGCCTGCTGGAGCAAAGAAAATAGTTGGAAATCCTTCAACTTTATATTTTTCGGGTAAATCATTTTCTGTAGCATCAATTTTAGTAAAAATTAAATTTGGCTCTTGTTTGGTCAATTTAGTAGCAAATTGTTTATAAGGCTGTTCAAATGCTTTGCAATGGCCACACCTTTTAAAATGAAAAATTATAAAGCTTTTTCTAAAATAAATCCAACCAAGGAGCATAAGCCTCAATGAGAACATCCTTGCTTTCATCATTAACAATTGCTTCAAAATTATTACCAACTAAAGTAAAAACGGGTCCTTTATCGGCTTTGGGGATTGGTTGACTCTTTAAATGTGCCTTTACTTTCCCTTAAAAAAGTAATTTTATTTAAAAAATAATTTTAAAATCAAACCTTTTCCAAAGTCTTTCAAAAATGCAATTAAATTTTCTTCCAAATCTTCATCATATTTATCAGGATCCATTGGGTATTTTTTGCCATCAACTCCAAAAATAATAACATTTTGTTCTAACCCACTTGTTCCTAGAATTAAAAAAACTAAAATTTAAATATTCAAAATTAACCAACCAAGTCCAACAGCTTCCAATTCTTTTGCAAATTCTTCTTCATCTGCAACAGCAAAATAAAATTTCCCTTTGTACTAAAAATATGAAAATATTTTAATAATAAAACTACAATAATACTTTATTAGCAATATCGACAACTTTATTACGCCAATATTGAGTCCCATCTCTATAAGCGAGCGAAAAGTCAACGTTGTAGTAAACAGCAACCTTATAATAAATATATTAAAAAATTTAGATAAAAAATTTCAACCAAAGGACGGCGAGAATAGCGAGTAGCCGAATTTACTCTTGTCATATGCCCAACAAGTGGTGTTGCGTTTTCACGGTAAAAAGTCAGCAATTCTTCTGTAGTAGCTGTTGGCTAAAATTTAATTAGAAAATAAAATTACAAATAAAAACCTTTGGAAAATCTTTAGTGCTCTTTTCATATTTTGAGACAAATAACTAAATTTATAAAAATTAAAAAATAAAATTTAAAAACCTTTGGATAGAAAATTGTAATTGTCCCCGCCTTTACTTTAAATTCTTTAATCACAGAAGGATCAGTTACATAATAACAAGAAAAATCGGAACGGGTTCTCTCTGCTGCATCCACAAAAGCGTCATAAAGAGGAACACTTTCTGAACCGAAAAATCCAACAATAGTCACGTCATCTTTAGAAATAAATTTGTCCGCGGAGGAATGATTCAGGAATTTCACAGCTGGTTTTGATTGTTCAATCATATAATTGACAATTCCTAGATATTAACGTTTTTAATAAAAATATTAAAAAACAAACCATCGGCATCTCTTGGACCATCATAATCAAAGCGACGGGCATTTCGAAATATCTTAAGCGTTGGAAACCCCTTAACGTCGTATAGCTCGGCTAATTTCTTCTCAATAGTTGCATCAACTTTTGCCAAAGGAATGCCATGCGCCTATTTATTTAAAATAAACAGATATATAAAGGAAAAATACCTTAAGCCGTATCGCAGCTTTTTCATATTCAGGAGCAAGTTTCTAGTAAAAATATTAAAAATCGTTATCAATATTTCAAGAAATACTTTGCAGTGTCCACACCAAGGTGCATAGAATTCGACCAAGGTAAGAGCATTTGAACCCAAAAAATCGTCAAACGTTTGTTCGGTTAATGCAATAACTTCTTCAGGAGGAGGCTTGTAATCTGGATCAGTCTTTTCCTTTAGCCATTTTACAATCCCTAAAATTATAATAATTTTTTTAAAAATAATTTACATACCCTGAGCATCGCGGTCTCCATCATAATCAATCGGTTCGTGATCTTTTTGCCAAAATTTAAGAGTCGGATATCCATTTATCTCAAAGCGTTCAGCCAAAATTTTCTCAACGGTAGCATCAACCTTAGCCAAGGGAACACTATCACCAAGTTCTTCTGCTGCTTTTTCATACTCCGGTGCGAGTTGCTTCAAAAGTTCTTATTTAATAGAAAAATGAAATTAAAATACTTTGCAGTGGCCACACCAAGGGGCATAAAATTCAACCAAAACTGTTGGATGTTCTTCTAGAAAAGAGTCAAAATTATTATCAGTAAGAACATAAATTCCATTTTCTATAGTTGGTTCATCGCTCCTAATAAGAATAAATATGATGGAGAATAAAAATGAATAAAAATATATTTTCATATTTATCTGAAAAAAAAAGTAGCAGTTAAAAATGATTAATTTTTGCTAAAAAAATATCGGCTACTTAAACTTAATCGCAAGTAAACCGTGGCCATCGTTAATTGGCGAATTTAAAAAGTAAGTAGAGGAAAACTCTGAAAAATCTGGCGACAAATTGACCAGCATAAACAGTAATTATTTGAATTTTCGCTGGATTGTCATTATGTTAATATTTCACAAATAAATTCCGGAATCAGAGGGGATTCCGGAATTGGAGGGACACGCCCAAAACGAGGGATATGCCCAAAACTTATATTAATCAAAAAGCTCTGGATTAGTGTTGTTACCCACCCTCATTTACATGCTAGTAACGCGTAGGCTATTTTCCTAGTTTTTCCCGAAATTGTTTTCCGGCTGTAACTTTTTATCAAATCAGATTAGTCCAATCATGAAAAAGATTCTTAATGTTTAGACTTCGAATAATATGAGAATTATTCGAATCGGTAAAAAATCAGGAAGGCTGCTTTTAACCGGCCATTGAATCGGTTACTCTGAATCGACCTCTACCACTTTAATTCCTAGGGCAAAAAATAATTTTTTATTTTTATTAGTCAAGGTGCCTGAGGTTCTCTGTGATTAAAATTTAACCTACCGATTTTCATATATCAGCAGTAATGGCGGAATCTGATGTCGAAATGTGGAAGATTAAGAGGCTAATCAAGTCCTTGGAAGCAGCTAGAGGGTAAACAACATTTCTGTAAAATTCATATTTATTTTTTTAAAGTAATGGTACATCAATGATTTCATTGATCATTCCACCAAAGGACCAAATTCCACGAGTACAGAAAATGCTTGCTGATGAATTTGGGACAGCATCGAACATTAAGTCTCGTGTAAACAGACAATCTGTTTTGGCTGCAATCACTTCAGTACAGGCTCGACTAAAATTATATAATAGAGGTTAGTATTTGATAATATATCTAAATAAAGCATTCTTATTTGCAATAAAATTTTTTACAACACAAAACTCATTACAAGTTCTAATTTTATTTGATATTGAGATGACTTATTTTTTATAATCAATTTTAAGTGCCTGAGAATGGTTTGGTAGTCTATTGTGGCACAATTCTTACTGAAGATGGAAAAGAAAGGAAGGTTAACATCGATTTTGAGCCTTTCAAACCTGTTAATACTTCACTTTACTTGTGTGACAACAAATTCCATACAGAGCCGCTTAACGGTTAACAAATAAGCTTTTAATTGTTTAAAATTTATTTAGACCTTTTGATCGATGACAACAAATTTGGATTTATCATTATGGATGGAAGTGGGTGTCTTTTCGGAACACTTCAAGGCAACGCAAAAGAAATTTTACACAAATTCTCTGTTGAATTGCCAAAAAAACACGGTCGAGGTGGACAATCAGCTTTGAGATTTGCGCGATTAAGAATGGAAAAGCGCCACAATTATCTCAGAAAAGTAGCTGAAGCAGCTGTTGAAATGTATATAAAGAATGACAAAGTTATTGTTTCTGGTCTGGTTCTTGCTGGAAGTGCACAATTCAAAACAGAATTGGGACAATCTGATATGTTTGATCAAAGGCTTCAAGTTTGTTTTTTTCCGTGAAATGATTTCTAATATAATTTTTAGGCAAAAATAATTAAAACTGTCGATATTTCCTATGGCGGAGAGAGCGGATTTAACGAGGCAATTGAACTTGCGGCAGATACTCTAACTGATGTTAAATTTATCAAAGAAAAGAAATTAATTGGTTCTTTCTTTGATGAAATTTCTCGTGACACAAACAAAGCAATCTATGGTGTTCAGGAGACACTAACTGCTTTGGAAATGGGAGCAGTTGAAACACTTATTTGTTGGGAGAATTTAGCTATTAATAGGTGCAGTTTCTTAATAAATTTTTATGAAATAATTTATTACAGGCCGTCAGCAGAAAAAACTTCTGACACTCCTGCTGATTCAGCAGATTCTGAGGTTATTTCAGTTAAAAGATTTCTTTTATTTTTTCTGTCTTTTAGAACACACAAAACAACACATATGAAACTGATACAAATGTTTCTCTTCTTGAATGGTTGGCAGACAATTATAAAAAATTTGGCGCTACTTTGGAGATTGTTAGCGATAAATCACAAGAAGGTGCTCAATTTGTACGCGGTTTTGGTGGTTTAGGAGGTTATTTATTTTTTTAAAGATGAGAAAAATAATTTATATATTTAAAGGTATATTGCGATATCAAGTTGAAATTTCGCAAATGGAAGATTTAGAGAAAGGAATTGATGGCATAGACCTGAGCGAATATTAAATTTTTTTAAAATTCCCGATGAAGATCAATTAAAAAAAGAGAAAATAATTTTGTGGTTATTGACATTTGGCTCAGTCAATTCTACAAAATTTAATTAAATATTTAAATCTTCCGCCTTTTCTGATTTGTTATTCGTTAAAATGAATAATTATTGTAGGATATAGAAATTGTTTTGTTTTTTTTTGGTGCATTAATTTGTTGGTTTTTAATTTTTGGAAATTATTTTTTAAATGTCAAAAATAAATGATTTTATTCAAAAAAATGAGGAAATAATTTAAGAAAATATTTTTCGTTCTGTTTTTGACATTTAACCAACTAATTTTCTCTTTATAAAAATTTAAACCAACAAAGTAAATTTTATTTGGCCAAATCCCTACACTTTTTGATATATCTTTAGATAATATACGAGAGATTGTTTCCCTTTTTTAAACAATTTCCCTTATGCCTGTTAAAATGTAATTTAATCTTTTATTGATTATTTGTTGTTTAAAATACTTGAAGACATATGATTGAAGGCATATTGGGGAAATTAATATAAAAGAAGGGAAGGGAAAAAACCCCCAATTTAAGTATTTATCTACATATTTGGATTCTTTTTCCCTAATTTAAATATTCTTTACTTTTTTTTCTCAACAAATTTGCCACTATCATCATCATAAAAAAGACAAATCAAAAAAGTTACGCGCTTCTGTATTGTTGTTTGTTAATTAATTGGTTTATTGAATAAAGCGTTTTATTTAAAATTATTTTTTTTTTGTTTTGAAAATTATAAACATTTAAAATAAAATATATTTTTTAATTTAATTTTTATTTTTAAACAATTTGAGTACATTTACTATTTTCTTTTTATTTTTATTATCTTTGGGTGGTCCCATTTTATAAAAAGAAAAATAATTTTTGTTGTTCACTTTTTTAATTTTTAAATAGTAGTTAATTTTAAAATTACAATTTTTTAAATGGATGAACCTTTAAATGTAGGTTTTATTCAAATAAAGGGAAAATAAAGATTTATTCAAATAATTTAATTTTTAAGTCAGAACAAATGAAGCTTCGAAGCATTAATGACATTTCACTTAATCAAGTGGTTGTAGTCTCCGGCATTACAATTTGTACTTTGGCTGTTATTTATTTTTTCCGAAAGTGCAAAGGGTGTAATGGCCATTGCACTACCAAAGGACCGATAACATTGGAGAATCCTGAAGAGAAATATGCGTTGAAATTGATTGGAAAAGAGGAGGTTTCGCATGACACGAGGTAAAATTTATTTTATTTTTATGCAAAAACTTTTACAAAAATTTAACAAATATTCCGTTTTTTATTCTATTCAATATTTAAACTTTCCATTTAATATATGTAAAATTTCTTTAACTCCCGTGTTATTCAGTTTACATTTTTTAAATTGTTATATTTTCAACTAAACTTAACAATTTTAGACGTTTTCGCTTTGCATTGCCGAGTGAAAATCACGTCCTTGGACTGCCGACTGGACAATTTATTTATGTTAGCGCTAAGGTAATTAAATAGATATTTAATAATTAATTTCAAAAACTTCATAGATTGACGAAAAAATTGTAATTCGGCCGTACACTCCTGTCACTAGCGATGACGAGAAGGGTTTTGTTGAATTCATTATTAAGGTTATTTTTTATTAATTTAAAAATTAAATAAAAAATTATATTGTAGGTCTACCATCGCAATGTGCACCCCAAATTCCCTGATGGAGGGAAAATGTCTCAACACATGGATAGCCTTAAAATTGGTTAAAAACTTGAAGATTTTTTTATTTTTTTTTGATTTAAAGGTGACTCTCTTGACTTTCGCGGACCGAATGGTCTAATTCATTACAAAGGAAATGGAAAGTTTGCAATTAAAGCAACAAAGAAGGGTCCATCGGTGCCTCGACACTTTGATGAGATTGGACTTATTGCTGGGGGAACAGGCATAACACCGATGTTGCAGGTATTTTGGAATATATTTTGAAGATTAAAATATTTTTTTAAATTATTAAGTTAATTAGAGAAATACTTAAACATCCAGAAGACCCAACGAAGATTTCTTTGCTTTTTGCCAATCAAACGGAAGCTGACATTTTGTTGAAGTTAGTTAAATTCTAGAAAAATTTGAATAATTTTAATTGGTTATTTTGTGGGAATTAATTAGTATATTTTAAATTGGAGAAAGTTGTTGACAAACAAATTAAAGATAGGTATCCTTTCACAAGAAATAACAGATAAAGAAAACAATTTTTAAAATATTTTAAGAATTTCTGAATTTTTCTTTAGGGAGGAATTGGACTTTCTTGCCGCTGAAAATCCAACTCGTTTTCGTGTTTGGTACACTGTTGACCGCTCTCCTGGCGAGCATTGGATTTATTCTGAAGGATTTGTTAACGAGCAAATGATTGCTGAACACTTGCCTATTCAAAATGTTGGTTCGGCTGTTTTGATGTGCGGGCCTCCTCCAATGGTGAAGAATTTTTTTATTTTTTTTTAATAAATTAAAATTATTTTTTAAAGATTAATTATGCATGCAACCCGGCCTTGGACAAATTAAATTTCCCTGTGGAGAATCGTTTTGTCTTCTAAGCTGATTTTTTCTTGCTTATCTATATAATTTGCTTAATCTCATAGTGGAAAGAAGTTGAATTTTAAATTAAATATAAAAATAAAAATTGACCTTAAATAGTTTTTTTGAATAATTTTTTTAGATACTTTGGTTGTTCACGACCGATTATTTGCCGGTATTTCCGATTTTAAGTTTTGGAATCGGTCTTGAACAACCTTTATTAAACATACGGAAATGTATTCATTTCTTTTTATAATTTCTCCCGTTGACTTTTCAATGCTAAATATTTTATAAAGAATAAATATTTTTGATTATGCTATATATTTTTGTATAAGATTCTAAATTTTATTTGGTGCATAAATTGTTGCAGAAAATTGTTTTCAAAAAAATTTTTTAATTGAGAAGAGGAAATAAAAAAAGGAATGAATTATAACTTTGTTTATATTTTAGTTAATTATGATTTTATTAAATTTAGAGTTGTTCTTGTTGATTATTTCACGCAAATGGTTTTTTGTCTTTTTAAACTTTTTTTGACAAATTGATAATTTCCTTAATTTAAAGAAAATTAATTTTTTCTAAGAAAATTTTTAAATAAAATTATTTAACAAATTAATTTCTCATTGATAAATCAAAATTTAAATTCAATCAAATTTTAAATTTAAAAGTTTACTATTAAAATTAATTTTTTTGTTTTAATTATTTAAAATTCTAACTATGTTTTTCTAATATAAAATAGTATATTTAAACTAATTAAACATTGGACTATGTTCTATTTAATAATTTTCCCATAAACATTCATCCTTTTTAATCAGTAAAGTAATACAAACAAACAATGGCGAAAAGTCTTAACTGAAGGTTTACATAATTTATATACTAAATTAAGCCCTAATTTTGACTAAAATTCCATTAAAGAATATTTATGTGATTTAAAACTTCTAACCATGTTTTTCTAATATAAAATAGTATAATTTTCTCCATCCTTTTTTCTTACTAAATTTATTTTAAATTAATTAATCAATTAAAAATTTACAAAAATTCTTTTCAATGTTTTTCTTTCTAAATATAAATTATTTTCATTGAAACCCTCCCTCCCTCCTCTTTTCTTAATCAAAAATAATTATTTTTTCTTTATCTAAATATGTAATTCCCATAATTTTTTTGTTGTTTATTTCCCCGATTTTATATTTATTCTTTATAAATCAACTCACCATAATTCCATGTGCTCTTCGCTCTTTAAACCTTAAAAATATGTATTTATTTAAAGGTAATGGGAGAATACTTTTTTTCATTTAATAAAAAAGTATTTCTCTGAAAACCCCCCAAGTTTATTTTCTGCAAAAAATTTTTGCATTCTTTCATTAATTAATCAAAATTTTCAAAACTTTAAATAATTTATTTTAAATTTTTCTAAAAATTAATTAAATTATTTTTCTAATTAAAAAGGGATTAAAGGGGCATTTATATGTACTTTAAATATTTAATTTTTAAATTTTAGTTGTTTTTTTAATTAAAAAAAAGAATACAATTTATCTATATTTTCTATTTTCACTATTTAAAAGTTTTTATCTGTTTTAAAATAAAAATACTATTTATTTACAAACAATTTTTACAAAAAAACTTTTATTTATCAATGACAACAAATTCTTTATTTCTTCTATCCCCATCAGGGCTGATCGAAATTTCGTTTCGTTTCGTTTCGCTCTTTCGTGCCCTTTTTTCCATTTCGTTTCGTTTCGGAACGAAACAAAAAAAAATTTATTTCGTTTCGTTTCGAAACGAAATAGCCAAAATTCCGGACGAAACGAAACAAAAAAAAAGTGAGAAAATGCACCCCTAATGACGGGAATTTATGGAAATAATCGTTAATTTTTTAGTTATTTCTGCCTATGAGCAGCTTAAAATTAAAAAATTTTCGCCTGCGGCGCTGAAAATGGAAGAAATTTAGCTTCTTGAACTCCAAAATTCAAAAAATTTTCGCCTGCGGCACTAAAAAAGACGAAAGCTTTTACGGGTTTTGCTAGAGCAGACCAGACTTCCGCCGCCCAACCTCCCATAGTCCTAAAATCGTCATATTTGTGATCTAGAAATATTAAAAATTTTTGAAACCTAGATTTGAATTTGCTGGAGTTGTACTCCAAATTGGATTAAGGCGGATATTTGACAATTTAAAGGGATTAATGGGAAATTGTAGAGAGACAGGTTATGTTACATAATTGGATTTTGGGAGATATCGAGAGAGGCAAATTTTAAGAGATTAAACAGTATAGTGGTAGAGTATACATATTTTATAAGAGTATATTGTGGTGATTAAAAGCGATATCAGGGAATTTGGGGATTAAGAGGGATATGTCTTCTTTTTTTTCTTTTTTTATTTTCTCAAAATTTCGGAACTTGGAAGAAAAAATGTCGGAAATCGGAATTTCGACCCACCTCTGCTGCCGACTAAAATTTTTATTAAAAGGGATCTCGAAGGATTAGTGATATTGAGGTAGACTTGGCAAGATTAAGGTGATATTGTGGCAGTGGCGAGATTAACTGGATATCGGGTGATTTTGTGTATATTTGTATTTTATGGATTAAGGGAATATCGTTGTTTGGGTGGAGGATATAGAAAGGATATAGAGATATCTTAAGGGATATAGAAGATATCTCTTTTATCCCTCTTATTATCCCTCTTGTTCGATATCTAAATTGGTATACCTCGAAGTGAATATGGATTTTAAGATATCGGAGGATTAAAGCGGATATATGCTGATTTGAGGGGATTAAGGTGGATATTGGCAGATTTGTAGGGTCGACTCTTGTTTCTGTTATGCTTTTGTCACGCATCTAGCTCTTGTAGTGCATATCTATGATTTAAATATCGATTAAAAGCCTTTATGAACTGAAAAATAAATATTTTTTAATTTTTATTTTATTTCGTTTATTTCGTTTCGTTTCGTCCGAAACAAGCTCATTTCGTTTCGTTTCGCTCCGAAACGAAATAGGAATTTTTTTATTTCGTTTCGATTCGAAATAAAAAATATTTTTATTTTGATCAGCCCTGATCCCCATCTGTAATTTTAAAAATAAAATAAATTTTTTGTCTATTTATTTAAATAATTGTGTAAATTTAACTTTAGTTTGGGTATTTTTACAAAAATAATTTTTGTAAAATAAAAAAGAAAAAGAACATCTGCAGCTACTTAATTTTATTGCAGCACAAAGAATATTTAGAATCTAACAAAAATAAAAAAAGATTAAGAATTATTTTTGGTTTGCTAATATAAACATTATTTTTTGCTAAAAACTTTTACTTGATCAAACAGTCTAGAAAAAATTATTTTTAAATATGGGGACAGAGTTACTTAATTTCTTTATAAATTAAAGACAAAAACAAAGATTAAAGAATATTTTTAGATAAATTTTTGTTTAAAATTTATTTTCTTATTTATTTTTTAAAAGTTTAATTAATAGAAATTTAGAATCATTTCTCATTTTTATTTTTTAATTATAAAGTCTGTTTCTTTAAAAAAAAGTTTTGGAAAATACATTTCTTTTCAAAAAATATTTTAATTATTAACATTTATCTAGCTAAATAAAAAAATGGATATATTTTGTCTGTTTATAACAGGAAATTACGAAATTCCTTTTTTCCTCCTCATTTTAACACACAAAGAACGAATATATGCAAAGAATGTTATTCTCTCTCTCATTTCTAAATATTCAAAAACCTTTTATTTTTTTTAATTTATTTTCTTTTTCCTTTTTAAAAATTCTTTAAATTTTGAAATATAAACTTTTATAATAGTTGAAAAGCATTTTAAATATTTTTTGAATTTACATATATTTTGTTTTTTCAATTATTAAATTAAATTAAATTGAGGAATATATGAATTCCAAAAAGTTTATCCAGTCTCTCTCTCTGTTATATATTTAAAAAAAGATTTCAAAATTAAATTCATTCTTCCCCTTCCCCCTCATCCCCCACATGTCTAAATATTAAATAAATATTAAAAAATTTCAAAATATTTTCTAAAACAAAACACATACAAAGGATTAAGGGATTTTTAATGACGTCAACAAAAAAAAGAATGTCAGCCCACGGAAGAGCATGTGAGGGTTAACACGTTGTCTTTTACAAAATATATATAAGGGGGAAGGTTATTTTAAATATATAAATTTATTTTTGTGTGTCCCCTCTCCTCTTCCTCCCTTACCTAATTTTGTTTTAATTTTTATTTCATCCAAATAAATTAATTTTTTTAAAAACAATTTCCTTTTTTTTAATAAAAAATAAAATTTTTTTATTTCCTATAAACAACAAAATATGTATACGGAACAATTTTTTATTTAAGGCCATAAAAGTGCAGTAAAAGTGTACTAGTTTTTATTTAAAAATTTATTTTTTTAATTAAAAATTTTGTATTTAACTTTTTTATAAAAAAATTTTTGTAATTACTTTAATCACTAAAAATATTTTTCTTTTTATTTTGAAATAGGGAAAAGGAGAAAGAGAAATCACAAATTATTTTACAGAATTATTTGAACAATTTCTCGTGAATAAGAGCAAGAAATTCTTTTTTTAAATTTTTTTTGACAAAAATAAATAAAAGAAGGGAAAGATTATTATTTTAAATAAATTTGTGATCAAAGTTTAAAATAAATAGAAACAAAAAATAATATTTTTTAAATTTAAAGAGACAATTTTTAAGAATAACCTATGCAAATAAATATTCTAAAAATAAACTTTAATTAATTAATTAGTCTCTTTTCTCTCTTTTTTATTCTTTTTAGAAGTTTCCTCAATATTTTTTTCTAAAAATTAATTATTCCAAAATATTTCTCTTTTATTTCCTTTTTATTTAAAAAATTTTTTAAAAAATATATTTAATTGTTTTTCTTTAGTTTAACAAAAGAGCACTTTCTCAAAAAAAAATAAAATTTCTCTAAAATTAATGACAGCAACAACATCTTCATCAACATCTTCACCACCAACTTTCCTCGATGGAATATTTCGAAGTCGCCACTCGCGGGGGGAATGTATTAGCCCTTTAGAATTAGAAGCAATTGTTGCCGTTCAACAACTTGCTGTTTTTGTTGAAAGTATTGCTGTCTCCGAAATGGTAATTAAAAATAAAAAATAAGTCCAAAATTAATTTAAATTCAGTTGCCAAGAACTCCAGAACTTATTTTTGTTAATTTAACAACATTAGAAGGTATTTAAATAATTAATTTATTTTACAAATTTAAATTTTTTAAAGGCCAGCCACATTGTTTAGAATTAACAAGTAAAGGTTGGAGGGTTACTTCTCTCCGAACAGATTGTATGCATGGAGACTTTACAAAAATGGAAATGTTTACAAATTATTATAATTCTTTTAATGAATTAATGAATTTTATATCACCTAAATATCTAAATTTAAAAGAAAATGATGAAGAATATATTAATAATAATAATAATGTTTGTTTGTTTTTTAAAATTATAGTTCAAGTCTCCACATATTTTTATTTTTCCCTTTTTTTAATTTAAAAATTCTGATTTTTATTTTTGTAATTTTCAGAATTTCCATCACAATTCAACAGAATGTTCAAGTAATTCAATAAGTGATTCAGAAGAATTATTTAGCAGCAATAATAGCTTGTAATAACAATAAGAATTTTTTTAATTTTCAAAATATAAAATTGTAAAGAAGAAAAAGGAAAATAAGAATTTGTTTTTAGCTTTTTAAAAATGTTTTTTAATTTTTTTTTGTTATTAAAAACAGACTTTTTTTATTAAAGGATTTTTTTGAATTTTTTAAGGAAAAATAATTTAAAATTTTTAAAAATCCTTTAAAAATATTCCAAAAATCACTTCAATTAATTTTATACTTAAAAAATCCTTTCCCAATTTTGGGATATATATTTTGTATTGAATTTTTGATGTTTAAAATGAATAAATTAAATTAATTTGCAAATTTTGAAATAATTTTATTTTTAAGAATTATCCAACAATATTCCCCTATCAAAATGAAATTAAAAACTTTTATGATTTAATTTAAAAGAAGAAACTAAAAATTATTTTTTCTGTTTACTTTTCTGATAAAATTTCCAAAAATAAATTTATTTAAGAGCCACACTTTTTTTAATTTTTCTAAAAAATTTTTTTTAATTTTTAAGACTTTTTTAATCTACAAAATTTAATTTCCTTATTTTATTTAAATAAACTAACTATTGCCTTTTTTTAAAAAAATATCAATAAATAAATATATTTGTGTGTGTGTGTGCCGGGAATGTTTATTTTATTTGGATGTTCTCTCTCTTAAATTATGGCTTTTTCTTTTTTTCAAAAAAATTCCTTTTTTTTTATTTTAACACTTTTCTATATAATTAATGTTGGCATTTTTGTTTTTATAATTTTTTTTTTCTTTTTCTTTTTAAAAAAATATACAGGGTGCGGCAAATTGGCCGCCCCTTTTGTTTTTGCCATAACTTTTTTCAATGTCAACCAAAATGGATAATTCTTTTTTTATTTTATTCTCAACACTCTAGGAAAATTTTTGTTACCAAGCAATTGAAATTTGGTTAAGCTTTAGTAAAGATATACCCGTCCGAACATTTAACTGCGTAAAAAACATTTTTTATGACAAAGTTTACACTATCATAACTTTGCTCAAAGTCGTCCAATCTTACTAATTTTGGTACCAATCGAATTATCTCAGTGAGGAGCATCGAAATATTCCAGAAAAACATTTTTGAAAATTTCACCTAAAAAGTAGAAATTTAACACCTATATTCTAATCTATCCTTTAAAAATTCATATTTCAGCTCATGGACCAAATAAGAGTTTTGTTTAAATATTATTCGAATCAGTTTGATGAGCTTATTCGAATGACATAAAGTTTTCAAATATCAAAATCTTAACATTGAGCACAGGCCAACTTTTATCAAAAAAATTTTACATAAATTTTGAAGGAAAATTAAGCTGGCTAAACCATAAAATTTAAAACAAATTTTAGTATCAAAAATTTTCCTAGAGTGTTGGGAATAGAATAAAAAAAGAATTATCAATTTCCATCGATTTTAAAGAAAGTTATGGCAAAAACAAAAGGGGCGGCCAATTTGCCGCACCCTGTATTCTTCTCTACTATTTCCCTCCTCAATGTTTGCCAAGTATAAATTAATTATTTATTTCATTGGCTGGCATTTTCCTTAACGATGAGAGAGAAAGAGGAAAAGCTTTTTATTTATTTAAATATTAACATTTTTTACAATTTTTAAAACAAAAATATATTTATTTTAATTAATTTTTATTTTAAATTAAATGCCGAGATATATTTAAAACAAAATATTTATTTTTAAAATTAAAGAGAGTAATTAATTAATTAATATTTAATTTTAAATTAAATAATAATTTCTCTACATAAAAGTATTTTTTTATTATTTTCAATTTTATCTTTAAAATTATCGTAGCATAAAAAAGTTGAAAAAATCAGGTGGCGCTATATTAATTTATTATCATCAGATTGATAATTTTATTTATTAGATTCTTCGTCTACCTACATATTCATAATAACTCTTTTAGAAATTTTAACGATTCTGGCAAACTCTGTCTATATCTAAATATTATACTCTATTTTTAAGCTAAAAAAAATGATTAACAATAACAATATAAATTCATTATTAAAAACAAATGGAGACAATTCAATTTATTGTTTAAATCCCCTAACTTTATTTAATATTCAAAAAGCCCAACAGACAGATTTAAATGAAATATTAGAATTTATTTTTGCTGATTTTCTTTTCGCAGAACCATTAAATAATTCTTTGGGATTAACACGTTTTGAATCTGAAAAATTCTTTGAAAGTTTGTTTAATTTTTTAAAAAGATTTTTGGTGATATTTATATTAAATAATTTATATTAAATTATTAATAAGTTATTAATTGAAATTTATTGTTAGAAATCCAGAGATTCGATTAGTTTTAGCTCCACAGTGGGATATTGCTAGTTTAAATTCTTGACGTTTAAATGATGGCATTTAACATCTAGGATTAAATTTAAAAATTCTAAAATTTAAAGTCCTTAAAAAAGAACTAAATTTTATTTAAAAATAATTTTTTAAAGGTTTGGTTACAATTTCATTGAAAAAAGGTTTAAGTTATTTAGTTAAAGACCCAAATTCAAACAATAAATTAATTGCAATTCGTTTAACTTCAATTATTAAAAGAAATAAAAAACAAGAAAATGGAGAAATAAATGGAGTAATGAATGAATCTAATTTGTATGCTAAAGAATCGTTAAATGTACAGAAAATTATTGGAATTTTAAATGCTGTCGAGTCTAAGGTTTTTTTTGAAATAATTTTAAGGGAAATATGTATGTAGTATATTTTGGAGGTTTTTAAATAAACGAAAGGGAAGGAATTGAGGATTGAATTGAAGGATGTAGGGGGTATATATAATTCCGAGAAGTCCCTCAATATCCTCATTTATTCTTAAGCAAGTTTTATATTGGAAAAACTTGAGAGAAATTTAGTTTGTGAGGATTTAATTATTTAAGTAAAACCCTTTGATATTTAATGTAGATAAAATTTACCCTAAAAATATAATTTTAAAGACATGGGATTTAGTGCCTTCAACAATAAATTGTTTAGCTTCTTGGCTTATAATTTCGGTCAGTAGTGATTATAAACGAAGAGGAATTGCTGAAGCTCTTTTAAATTATAATTTAGAGGAAATGGAGAAATTTGGATGTCAAGGATTAATTGCAGAAGCTAGCGCTTTTAATTCACAAAAAGTTTTTTTAATTAAAAAAAATATATGTATAATAATTATTTTTTTAAAAAGTTATTTCAAAAAATGGGATATTCTAGACTTTTTGAAATTAAACATTCTGATTGGAAAGGTGAAGATGGAAAACAAATATTTAATTGTAAAGACGGAACAGACAAAATAACCCTTGAATTTAAACAATTTACTAAAAATGTTAAAGAATTTATTTAAATTTTTGTTAATTAGTAAAAGAATGTGTTAATATATAGTATATGTAGATATTGTATATATATTAGGAGTCTCTCAAAATCGGGCAGGGAATTACCCCTAATAGACTCCTAATATATAAAATTATTAAAAAAATATTTTTTTGAATTATATATGTACCTATGTAGGTATTTATTATTTAAATTCAGAATAAATTTAACTCATTGTCAGTTAGAAGGAATTTATTTATTAAACACACTTAATTTAATAAAAAATAAAGCAAAATATTTATTCAATTTTTATTTACAAATTCTAATTTAATAAAATAATAAATTGTTAAAGAAAGGCATTTTTTTGGATTTTTTGGAATATTTTTTTAATTCTAAAATTAAAAGAATTACAAAATTGAAAGGATTTAAATACTTGATACAAGTAAAAATATTTTAGTTTTAAGTAAAAGAAAATTAGGTAGTATATAATTCTGCCAAATAATTAATTAAATTTATTTCTAAAAAATGATTTTTAAAAATTTTGGCAGAAATATATTTTTATTTTTAGCCTATGAGGTGGGTTTTGTTAAATTTTTAATTAAAAAAAGAAGATATCAATTAATTAAAATTATTTAAATTTATTTACAATTAAAAGAAAATTTTAATTAAAATTGCTTTAATCGCAACAGCCAAAAAAGAAAGAATTTGGCAGAAAATTATTTTAAGAAAGAAAAAAGAGAGAAAATTATTTTTTGGATTTTTATAAATTATGAGATTTTTTTTAATTTTTAATTTTCTCCATTATAATAGTTTTTTTGTCTATTATATTTTTATTTTGTGAGAGGAAAGAAAGAGAATTTTAAAAATACAAAAATAAAGAGAAAATGCTAATTCGATTTTTCATAAAAATTATTAATAAGGTAGTTGTTAATTATAGAGACTGAAAAATATATTATTTATATACAGGAAATTATGTTGAGTAGTAAAATTAAAATTAATTAAAAGCAAGGAATTAAAATAAAAGCAAAAATTCGACTAAAGTGTTGATCGAAATAATTGATCAAATATTGTGTTTATGTTATACATATTTTCTTTTTTTTATTTGACTAATTTTTTCAATAAAAATTAAATTTCAATCTAAAATTAAAAAAAAAGAAAATATTTAAGTAAAATATATACAAAAGCCAATACCTACATCCTTATTTTAAAGTTATACTCAAATCTAATTTAAATCTCCCCCTAATTATTTATTTCCCTCCTCTCCCCCTCCTTCTTTAAGCACAATTCCAAATTTGACTAGACATTTCTCATTTAACTGTTCCAATTCAGCAAATCTCAAAATTAATTGTTCAGAATCAGTTAAAGAACCCGAAAAGAGTAATTCATTATCCAAACATTCAATTCGATCATTTAATGCCCCAAGTAAAGATTTTATTTGAGACCAACCAACAGGGCGGGGACGTTGTTGTTTGTAGAGATAAAGCCAAGCAGTTCCATATTCAAGAATATGTAAAGCCTTTAAAAATTAAAAAAATATTTTGAGAAAATATAAAAGTATATGCTCAAATATGGGTAATTATTGTTTAAGCCTCTTAGTGAAGAGGGTAATTAATCGAGAGGGGCAATTGTCTGAGAGAGAGAGGGTAAAATCAAAATATATTACAGTTTTTCGTAATATTCCAAAACGACGTTCAGCTTGCGAATCTCCAGAAATAAGACGGCGAACGTGCTTTCCAAGTTGCCAATTTAGCCGTATATCCATTCTACGAGTTCTAGCCTCAATACACAAATCAGCAAATTGTCCAGTAATTTGTTGGGGTAAATTAGTTGTTTGTTGTCCTTTGCTTTTTGTTTGGCTTGGAACTAACTGATCTTTAATTTAAAAATATTTTAAGTTCCAAAAAATTAATTTTGTAACCATTCTCTGTTGGTCTTAATCGTTTATTCCAATCAAAATATTGAGAACAATTTAAAGGCCAATGAGGCTCTTCCCCACAATTTTTACACCAAAAAAGAGAACATTTAGTACAAATTAAATGTCCAAATTTATTTTCATTTTCTTCTTCAATTTCCAAAATTGTTTTACAATTTGGACATTCAGATAATTGAATAAAATTATTTTTATTTTTATTAATTTCTGCTTGATATAATAAACAAATAGCATTGACGGTTGGAAGAGAAAATAACCAAAACAGAATGTCCAGTGGAAGAGGAGAATTTACACAAAGCTAAAATTGAAGTTTTAAATAATTAGTTTCAAATAATTAGCATTGTCTGGAATTATCAGAAAGGAAGGTCAAATCACCGCTGACTATTAACTCTGTCTTAATAATTTAATTTATGGTACTTTATGGATATGTCACCCCCCTCCTATTTTGAGTCTCAGAGTTTTCCTTATGCGTAGAAAATGGTCAGAGATTATTTTCTTCTCCATCTCATTCATTTTTTTCTTCTTCAAGTATTTTGCTTGTTTATTTTGCCCTTTCACATATTTTTGAATTAATTTCACTCATTTCGTTTCCACATTTCACTTATTTTGCTTGAAGAAATTAAATGATTGACATGGAGAAGAAAATAATCTCTGACCATTTTCTACGCATAAGGAAAACTCTGAGACTCAAAATAGGAGGGGGGTGACATATCCATAAAGTACCTAATTTATTCTCGAGTTTATTTTTTATTTGTAACGCGGCAGTGGTTGTATTCTTTTCGGTCTGTTCTTGTTTATAAAAAATCACCGGGCAATGAAGATTTGCTGATCCCCCAATTAATTGTTGTTTTAAATTATTATTTAAACATTCCCGACAAATTCTATGTCCACAAGAAGGAAGCATTGCCAAAGAAGGATTAGTATTTTTATTATGGCAACAACAGCAAAGTAGAGGTAAAGAATTGAGTATTTGTTTTTGTTCTTTTTGTTGTTCATTATTTAATAATTCATTTATATCAATTAATTCAAAAGCCTCTTCTTCTTCTTCATCTTCTTCCCCCGCTTCTTCTCCCTCAATCATTTTATTTTCAATTTTAGGTAACAAATCTTCAGTCCAAACAAATTGACTTTCATCCCTTCCAAATTCCTCCCTTTGCAAAGTCAAAATTGAAAGAACAGAAATTGGTTTAGGGGTTATGGCAAGTCGGGGAGAATGAAAAACTGCACGTAAATTATCCAAAGAATTGGGCAATTGGAAACGTTGTTGCTCAATTTCCCATCTTTAAAAATATGTAAATATTTTTTATTTTAAATTAAAAAGAATTGTCTCTCTCTTTAAAGTAACACTTTCAAAATAAAATTTTAATTTTTCTTTAAAAATTAAAAACAAACTCAGCAAAGTCAGCCCTAATATTTTCTAACAGATTTTTGACAATTTGATCAAAAGATGTATTATTTTCTTTAATAAAAACATTTTGTAATTTACATTTATCCAAAGGAATTAAAGAATTAATAAATATTTGGGAAGGGCTAATAATCTTTAAAAAATAAATAAATATTTTCTTTTCAAAATTTAAACAAACCAAAACAAATAATTGATTATTATTTGGAGAAATTTTTGTTTTAATTTCCAATAAAGAAGTTAAATTAATTAATAAAAGGTTATCACCCAACCATTGGGGATGAAATTGGGGAAAAGCTTTTTCAGAGAAATTTTGTAAAAAATTTGTAGAAATTGAGAAATAATGTAAATAATTATTGGGAATTGTTTGGATTTGTTGGTGATTAATTTGTTGGCGAAGAAAATTAATTATTTGATTGTTGATATTTGTAGATGATGAAGAAGGGGGAGGTGGAAGTTGAGATAAAAGCTGAAAAAGAGAGAAGGGAAGGATAAAAAAAGAAATAAATTGTTTCTATGAAATACAAAAATATTTTTTGAATTTTGTATGGAAATAGTGCCCTTCCAGATTTTTGAAGTGTAAGACGGAAGAAGAAAGTGGAAGGGCAAAAAAGATGGAAGAAATTCAATCCCCTGTGTAAACCCCATTATCAGAAAGATCACAGGCGCCTAATTTACTAAACTTTTCCAAAACCCGTAACAAAATATTCACTTGATTATTTTCACTATTTTCATCATTATTATCAACATTAGGTAATTCAACATCATCAGGTAATTCAACAAATTCCATTTGAGGCACAATTGTATATTGCCCATCTTCCGTATCTTCAAAACAATTTAAGGCAGAATTTTTAGAATTAATTGAAGAAGAACAACATTTATTTCTACGAGATTGTTGACCACGACGAATAATTAAAGGAGAGGAAGATGAGGGATTTTTATTATTTTTAATAAAATCAGCCAAAGAATAAGTTTCTCTTTTTGGACTAAATAAAAGATTTTCTTTAAATTATTTTCTTTTCCAAACCGATATTGGGCAATAAATTCATTTTCTTCTTCAGGTTCACTTTCAGCAATAATTAATTTAGTATTTTTAGAAGGACGATTAGAAGAGATGGAAGAAGTTGTAGATACTTCCATTACAGATTTTGTACATGAACGAAAAGTTTTCCTTCCTTCAGAAAAAAATATTTTAAAAAAAAAATATCTTTAAAAACTTGTAAATATTTTCCCAGCAAAAACTCTTGAAAGAAGATTTGGTTTAGTTAAATGAAAATTAATTTGTTGTTTTTTGGGTATTTCATTCTCTTCTACCTCTTCATCTACTACTTTTTTTAAATCAGCTAAAAGAGCTCCTCTTTTACTTTTTGACATTTTTGTTTGTAAATACCCACTTTCAGCATCAAAACTATGTAAAGCTTTTACCTTTAGAAATTCAAAAAATATTCTTTTTTAAATAAATTTAATTTACAGATTCATTCCCAGTCATTGAATAATTAGTTTCTGCTAGACAAAAACGCAATTTTTGTCCATCAGAACCTCCAGACAAATCAGAGAGCCAATCAACCCCGTCTTTCATCCAACGGCTCTTTCGATTCAAAGAATAAGGCACTGAAAATTAATTTAAAAAAATTTAGAGGAGAAAATTAATTTTAATATTTTATTAATTTTTAAATAAAAATAAATTGACATTCAAATAATTGAAAAAATTTGTGAGTTTTTAGAGATATTAGAAAGAAATTTAGAAACTCATAAATAATAATGATTCTGAAAGTATAGCAACAAATACTAGGTGTTGAGAAAGGTTGAAGGTTAGGGTTGTCGGTTTTAGACAGAATCGAAACTGAATACCGAAGATTTTTAGTTCGGGTTTGCGAGGATTGGAATCCGTGAGTTAAAAAGCCAAACAAATAAATTTTTAAATTTCTCACCACTAGGTGCAAATTGTTCGGCCATCAACTCGGAAAGGACACGTCCTCTACGGCGATGGCCTCCCCAGCCGCCGACAGAGTTACTCTTATTTCCACTTAACTCCTTGCCGCCGCCAGGCCCACCGCCACCAATTCTTACAAGAAAAGCCTTTAAAAGAATCTTTAAAAAATATTTTTAATTAATTAAAAACTTGATTAGCTAATTTTCTACGCCAAATAGCCTCTCCAGCATTTCGACGCCCTTTAGATGGTTTTCCACTTCCTTTACTTGAACGTTGATCTAACAGGCTTGGTTTTGATTCGAGGAAAGAAAATTCCCTAAAAATTAATTAATTGTTTATAAAATATAAATATTCCCCTCCCCCCTCCCCTCCACTTTTTACTTTAAAATAAATTTTATTTTTCTTCTAATCTTTTAATAAATCAAAAATTAATTTTTTTTGTATTAATTTTAAAATTAAAATATTTTATTTTTAACAAAAAAAATTATTCTCTCTCTCTCTCTCTCTCCCCCAAAACTTTCCATTCAAAAAAAGTCATAAGATAATCACATGTTTAGACTTAAAATATCGCTATTATATTTTTATTTTTTTTATTTTCTTTTATTTTTCTTTTTCAAAAAAACCAGAAATGATGTATTATTTACTAAATTTCTTTTGAATTTTTTGTCTAAATTTTATAAAGAATTTTTGTTCTTTAAATTTTTAATAGTTGAATGAAAAAATAAATAAAAGATTTTTTAAAGAATTATTTAAAAAAAAGCATTTTCTCTTTAAAATTCGATAAAATAAAATATTAAAAAGATTAAATGCTCCCTAGAGGGAATAAAGTCAGACTAAGAGATTCCATTTTGAGACAAGGAAGTAATAAAAAGGATTTTGTTTAATTTAAAAATTATTTAAAAATTTAGAATTTAATCCTTATTTTATTTAAAAAATAATTTTTATTTATTTGTCTACCTCCTCTAAATTTATTTAAAATATATTTTTGTAAAACTAACAAAAAAGGGCAACTAAACAAAACACACAAAATTTTTATTTGTTAATAAAGTTGCTGAAAAATATTTATTTTAAATATTTTCCCTGAAAAATAAATAAAGAAAATATTTAAATAAAAATAGAAACAAAAAAATCCCAGGAAGAAATAGAAGAAATTAATTTAAGACTAAAAACTAAAAATATTTCTGAAAAAGAAACACGAGATTGGCCAAAGAATATATGTATTTACATATTTCGCTAATTAGTAGAAAAAGAAAAGAAAACTTAAAAAATATTTAAATATATTTTTATTTTTTTTAATTATTTATTAAAATTGGCTAAAAAATAAATTTAAATAAATAGGTAAAATTTAGGAAAGAAAATTTATAAAAAAATTATATTATGTAAATTAATTATTATTTATGTATAATTTTCTATATTTATTTCCATTTATTTTATTAAAAAAACAATTTTATTTTTTAGTTTTATTTTTATCAAATTTAAAAATCTTAAAAAGTAAAAAAATATAATTTTTTACCCTTCATTATTGGCCAAGTCAGTCACACGGTTCGAGGCCAAAGTAGCAACCGAAGAATCAGTAAAGGCAGGCGAAGAGCGGGGAAAGCAGAACGCCGTAGGCGAACAAGTATTTGAAGAAGACATAATTTCAGGTGGCGGTGATTGAAGCGGCGATTGGAGAAAAAGTAGAGGAGAGAAACTGAGCGGCTGACGCTGAGTGAAAAGAGAAGATTTTTCTAAAAATTTAAAAATTTAAAAATAAATAAAGAGAGAATATTTAATTTAATTTAATTTAATTTATTGAGTAAACCACAAAGTACATAAAAAAGTACAATTATAGTGGTAAAATAAAAAATAAATTTTTAAAATACTATAAGAAAATGTCATAATAAATTTATAAAAAAATGTCAATCTAGGAGGATAAGGGAGTTGCGAACTAAAACCTCTATTTTATAAAGTTATTAACAAGTACTCTAAATTTTTGCGAATTATATGTTTGTAAAATTTCATTAGGTAAGCTATTCCAGTTATTTATGATTCTATTAAAAAAATTATTTCTAGTTTTACCGTTAAACTTTTTGTTCCTTAAACAAAATATTTTCCTTTTAGCTTTTACTGCAAAATCAAAGTATTTTTGTGGGTCTAGATGCGTCTGTTTTGAAATAATTTTGTGCGCCATTACAAGATCGGCTACTTTTCTTCGATGGCTTAGTTGTTTTAGTTTGAATTTGTTAAGTCTTTGTTCATAAGGTAGTGGCGTTATTCCTGTGATTTTTAATGCTCTTCTTGTAAAATATTTTTGTACTCGCTCTATTTTATTAATTTGAAGAATTCTGTTTGGGTTCCAAATTTCAGTGGCATATTCAAGTTGAGGACGAATATAAGATTTATATACATTTATTAAAGTCTTAAATTCTCTAGTTTTTAATATTCTTAGTATTTGATAAGTTATAAAGTATGAATTTTTAACTATTTTATCAATATGTTTGTTAAATTTTAAGTTGTTATCAATTAGGATACCTAAGTCTCGTACGCAATCTGATGTGTTTAATGTTTGATTAAATATTTTATATTCCTGTTTAAGGTTTCCTTTTCCTATATAAAGTATTACACATTTCTTAATTGATATTTCTAAAAAGTTTGATATAACCCAATTTTGTAATATTGTTATTGATTCATTAAGATAATTAATATTAGAATCATTATTATGTGAAATATAAAGCTTTATATCATCTGCATATATTTTATAGCCTATTTCTTTTGGAAGGTTGACAGGGAAATCATTAATAAAGATTGTGAATAAAATAGGTCCCAAAACACTGCCCTGGGGAACACCTGAATATGTATGAAAAGATCTTGAAAACGAGTCATTTATTTTTACACGGTAGGATCGTCCTGTTACAAAATGCTTTATGAATTCAAAAATTTTTCCAGATATACCAGCATTTTTAACTTTTGTAAGTAATAAATTTATTGGAACTGTGTCAAAAGCTTTTTTTAAGTCGATATAAATTACATCTATATTCTGATTGTTACCTACTGCATTGTAAAAATCTTCTAACATTGTTAGAAGTTGTGTAGTAGTAGATCTTGATTTGAGGAAACCAAATTGATTTTTATCAAAAAAATCCTTATTATGTAAAAATTCTATAATATTATTAGCTATGATTCTTTCAAAAACTCTACATAATGTACAAGTTAGGGAAATTGGCCTATAATTTTCTGGATCTGTTGTTATTCCTTTTTTATGTATAGGTACTATAATTGATGTTTTCCAAATGTCGGGTATATTTTTACTATCTAATATTAGTCTAAAGATTTCTGTAATATATTGTGCGATTTGATCACACGATCTCTTTAATAATATATAGGGTATTTGATCTGGTGATGTTGAATTTCTATTTGGAAGTCTTTTAAGTAAATCTAGAATTTGCAGAATATCAAAGTTTATATCTTTGATAAGATTTTGTGAATTAGAGTTAGGATTTTGAGAGTAGACGTCAATAAATTCTTGACTTTGAGTTTCTTTATCAGTGAAGTTACTTTGAAAACTTTCTGCAAGTAACTCACATTTTTCCTGATCTTTTGTAAGTATATTTCCTTTTTTATCTATTAATGCGTCAATACATGCGTTTGTTTTAAGTTTCTTTTTAATAAATTTGTGAATTGCATTTGCACCTTTTGATATAATGGTGTTCTCCTTATTATAATGAAATTTTTGTAATTGAATTTTAAGTTGTCGTGAGATAATTTTATATTTTGTTGCTAGATTAGAATTAGGAGATTCCTTCAAGGTTTTGTGTAATTTTAGTTTTTCTTGATTCAGAGATCGGATTTTTTGTGGATATTCGTTTTTAATTATGGTATTTATAGTCCTAAGTGGTATGAATTTATCATAATAAAAATATAGTATTTCAGTAAAAGAATTATATTTTTCATTGATTGCATATTTGTCAGACATATATTTTATAAAATCAAGTTGTGTTAGCTCTATGTTTAACTTGGAGAAACCTTTTTCTGTTACTTTTCTTATATATATCTTCTTTTTTGGAATACGCATAGTGCATAAGGAAAGATTGAACTTTAAGGATTTGTGATCAGATGTTGAAAAATTTTCAGTGATCTCTAAATTTCTAACTAAGTCATGGGGTCTCGAAAATACAAGATCTAAGATATTATCGCCGCGAGTAGGTGATGTAACATGTTGTTTAATTTGGGTGCGATTAACAAATTCAATAAATATTTGTGTAGTATTATCGTTTGAACAAGAGTTTGTTAACCAGTTTATTGTGTTAATATTAAAATCACCAGCTATTATTAAGTTTTTATGGTTTAAGTCAGCAATATATTTAAGTATTTTATTAGTACTAGATTGATTAAGTGATGGGGGTCTATATAAAGTAATAACAATAGTAGGTTTGGTAATTAGAATCTCAATAATAATAATTTCGCAACCAAATTTTGTCCCACAGAACAAAAGTTTGACAGGTATAGTTGATAAAATTAAAAGACAACAGCCACCTCCCCTTTTATTTGGACGATTTGCAAAGTAACACTGATATTTATCACCCATTGAAAAATCTGTTTTTATACAATTAGATTGAGTAAGCCAGCTTTCGGTAATCATACAAATGCTAGGGTTATGTATTTCAAGAAAATGTTGCAAATCAGGCACTTTATTATTTAGTGATCTGCTGTTAAAGCAAAGGCATGTTAAATTTTTTATATCTATATCAATGTTAGAATTTTTTGACTTTCGGGGTTTACTCAATTTATCCTATTTAGTATTGAGAGGTTTAGGTTCGCGTAACTCCCTTATTTGTAGGTCAACTACATAATATTTAAAAAGTTTGCATGAAGCATTAAGTGAATATGCTTTAGACCGTTGTGAATATAATATTGCTAATTCGGCCGGGATCATATCCCTTCGAACAGTAAGATTTTGGGGAAGGGAATGTATTTTACGCAAAGTGTTTCTAAAAGAATACAAAAATTTGTCACGCGAAATAGAGTTTTTAAAAGAAATTTTAATTAATTTTGGTTTTTTGTTTATTTCGCTAGACATATTTTTGTTTTGTGGGTGACGGTGTGTATGTTCTGGCAAATATTCATTAGTAAGTCCAATAGAATCAATAATTTTTCCTACCACTTCCTTCTCATCCATAGATTCAGGTAGTTTTTCTAGAACAGCTCTACATGATTTTTGCTTGAGAAGATCCCCATTAGATGCTGCTGAAGATATTAGTTTCATAACAAGGTCAGGTGGAGGACTTAGGGCAGAAATAGGCGAACCCCATGATGGTTGGGAAGTTGTGTTGTTGTTATTATTGTCAATACGTGTTAAAATTTCTTCAATTTTTAATATTTTTTCTTCAATTTTTTCAATACGTGTCAATACAATTTCATTAGTATTATTTTTTTTATTTGATGTTGTCAAGGGAGTAACAATATTAGAAATTTTTGTTGTTAATTGCTCTACTAATTTTTCCAATCGATCTATTCTTTGTTCTATTATATTGCCTTCATCCTCAGAACTTTCTAGTGATTTTTGTCTTTTCTTTGTCGATTTGGACATTGTCAAATCTTAAACTTGGGTAATTAAACTTGGGTAATTAAAAAAAATTAAAAATAAAAAAATTGTTTAATAAATATACTAACAATAAATCAAATAAAAAATTTAAAAAAGTAATAAAACGCCTAATAGGACATTCACGCATGTGGAGAGAAAAACAGATGGTTTTAAATTTAAAAAAGAGAGAAGGAAAATTTAAAAGTACATACAAACAAAATATAAAATTAAATATATTTATTAATTCCTCACCATTATTTAATAAAAATATATTCTTCTCCATCCCGTAATTTTCCCGTATATAAATAAATTAATAAGAAGAGGGGAATATGCAAAATTAAATTTTTTTAGATTTAATTTTTAAATCTTCCAAAAATTATTTTATATTAGCATAATAATTTAAAAAAAAAAGAAATATTTAAATATAAATATTTTATTTTTTATTTTATTTTTATTTAGAAAGCTTTAAATAGGGAAAAGGCCTTTATTTCCAATTTATATTTGTTGGCCATTTATATGAATTTAAGGGAAGGAAGGGAAGGGGCGGGAAATGAATATGTATGTACATGGGAAGACCACGGGATAGAGAAAAATGCGCGTGTGAGAAGAAAAAAATAGCACACAAAAATGAAAGAAGAGAAAAAGAAAAAAGAAAATAAAATCCCGAATTTTTATTAGAAAATATTTTTAAAATACAAAATACAAAAGACATCCCTATTAAATACACCTTTGTTTGATAATAATAAAAGATAAAGCATTAAAGAACTTAAAGAACTCGTAACTACTAAAATTTAAAAAGTAATGGAAATGTCGGGAAGTCAGCTGATCAAAAAATGGGGGCGGCACCCGACTGGAAGAGAAAAAGAAAAAAAAAGAATAAATAATGATGCAATAAGAATAAATTGCTGCCAAATGGAAAGGTTAAAGGTGACGAAAAAATTGAAAAAAAAATACAAAAAATTATTTATCTGTCAGTCATTTGAGAGAGGATGATAAATATATTTATAATTGACTGTCAATAAGAGAATAAATAAAAAAATCGGAAATTAAATTTATTGATTTTAAAATATAAAAATCCAAAAAATTACTAACAAAAAAGTTCCTCGTTATTCACCTTAATTTTATTTTTCTTTGTAAATTGTCATAATAAATTTTAAATGAAAATACTTTTTTTTCTTTTTTAATAATAATAAATTTATTTAAAAAATCCTTTATTAAATCTCCTTTCCCTCTCCCTCAAATCCTTTCCCCTTAATTTTAAAATAGAGGTCGCTTTATATTTCACATTTTACTTTTTCCCGATTTTTCTTTAAATTTGTCCTTCCTTCTTGACTTTAAAAACAAATGTCCCTCTCCCGTTCTTTAAATAAGCTAATAAAAATAAATTTAAAGGCAAAAAAGTATTTCAGAGAAAAATAGTAAAATATCAGCTTTAGAGAAATAAATTTATGTTTAATCATTCATTTTCTCGTTTTTTTTCTCAATATGTGTGGCAATAAATTTAAGGAGGTATAAGACGGTAAAGAATAAACAAACACAAAAACAAGAAAAATATTTTTGTTTGTAAAAAATATTTATTTACAAAAATTGATTTTCAAATAAAATATTAAAATTTTTGTTATTTATTGAGAGAATTAATTAGTCATTTAGTTATAAAATTTCACGACTTCTCAAAATTTATTATTTTAAAGCTAATGAATTAAATAAGAAAGATATAACCATTTTCGAATAAACCAAAAATTAATTTAATTTAATTTTTCACTAATTATAAATTTTCTTCCTTTAAATTTAAATAAAAAAGAAAATCCCCAAACAATCAACCGCCAAATCCAGTAAATTGATGTGGGAGAAAGTGAGGTATTGAATACGGAAATATGTAGTATGTACTACTAGAATAGCTGACCGTGCCAGCCAGCCAACCCCTCCCCTCCTCCCTCACAAAAATATATTTATCTATAGCCTCAGGCAGTCCCCCACTCCTGCCACACTAAAAACACATTCACTTACTCAATTTGCGCTCTAGCGGCATAATCTTTTAGAAAGCCTTATTTGGGTGTATTTGTTATGGGTTTGTGTGTGTGTGTGTGTTTCTTTGTGGTTTCTCTACTATAAATAACCCTCCTCCATTTGTTAGCCCTCACATAAATTCACAGTTTGAATTCACACAAAATATGGTTATATATAGTGGATATGACATATTTATTGTGAGGTAACAAAAAATATATATCCCTATACTAATTTTAATTCTAAACAATCCAAAAAAGCTGTTTTCTATAAAAATATGAAAAATATTTTTATTGGATTAAAATTGAATGAGTGGCACACAGCAATTATTTCCAAATTTGGTGTGCGCGAAAATTGTTCATTCATGTGTGTATTTGAATGAAAATTATTGAGAAAATGTGTTGAAATTGAGGTTAGTAGTTGGAAAAGAAAGGAAAGAAAATTGAAAATAAATTATTTTAAAATGAAAAAAAAAGTTGAGATAAAAATGTTAGACAAGAATAAATAATTATTTTTAGTTATTATTGAAAAGAAAACTAAAAGAAGAATAAACAAAATTTAAAAGAGAATATTTATTTTTTGATTTAAAATAATGTTATCGAAAAATAAATATAAATTTTATCAATAAATAAATAAAAATAATATCTATTTCTCTCAACTAAACTAGTTAATTTTTTTATCTAAATAAATATTTTTGTGTTATCTATTTGATAGACAAATAAAATATATATAAGATATATTATTTGTTCATTAAACAATAATTTCTTTACACATTTATTTGAACGGATTTATTGTCCTTTGACCTCTTTTTTTCTCTTATTTTTTGCTCTTCAATCATTTAATATTTTAGTTTATTTCCTCTAACTTTATCCGGGAGGATTGGAGACAGAAGAGATATTTAATTGACAAGGATTACTTTCCCAGCTGTTAAATAAAAGAATTTTTAGGGTTGGAGGAGGGGAGGAAGGAAGGGTTAGAAATAAAGACATATAAATTGTAGTAAAAAAATTTAAAGAAAAAACAATTAAAAATTAAAGTTTAAATATATTTTAAACAAAAAAGTATGTCTCTTTTGGTATGTTAGAGATTTTTTGTGGAATGTAGCCAGAATGGTAGCTCTCAACATTTTAAAGGACCAAATTTTAATATTATTTAATAATATTGAAACTACGAATTTTTCGGGGCAGAACAGAACAGAAATTTTTGGTTCAGATCAAACTAATGGCAAGAATCTCACTTAACCCTTTAGCAAAATCTTCCCTTACCATCCTAGTACTTTTTCTTTTGCTTAAAACAATTCTGATTTCTTGGAATTCCAGGCGTTGCCTTCTAGCAATAATTAATTTTTATTTTTTATATATTAAATAAAAAATATATATTTATTTATATGTCATATAATAATAAATCATAAGTTACCCCGCTAGTAAAAAAATGAAAAGTGACGATAGTTTTGCTGCATTCGCTTAATCAAATAAACAATTTGCATTTTCTCATGCAAATATAAAGTTGATTTTTTTCTAAATAAAAGGTCTCCCGACGTTATCATCCAATTCTCGTTCCTTATCTTATTTTTGTTATTCACTTTCTGTTTAAATATTGACCCTTAAATTGTTCTATAAATACTCTTGCCTTTTCCTCATTATCAGAAGTTTTGGCCTAGCCAATTCTCTCCCTTATTATTGTATCCCATATTTATATGGAGAATGAATAAATATGTAAATAATCTAATTCAGTCTAATATAAGTCCCCAGAATAGTAGAACCCGATTAAAAGCTATAATACCCAAATATAGCAAGTTTTTAATATAAAATTTTAAAAATCATGGTGAAATCGAGAAATTGATTAAAATTAAAAACAAATATTTAAAAAAATTAATTTAATATTTTGAGATAGTTAGCTTGGAAAAGGCTTTACAAAAATTGTCAAAAAAATTTAAAAATTAATCCAACAGTTTTTATAGACAAAATATTATTTTAGCAAAGAATTTTGAATTTAAGGAGAAGCTCTAAACAAATAATTGAAAAAAAACTTGAAGATTTTAAAAATAAATATTTATTTTATCTATTATTAATAGGGCGTGTCAAAATATGCACGGAAAATCCCAAAATATGCGCATATATATGCACAGAAAAAGTCCAAAATATGCACCAAAATATGTAAAATATGCATTAAATATACTGCAAAAATAATGAAAATATGCTTTGAAAATCAATATCTAAATTTAAAAAATACTAAATTAGCATCTAAATTGCAGTTTAAGAGCATTTCTAAATGATTTTATGATCTTAAAATTTAACCAAAAAAATTTTTTTGAAAAAAATTTATCGCGAAAAATTTTTCAAAAAAATTTTTTCGAAAAATTTTTATTAAAAAATTTTTTTCCCAAAAAATTCCTAAATTTTGAAAATTTTGCCCGATTTTTACTAAAATTTCTCAAAAAACGCCAAAATATGCACAAATTTAGGTAAAAATATGCAAAATTTCCCAAAATATGCATTGATATGCAAATATGCACGAAAGTACCGAAATATGCAAAAATATGCTATAGGAACCCGGTCCCTAATGTTCGTACCGATGTAAAAACACCATTTTTGAGCGTTTCAGCTCATGGCATATCCGCATGCAAAATATGCATTTGCATGTTTTGACACGCCCTAATTATTAAATTTAAATTATTTTTAGAAATTTTCTTTAAAAAAATATTTTTTTTATCAATAAACTAAAACATTTATGTTTCCGTGGAGATGGTGAAAATTTAAAGAGAAAAAGAAGAATATTTGTCAAGAACTGCGCAAAAAAAGTAAATGCGCATTGAAGAAAAAATAAAAGAAGCTTTTTTAAATAAATAAATAAACTAGAAAAAAGTAAAAAAAAATCGTCACTGCGCCACCCACACAAAAATATATATTTATTTATTGTTTTAATCGATCATTAAAATCTGTTAATAAAATAGAAAAAAATTAAAAAAAGTTTTTGTTCTTTTGAAAAATATTTTAAAGAATTTTAAAGGAAATTTTTGAAGGTTTTTGGAAGAAAAAACCAAAAATGGCCGCAGGAATCGATTTTTAACAAGAATAGAAATATGTAGCAGTAAACTAAGAAAAAGAATGGCCAAGAAGATGCAATAAATATATTTATGTATGTAGACTTGGAAAACATCAAAAATGAAATAACAGAAAGGGGGGAGAGATAAGATTAATAATAAGTACTTTAAATTTTGTTTTAAATTTTAAATTTAGTTAAATAAGCATTGTTTGGAGAAGGGGTTAACAACCTTTTAATAATTGAATAAAAAGAAATATAAAAATAATATTATAAATAAACTTCTATTAAAATATTTTTTCTTTATTACTTTTAGTCAAAATAAAATATATTTATTTGTTTGTTTGTAAAAAGTGCCAGAGAATTTTAATTCGAATTTCAAAAATGAACTAAAAAATATAAAATAAGGAAAAAAAGGAGAAAAGAATTGGGGGTTTTATATATTTGGCAAAAAAGCGAGGAAATTGGTTTTTGAAAAAAAAGAAAAAAAAGAAATGGTTGGATGATTGTTTAGTTGAAATGAAATGTCATGGACAGACTGCCGGAAGGCGATGACGACAAGGGACAAGACAACGTTTCTTTTAGTATTTTATATTGCTACTTTTTAATATAGCGCAAAATAAATGTGAAAAAAAAGGATTAAAATAAATAAATAAAATATTTAATTGTAATGTTTTTATTTGACAAATGTTAATTTTTAGTTTTTTTTAAATTAATTTGATAATTTTGCTATTTTAATTGCAAAATAATTTTTATTAAAAATAATAATTAAATTTTGCAGAAAAATATTTGGAGGAAAATTAGGACATCAAAATTTTAGAAAGTTAAAAAAATAAAGAAAATTTTTCAGGTTTTTGAAATCTTGTGAAAGATTTGTCGATTACAAAGACTATCTATCCCTCAAAATTTTATCTGGCAATTTAATAATTTTTATTTAAAAATAAATTATTTAGATATTTTTTCAAAAAAATTAAATAAAAAGAAGGGTTTATAAAAAAATTTTTAAACTTTTAAAAAACTTGTTTGTAGCATTGGATTTACATACATAAATATATTTAAAAATTAAATTTTAATTAAAAATAAAATTAATTCTCGATAAACTACATAACTACTTTAATATTTATTTAATCAAAAAATTTTTTAAAAATATTTTTAATTCGAAAAGGATAATTTTTTATAGACTGAATATTTAAAATATTATCGTCATTTCCTCCCTTCATTATCGAAATATTCCTTTCATTTTTATTTATTTTAATTTCAAATGTTTCTTTTAAATCTTCTTCTTCTTCATAATTAAAATTTGTTTTTCCAATTCTTTCACTAAAAAATAAAAATTTTTTATTTAATTTATTCAAATAATTTTTATAAAATTATTATAAAGAATATAGTCAACAATTTAAAGAATATCTTTAAAAACCACTCTCGATATTTTGACTTTGATTTTTAAGTTTGTTATTTAAATTAACAAAAATAAATCCAAAAATAACCTTTTAATTTCTTCCTCTTCTCTTTCAAAATTAAAATTTTTAAAAGAAGTTTCTTCAATTTTATTTTCAGGTATTATTGTATATTCAATTTCGTCCATTTGGGCATCAAAATAATAATCACTATTACTATAAATACTTGTTGAATTTGAAATAAATCTTTCTTTAGGGAAATTATTACAAATTAAATTATTTTCTGAATAAATTGAAATTGAAGAAAATGATGGACAAACAGAAGAATTTGGAAGTAAAAATGGAGGTTGAGTAGAAAATTCTAAAAAAAATTTTTTTGAGGAAAAATAATAATTAAATATTTACTTTCTTCTTTTAAATCTCCTCTAAAGGAACAAACATTATTAAAATTAACAGCTAATCTATGATTTGAACAATTAATTGCTTTCGCACATAAAACCAATTCTTGAAGTAATTCTAAATCAATCTGTAAAAATAGTATATTTTGTATATTTCACACTCTCCCTCTCTTTAACTCTCAAAAACACTTAAAAAAGGACATTATATTCTTCCTAATTTTGTGTCAAAAATTGGAAATAAGTAAATTTATTAGAATCTCCCAATCATTTATTTCTAAATGTCTCGGACTAAACTGATTGTTTTAAAAAATTATTTTATAACGATTGTCATTTCTTATTACCTTTTCACAAATTTAAATTCTTTTTTGATGATTCCCTCTTATCTGAATAATTTTTTCATTATTTTCCCCACAACCAAACGATTGGCTTAAAAACATTAAAATAGGTAGAAGAGAACAATTAATTGACACAAAAATTTAATTCAGATAAAGAAATTATTAGAGAAAGATTAAAAATGATTTTTCAAATTTCCTATTCAAATTCTTTTTCTCTTTTCAAAAAAAAATAGAAACCTCAAATTCAATTTCTTCATATAATCCAATATTTGCTTTATTATAGCAAAGTAATTGAACATTATTTATACAATTTATAACATTATTAATTTCTAACTAATTTTTAAAAATTATTTTAAAAATTAATTTAAAAATTACCAAAACATTTTCAACTTCAATAATTAAAAAATAATTAAAATAAAAATTATTTTCTTCAATATTTTTGTAAAAGCTAACTTTTCTAAATAAACATTTTGAAGGAAGTAATTGACATAATTCTCGTATAGCACACCAATTATACCAATCAGAAACAAAAGAATTTAATTTTATATTTTCTTTACTACATTTATAACCAAAAAATAAATGCCCTTTTTTGTTTAAAAAAATAATAATTATTTTTTAATTTTAATTAATTACCTCTATAATTTTGTTCTTCTTCCTCTTCCTCTTCTTCTCCCTCATACTTATCTTCCTCGTATTTTTCTTCAATTATATATTCACCCCAAATACTGCTTTGGCCAGTAAAGCTTTTTGTGATACTGCAATCTTTAAAAAATAATTAGTAAATATTTGTTACTGTAAGTTTTTTAAAATATTCCCGGGGTTGTTTTATGGTATTTAAATGTAGCTATTTAATTTCTAATAAGAGAATAGGAAATTTAATTTAAATATTTACAATTTCCTTCTTTATTTCCAAATTCACTTTCATCATCTTCACTTAAGAAATTAGACACCCCTTTCCATTCAACAGATTGTATTTCTTCAAAAATGCAAATTTCTTTATTTTCTCGTTTTTTAATTGGAGAATTATTTGTTTCAACAAATATTGCATCAATATATTTATTTAAATTTTCTTTTTAAAAATTTAATTTTTAATTTTTAAATTTATTTTTAAATAACCAGAATTTTCATTAAAAGAGCAACATTTAAATCTTCTTAATTCAATTGAACGACAATTTTGTAAATTTGGGAAAACACAATTAATTGAATCAAAAATAAAAGTATTGTTTTTATTTGAAAGTAAATTTAAAATTAAATAATTGCTTGAGGAGGAAGGTTGTTGTCGTGGCATTTTTTAAATAAAATAAATTTTTTATATAAAAAAATTTGATAATAAAAATGGTAGTTTTTAATAAATTTTAAAGAATTAAAGCTTTAATTTATTTTTATCAATAAACAAATTTAACAGCTTTCATGTTTTTCCCTTTTGGAATCATTTTTTTAAATTTCAGAATTTTTAAAAATAAATAGACTTTATTTATTTTGTTATTTCTGTATTTGTTAAAATTTAATGTTAATTATTTTAACAGGAAAATTTGAAAAAAAATTATTTTTAACAAATTTTACTCAAAAATTTTATCAAATAAAATTCAGCAAAATGGATGAGAATATTTACTTGTATACATATTTTCCTTTTAAAAAATATTCTATCCAATATCCAAATCTTCTTTTCAACTATATCCCAAAGGACAATTAATCAAATGGCCGAACATTTTAAGTAAAAAAGTATTGAAAATATATATGTACATATACTTTTATTGGAAAAAAATTTAAATAAAATTATTTTTGTTGTTTTTTAAATATTTTAAATTAGAATATATTTTTGTAAAAAAAATTAAGAATAATCCAAATATAGCTAACTTTTGAGGAAGGCAGAAACAAGTTAATTGTCGGTTGTTTTTACGAACGTAAGCTTTTAATTATGAAATTTGGAAATAAAATTTTATTTTCATTTACCGGAATTGAAAGAAATTTTGTTAAATTTTTCTTTCAATTTTTTCTTTCAATTTGGAAAATTTGCTAGAAAATTTGTGATAAATATATAGTTTGTATTGTAGTTTTATAGTCTTTATTTTTGGATTAAATAAACATAAATATATGTAATTATTTTTATTTGATTATAATAAATAATTATGTATATATTTTTATAAACAAAATTCCCAATAATTTAATTCATTAATTATTTTTACTGATTTCTCAACTAAAATAGGTGTGCCAAACTGAGGAAATATTAATTTGTTATTACTTAAATGCCAAGAAACATTAATGTTAATAATAAAATTAGCCAAAAAATAGCAAAAATGTTTTAATGTTTAAAGTCATAAATGTTATAAAATCTAAGGTATTTTCTCTTTTTTTGTAAGATTATTTTAGAAAATTTAATTGACAATAAAAATGTATTTTATGTGATTTTTTATAAATGTGCTGAAATTTTTTAAATAAAATTTTATTCAAATAAATTTTCTAAATAAATTTTCTCAAGAAAAATGTTCAAATAAAAATTTAATGTTAATTTTTAAATAATTATTTTTTTCAACTTATGTATAAAAAAAATATTTAAAAAGTATTTAATTAATGATTTTAAAAGAAGAAAAAATTTTTGTTTAAAAATATTTTTTAAATATTAAATAATTACATCATTATTTAATATAAAATGACTAACAATACAGATCCAGTAAGAGATTTAAATAAAAAAATTTCTTTATTTTAAATAAAATTTTGAAATTTAAAATTAATAAAGACTAACAAAAATTTTAATAATTTATTTAATTAAAACAATTTTTTAAAAACAGATTTATGCCGAATTTAAAGATAAGGGAATATCTACACCCCTAGTTTTGCTTATATCATGCAAAGTTTTTGTTTGTTTAATAGGGATAATTTTAAATGGAGATCTTGTTTTAATTACTTAATTTATTTAAATTTAAATTTAAAAAATAATTAAATAAAAGGAATTTAAGAGGGGCTTGTAATGTTCAAATAGCATTAAATGCCTTCTCTATTTGTATTCAACAGAGCAGCACTTTTGTAACTTTATTTGTTGTTTTAAGTGGAAAAAACTTTATTTCATTAATTTATTGTGGAATTATTCAAGTAATTATTTTAATTTAAATTTTTTTTAAATAATTTCTGAAGACAATTCCTTTATTTTGTTCAACGTTTACAAATGGAATTGCTTTATCTATTGGAGTTGATAGACTTTTAAGTGTTTTATTTCCTATATGGTTATTTAATAATTTTAAAATTATAATTTAAATTTTAAAAAAGGTATGCTTTACACGATAAAAGGAATTATTTGGTAATAATTATTATTTCCTGTTGCGTTTATTCTGTTATTGTGCCTGTAATTGGACTTAAAATTTCTTTGGAAAATCCAGAAATGTTTGTAAAATTTTTATATAATTTTGTAAAACCTTTCAATATTTCCTTTATTTAATTAATTTTATATTTTTTAAAATAAAACATTTTTAGTTACTAATATTCAGAGTTAAGAAAATTGTTTAGGGTTTTTTAAATTTATATTTTTAAATTATTCTATACTATATAATTATTCTTTAAATTTCAGACCAGTTATGTGCACAGTAATGTAAACGAAATTAAAATTTTTAACAATATTATAAATTTAAATTATTTAAGTGATCCAGTACAGAAGGAAGCAAGTTGGATTGTAATTATGATGCTTATTGTTAATTTAACATCAGTAATTAACTAATAAATATTTATATATAAATAAATAATTAAAAAAGGTTTTTTGTTACATAAATGTTTGGATTATTTTAATGTTTAAAAAATCATCAATGAAAAAGAAACAAAGTAATTTTGATTAAATTTTAAATTAATTTTCTTTAAAAAAGTAAATGTATTTAAATCACTTTCAATGATTTTATTAATGGAAATATGTGGGTGGATAACAAATTATTTAATGAGAATTATCGTTAATTCGGCAAATGATCATTCAGTAAATACTTGGTATTTAATTAATATATCCACAATTGCTCCTTATATTGCTATGAGTTTATCGCCTGTTTCTTTATATATTTTTAGGTATTCAAAAATAAATTTGTTTAATTTTCTAATAATTATTTTAAAAAAAAGTTCTGAATACAATAAAGCATTTATTAACCAATTTAAATTTATTTCAACACCAATTGTTCACCCAACAATTTGTCCAGTTATTCCTTACAACCAAATAATTCCACCAAGTAAATATTTTTATTTTAATTAATTTAAATTAAATTTATTTTCTAGTAAATTCAGCTTCTCAATCATCAAAAGAAAGAATTCAAAGAGAACTTAATAATCAACAACAATTATTTATTAAAAAATAATTAATGAATTAAATTTATTTTTTTTATTTTAAAAAATTAATTTAAAAAAATTTTTTTATAAAAAATAATGACAAAAAAAGTACATATATAACGTAATAGGAAATGAGTTCATAGATGTATGAAATTAAAAAAAATTTTAAGTTAGACAGGAAATTAAATAATAATTAAATATTTTTTAATTTATTTTACTCACTGAATTCTTAAAATATATTTATTTATTATTAAAATATTAAATCACTTTTTGGCGAAAAAATTTAGACATAACTTAAAAATTGATACTAGAAAAATTGATACTAAAAATTTTTTACAAGTTTAATTATGGAATTTAAATCTGTTAATATTAAAAAAAAATAAATTTAAAAATAACGAAAATCAATAAAATAATTTGATAAAAAATTGCACATGTCTGCACTTTTTTCTTATTTCCGTTAATATTTGTAGTTTGGTATTTTTATTTTACACTTTTATATATAATAAAATCCCTTTATAACACGAACTTTCTCGAGACCGGATCTTGTTGACATATGAAGGGAAAGGAGGGAGAGCGGCATTTTAGAGAGATTCCTTTAAACTAAATTTAAAAATTGACTTTTGCCCTAGTATTTAGGGTGCACTTAAAGTGCTTAAAAGTCTAGTGAGGAAGTGCATCATTATTAAATATTTATTAACTCAAAAATTAAATTTATTATTTTTATTAGCTATCAAAATTAAAAATTAAAAGAATTTAAAAAAATATTTTAAAATTTATTTAATTTCTAAAAAATAAATGTGTTGTTTACTTCCTAAATTTGGTTATTTTTTATTTAATTAAATTAATTATTATAAAATTTAAGTTCTTTTTATTTACCTCTCAATTTATTTAATAAAATCAACAAAAAATTCAATACAAAATGGCCATTCTAATAGTGAAAGAATACAGTGTGTTAAGAAATTATAACCCCCTTTGAATTTTTTGAGTTTCTTACCTTCCCGATGTCGGATTGTTCTGAAATTTCTGTAGTAGTGTTGTAATGTATATTAAATAATATTTACAAAATATCTTTAAAAATTTCTGATCTCAGACTTTTTTTTGGACGTTTTTCCAAAAAATCAGTGTTAATAAATTATAACCCCCCTTTAAAAAAATTTTTTTAACGCATGGAATATCTCTACAAAAATTTTTCTGAACATATCTACCAATATAGATAAGAAATACAAAAGAAATGAAGTTCTTATGTATTCCCATCATCGAGATCTCGAAATCCGAAAATCAACGGAAAACCGGGGTAGACGTTTTTAAAAAATATTTTCGACCCCTTACAGGTGAAATAAAAATTTTATTTTGGGCTTATCTGAAAGCCCTTTAAATTTGCTACAAGATAGCATTCATTTTATTTTCAGAAAAAAATTCGCCTATAAGAAACTATGAGTTTAAATTATAGGTTAAATTTCTATCAATTTTTGGGGGCGTTTGAGTGATTTCTATGACTTGAAAATTTATCACTTTGTCTCTCGACGGTGAATTTTTTCTATATAATGAGATAAAAACTATCTTGTAGAAAATTTAAAGGGCTTTCAGATAAGCCTAAAATAAAATTTTTATTTCACCTGTAAGGGGTCGAAAATATTTTTTAAAAACGTCTACCCCGGTTTTCCGTTGATTTTCGGATTTCGAGATCTCGATGATGGGAATACATAAGAACTTCATTTATTTGTATTTCTTATCTATATTGGTAGATATGCTCAGAAAAATTTTTGTAGAGATATTCCATGCGTTAAAAAAATTTTTTTAAAGGGGGGTTATAATTTATTAACACTGATTTTTTGGAAAAACGTCCAAAAAAAAGTCTGAGATCAGAAATTTTTAAAGATATTTTGTAAATATTATTTAATATACATTACAACACTACTACAGAAATTTCAGAACAATCCGACATCGGGAAGGTAAGAAACTCAAAAAATTCAAGGGGGGTTATAATTTCTTAACACACTATAATTAGAAGAAATAAATCTTTATTGGAATTAATTAATGAAGATTGTGAAAATGAAAAATATGAGGAATTAATTGAAAGAATTGAAATATTAAAACCTTACACAGAAAAAGTTTCAAAAAAGGTAGCTATTAAAATGACAGAAGAATTTAACAAAAACCCGCAAAAATATAAATCAGATTTTGATAAAGAAATATTTTTATCGGATGTTAAAGAAAAGAAAAGTTGCGGGGAGATAAAAATAGCAAATTATAAATTATTAAAAGTATGTTGTTTAAAGCAGCTGGGCTATAGCTATTTCTCTCCTTTAGCTAGTGCAAAAGATCAATCGGTGGCTGGGAACAAACCAGCATCTTCATTAGACCGAACTTGATATATGTACTATTTGAGGAATTAATTGAAAATTTATTTTATTTTCTGGAACTGTATTACACTACGCCGCCTACTGCACAACCTTAGAAAATAAATAGCTATATGCTTTACAGTTGTAAATAATTTGTTTTTATAAAATAAACAATTTTTAGTCTAAAAAGGTTTAATAAAGCCTCAAATACATAACAAAATTAATTGTTATGTATTAGATATTTATTTTATTTTCCGGAACTGTATAAATATTAAAATAAAAATTTGGTCAAATCTGATATATGAGGGAAGTAGGACTAGCAATATTTGATGATAAGTAAACCTTAATTAAGAGGGCTGGCAATAGGAATAAACATATAAAACTTGATTATAATTAAATTTCAGAATTCAACAAAAGTTGGTGTTTTTCATGTTGGAGTATTTGTTTGTGGAATTGGTTATTATTAAATTTTAAAATATTTTTTTTAAAGATATTTTTTTAAGAAATCCATTTTCATCGTCCAGGATTGGAATATTGGATTCCAAAATATTTCCATACAAGATTTGATGGTGGACATTTTAAGTATTAAATATTCCTTTTTTTTAATTTAAATTATTTTTTTAATTTAAGAAATTATGATGAAATATTTTTAAAAAATAAAAATGGAGGGGAAAGCCGGAGAAATGCCCAAACAAATTTATCTTTTATTGAAATTGTTGATGTAATTGATAAAAACTTTGCAAAAGATTATACAGCAAAAACATATAATGTAATTACTCATAATTGCCTTAAATTTGCAAAAGAATTAATTAAAACAATTTCTGGAAATTTTTAAAAAAAAGAAAATATTTTTAATTAATTTAATTAAAAAAGATAAAAAGGAAAATGAATATTTTGTTTGGCCAACTTCTGTTATATTTCCTTTAAAGAAACCTTTTATAAAGTCAATGGAAACAACCAAAAAATTTATAAAAAGGCAATTATCGAAGAAAAATTAAAAAGTTTTTGATTTTAAATTCTCCCGAAAAGCATAATTTTTTAACCTTTACTATGTAAACACCCACATAAATCCACACATTGTTTTTTTATTATCTTTTAACATTATTCTTATTTATTATTTTTAAAGAAAATTTCTTCATTTCCGTAAAATATAAGATTTATTAATTACTGGATAATATTTGTTTAAAGAGGGTCATCCCGTATATCGACACTCTTTATACGAATGACCCTGTATATCGAAAAGCATATAATCAACACCAAATTTTTTATTTCATTATAAGGTTAACTCTAAATCTCTCGAAGTAAAGTTTATCCTCCACTCGACCATCCTACCCCCGATACTTACAATTAACCTATAATTATTATTGTAGAATCATTGGATTACAATAATTTAAAGTAGTATTTTTAAAACTTTATTTTATTTGTTGCAACCTTTTCATCGCCAAACTTTTCATCAAAAATTAAATTGAATAAAATTTTTTTTGTCAATCCAAAATTTGTATTTTTTCTTTTAATTTTATTAATTTTTACAGGCAGATATTAAATTAAATTATTAATTTTTTTTATTTTTATTCTTCTAAATGGAAACTGAATGTTCAACAGAATTTATTAAAGAAGGTTTAGCTAAAATATACACAGATACAGAAGCTTTATCATTTTATAATCCAATACAAGAATTTAATAGAGATTTAACGTAAATTTAAACTTCATTTTAATTTTTCTAAATTTTTTTCCTCAAAAAGTGTACTTTTATTAAAAACTTTTACAAAAATAAGAGAAGAACAAAAACAACAACAAATGGAAATCGACAATCCAACAAATAAAATTAAATTAAAAATTAAACAAAATAATGAAGGAATTAAAATTTTGGATGCTTTGTCTGCTTCTGGATTGAGGGCTATACGTTTTGCTTTGGAAATTGAAAATATTGAATTAATTGTGGCTAATGATTTTTCTGAACAAGCTGTGAAAACGATTAAAAGAAATTTGGAATTAAATGGATTTTTAGATGAAACTAAAATTAAAATTAATTTTTCTGATGCAATGCAAGTGAAATTTTTGAGAATTTTTTAAAGAAAAATATTTCTTTAATTTTTGGAGGGGGGGGGGGGGAAGTAATGATTAATTCTCTTTTAAGTAACAAATATTTTTAACTAATTAAAAATTAATTTGCATTGAAATGGGGAAATATTGCCGGGTAATAGTTCAGTTTGTACCTCCACACTTTTTTCTAACCATTTTTTAAATTTTTTCTGCCCTTTCTCCCTTTTCCAAAAACCAAAAATTTATTTAAAATATTTTTCTTTTCAAAATTAATTTCTTCTAATTTTTATTTATTTATTTTTAGCGATTTAATGAATGAGCATCGAAAATTTTCCAAAAGATTTCATGCAATCGATTTAGATCCTTATGGTTCTCCCTCAATTTTTCTAGATTCTGCTGTTCAATCAGTTATTGATGGAGGTTTTAATTTAATTAAAAATAAATTTTTATTTTTATTTTTTAAAGGTATTTTAATGGTTACTTCAACAGACACAGCTGTTTTGTGTGGAAATACTCCCGAAGCTTGTTTTAATAAATATGGTTCTATTCCAATTAAACATAAAGCTTGCCATGAAATTGTAAGAGAAGGAAGAAATTCTATTTTTTTAATTTAAGGAAAAATTTTTGAAAGGGAAAAGGGGGAGGAGGGATATATTGGCTGTTTATTTATTACAAAAATATTTTTTTTTAATTTTTAAAGGCTTTAAGAATACTTCTTCGTTCAATAGATTCCCATGCAAATCGTTATGGTCGTTATATTGTTCCAATTTTATCAGTTAGCATTGATTTTTATGTTAGATGTTTTGTGAGGGTAGAATCTGGTGCTTCTATAGCTAAAGACAGTGTGACGTTAGTTTTTTTTTTGTTAAAATGGTTTTTTTGTTTAAATAAAAGAAAATCCTAAATTTAATTAATTTTTAAATAATTTTTTAGAAAATTGGCAAATATTTTTTCTTGTTCAAATTGTCAATGTTGGTCATTCCAACCTTTAATTAAAAAAACTACAAATAATTCAAATTCTCGTTTTTGTCCAATTCATTTAAAATTTAATTCTTTAATTAATTTAAAAGAAGAAAATAAAATAAAAGAGCCAATTTGTTCTTTTTGTGGATGTAAAGCTATACATTTTGGAGGGCCCATTTATATTGCACCAATACATGATAAAATTTTTGTTAAAAAAATGTTGGAAAGGTTTTTATTTATTTAAATATTTAATTCCTTTTTAAAGTTTAAAAAAAGAAAATAATTTTTGTTTTGGAACAATTAAAAGACTTGTTGGGGTTTTAACTCTTGTTTTGGAAGAATTAAATGATCAACCATTATTTTATGAATTTGAACAATTAATGAGAATAATTAAATGCTCTTCTACACCAAAAAATACTTTTGTCCGTTCAGCATTATTAAATGCTGGATTTAAATGTTCTGGTTCTCATTGTGGCCCTCAAGCATTAAAAACAGATGCCCCAACAGAATTTTTGTGGGATATTTGTAGAGAATGGGTAATTTTAAATAAATTTATTTTTAAATTATTTTTAGGCTAAAAAATCAAATAAAAATCCAAATGGAATTCAAAAATTAAATTCTGTTGGATTAATGTTAATGAACACAGAATCAACGTAAATATTTAGTAAAATTGGACTTGAATGAAGGGATCCCTTTTTAGTATACAAATGGAATTATTTTAATTAATTCAATTTAAACCCATTATTAAATAGTTTAACCGATTTTTCCTCTAATTTAAAAAGGGAAAAAAATTTTAATGGAAATTTAAATCATCTAAATTTAAATCAGAAAAATTGCTTTTTTCAATGAGGAAGTAGATAGAGGCAATAAAAAATTTTTTATTTTTTAGTCGCCCTGTTGATTTTACATTACACAAAGAAGCAATTCCTGCAAGTAAAATAGAAAATATACTTCGTTTTCAAGATAATAAAGGAAAGAATTGGGGACCTAAATCTAAGGCAAAAGGATCTATTAGCTCTGCAAAAGCAGGATTTGGTGAAGAATTTTGATTTTTTATTGTTATTTTCCGTTTAATTGTTACTAAAAAAGATTTTTATTAAATAAATTTTTAAATTTAATTAATGGGGAAAAGAAAAAAAATCTTGTATTTTTATTCTGTTCTGATTTTCATTTATGTACAGACAGGGCCTTGTTTCGTATTTATCTTGGAAAAGTTCTTGTGGAAAATTTTTTGTAGCGTACTTATGGTTTGAAAATTTTCTCAATTGAAGCCCTGTGTATAACTTTTCAGATTCATGAGAATTACAAAACAACCTCGGAATTGAAGTTTACCAAGAAAAAAATTACAAGTTGGAAATCTGCTCCTTCTATTTACATTATTTATTGTTAAATACACACAGAGCCCCTAACTAGCAAGAGTAAAAGCTATTTCTTCGGCTTTTTTCCAACACTTTTTTTTTTTCTCCTTCGCCCAATTTCCTTCATCTCCCAATTCCATTTTTTCTCCTTCTACATATTCAATCAATTTACTACCCCACTATAAAACTTTTAATTATTGGAATAATTTTCTAAATTTGATTGAACAATTTTCTTCAACATTTTATCAATTGTTTTAAAATTTAAATTAATTTTAATGAAAGTTCAAACCGCACGCATTAAAAAGAAATTCTTTTAAAGGATTTTATTGGTAGGGAAGAGCGTTTTTATTTGTTACTTTCCTCTCTAGCACTCTCTCTCCATACAAATTCGCTTTCGCAATGGCAGATGTCACACAATTATTGATGTGCGTGCGCTAGGTCAAATGCTATTAAAACTGAATTGAATTTCATTTAAGCGAGTATTTCCCATAAATTTTTATAAATTTGAAACCTTTAAAAGACTTCATTCACGGTAATTTTTATGAGCCTTTGGGGGAAATCAAGGAAGATGATTATAAAATTGTTTAACATTTTTCTCCCATATAGGAACTAAAAATATGTAAATATTGTTAGATTTTAATAAATGATTGAAGGTAAACAGAAAATTGCTGTCTTTTGTTTGAGTGATACGAATTTTAAAGAACGTCATTTTATAAATTTTTTTTTTAATTTTATTAACAGCCTCGCATTTATTTAAGTTGATTTATGTACACACGGTTTATTCATTTTATTTTTGAAGAGAAAAGGAAATTTATTTTTTAAATGTCTAAAAACTTTTTTTTAAGATTTTTTAATTCAGCTAATTATGGAAAAATCCCTTTCACCTAATATTGCAACAGCACAATCTTCGTCTCTAATTAGAGATGAAAAAGACAAAGAAAAAGGTGTTGAACAAATTTGTCAATGGATTTTAGAATTGGGAGATCATGATAAACGAGAGAATGCTTTGCTACAAATTAGGTTGTGTTTATTTATTTTAATTTAAATTACAATTTTAAAATTTTAGCAAATGTCGGGAGTCAATAGAAGATCTAGCTGTTTGGCTTTGGTATTCATATGGGACTGTGAGGTCTGTTTTTATTTAAATCCAGGGGTAATAGTTTGGAATTCGCCTCTATTTTTCCTTACTATTTTTGTATTTTTTCCTTATTTCATGGCAAATTATATACATATCATTCAGCTCTTTGAGCTGATTGTGAGTTGAACACTAAAATCAACGAAATCTGACTTGATTGGACAAAGTTATGTTACAATGTTTTAAAAGCGTAGTCAGGGGTCCAGGCCTTCACACCCGGACTGGCGAAAAAACTGGAGGCACAAAATCAAATTTTTCCCGTTTGTACCGTGCTTAGCCAATGATTTAAAAAATTTAAATCAATGCCCAGAGTACACCACGAGGAGGTGCACGGTTGTAAACGGGCAAACCTTGGGTAATAGTTTGGATGGTATACCCCATCCTTTTTCCTTCCTCAAAATATTTAAAAATGGTCAGTCTATTATCAGATTATAGAACCCGTCGAGCTGTGTCGGATGCCACCAAAATCAACCTCCGATCTTAACTTTGGGCCGAGATACAGACCCCCGAAAATCGAAAAATAATAAGATGGACCAAGCTCATTTTTTGGATAAAAATTCGATTAAACAAATGATAGCTCATTCGAAAGAGCTTGTCGAGCTGATTTGAGTGACATCAAAATCAACGTACTTGAAAAAGATTTGACAAAGTTATGACATAAAGTAATCCTTTTACGTTGGGGAGACGCTTGTGCAAAACCCTTCGCTTTGCGCAGGATTTTTGTCTGTATCTCGGCCCAAAGTTAAGACCGGGAGTTGATTTGGTGTCACTCGACACAGCTCGACGGGTTCTATAATCTGATAACAGACTGACCATTTTTTAATAATTTTAGGAAGGAAAAAGGATGGGGTATACCATCCGAACTATTACCAAACCTTGTACTCCACCACTTCCGTAGGACTAGGTTACCCAAGCCCGAAGCAGGCAGTGGCTATCGGCCTACTCAACCAAAACGACAATTGCAACAATTGTGGCAGTGGTCGTAAGAAGCGGGTTAGGTTCAACTAGGTTGCCCAAGCCCGAAGCAGGCAGTAGCTAGTTTAGCCTAAGTAATAGCTAGGTTGCCCAAGCCCGGAGCAGGCAGTGGCTACTATACCCAGCCCTTTGGTTAAGGAAACACCGTCTACACAATGTGTCGACTAATGAATACAACTTAACACAAAGGGGCCACGTATCGCACTAGTTAACGTAGACATAGCTAGGTTGACCGAGCCCGAAGCAGCCAGTGGCTAGCTAGAACTACGCAACTATTGCTATCAAACTAGGTTGCCCAAGCCCGGAGCAGGCAGTGGCTAGCTTGACCGTTGTCTGGCCAACTAAACTGACTTCATCGGGTGCTTTTATACTAGCGCGGTCAGTGGAATCCTTCTAAAGCGACGCTTGCTCCCACGTCACTTTTCGTCTTACCTCGACAAACCGATGCCGTTATATATATGGTGTGTAACATAATTATAAAGGAACCCATATTTTCGGTCATATCTCGAGTTTTTCTGGATGAATTTGTCTAAATTTTATATATGTGATAAAAAACGTTATTTTGGAATAAAATGCAAAAAATGAAGCAATTTCATCAAAATTTAAATTTTTTATGATTTTTTTTTTCAAAAATTTGGTGTAACATAATTATAAAGGAAGTGAAAATAATTTAACTAAATATGGTAGAAAAAATCCACAAAAATTCCAGTGAACATATCTATTGATCTCAATGAGAAATACAAAAGAAATGAAGTTCAGATGTACTTCCATCATTGAGATCTCGAAACCCGAAAATCAATGGAAAACAGGGGGTAGACGTTTTTAAAAAATATTTTCGACCCCTTACAGGTGAAATAAAAATTTCATTTTGGGCTTATTTGAAAGCTCTTGAAATTTGCTACAAGTTAGCATTGATTTTATTTTTTGAAAAAAATTTACCTATAAGATAAACTTTTATGTCAAAGAATTCACTCAAACGCCCCCAAAAAAAGTGATGAAAATGCTTTTACTCATTATTTCTCAAAGAAAAATTTTTTCTGAATTATGTGATTAAATTTATCTTGTAGCAAATTTCAAGAGCTTTCAAATAAGCCCAAAATGAAATTTTTATTTCACCTGTAAGGGGTCGAAAATATTTTTTAAAAACGTCTACCCCCTGTTTTCCATTGATTTTCGGGTTTCGAGATCTCAATGATGGAAGTACATCTGAACTTCATTTCTTTTGTATTTCTCATTGAGATCAATAGATATGTTCACTGGAATTTTTGTGGATTTTTTCTACCATATTTAGTTAAATTATTTTCACTTCCTTTATAATTATGTTACACCAAATTTTTGAAAAAAAAATCATAAAAAATTTAAATTTTGATGAAATTGCTTCATTTTTTGCATTTTATTCCAAAATAACGTTTTTTATCACATATATAAAATTCAGACAAATTCATCCAGAAAAACTCGAGATATGACCGAAAATATGGGTTCCTTTATAATTATGTTACACACCATAGATTCCACTGTATTATATACTATTCTGAAGTTGGTCACGTGACTTTCACATCTCGAAATTTAATTTTAAAAATCTGATTTCTGGAAAAACTTGAATTTTAAAATTTAATTTAGCCAATTATTTATCGGTTTTTAAATTTAGTGTTCTACTACAAGAAATCATCAGCATATATCCATACATTCTACCACCAACACTTACAGCAGCTCAGTCGAATCGGGTGTGCAATGCTCTGGCTCTAATGCAGTGTATCGCATCACATCGTGATACGCGAAAACAATTTTTGGAAGGTATTTCCTTTTCTGATAAATTAACTTAGGGCTCCTATATTAAGATAAAGTACAAAAATACAATTCGAGATTTTCTCACTGTGAGCTAGGAGGAAGTTTAAGTTCAAATATAAACAAAACTGGAACACCCCATTGGAATAAATTTCCTTTTTTCAACATTAGCGCCATATGCGAAAATGTTTAGAGTTTCAAAAGGCCAAGATGCTAGATTTCCTCTTTTTTAGCACCGCAGGCTAATAAACCAAAAAAGTCAATTTATAAGTATGTACTAACAAATAATTGTATTTTCAATTTCATAAGTAAAAATTAACTTATTAAATTAAATAAAGTCTGTACTTACAAAATAAATACCAGTCAGTTCTCTGAATTAACTTTTTTTAATTTAAACTTTATAGCTAAAATTCCATTATACCTCTATCCATTTTTGCACACAACCAATGATTCTCGTCCATTCGAATATCTCAGATTAACATCTCTTGGAGTTCTTGGAGCGCTTGTAAAGACCGATGAAAAAGACGTGAGTTTGCGGGTGGAATTGAATAATTTTGAATTTTATTTTTAAGGTTGTCAAATTTTTACTTTCTACTGAAATAATTCCATTATGTTTGAGAATTATGGAACAAGGGACAGAATTATCACGAACTGTCGCTACGTTTATCTTGCAGGTTTTTTTAGTTTAGGGAAAAATGAGAAATTAATATTTTTAATTAAGAAAGTCCTTTTGGATGACATTGGTCTCGCCTATGTTTGCCAGACATATGAACGGTTTTCTCATGTAGCTATGGTTTTGGTTGGTTGATAAGAACTTTTAATTGATTAAAAGTTTTAAAGGGCAAGATGGTGCTTCAACTTTCTAAAGAACCTTCGAGTCGGCTTCTGAAGCATTTGATTCGTTGCTATCATCGTCTGTCTGAGAACGCTCGTGCCTTGCAAGCATTAACACAATGCCTGCCTGACCAGCTTAAAGACGAAACATTCAAGACTTTGTTAGACCAAGACCGGCCTACTAAACACTGGTGGAAAATGTTAATGAAGAATTTGAGTAAGTTCTTTGGGGACATAAATAAATTCTGAGTAAGCAAATTTCTCCAATTTTCAGATATTCCAGTAGAAGAAAAATAGAAAGTACTCAAGAGACTTCTAGCGACAAAACCCGATATTTAATTGCATTCGACGATAGTGGTATTGTTCCCAGTTTTCTTTGTGTGCTTTTTAATTACGTGTTTGTGTTATTCTATTTAAAAATGACTCTCTCTCTCTATGTCACTATTTAAATTATATAAATACTATCGTTACATATTCTCAACAGGTCAAAAATGAGCCTCTCAATTGTAAATTGTTTTTAATATAAACTTGTGGATAAATATTTGATTATTTGAATAACTGAAAATGTTCAACAAAGTCCTTAATATAAGCCTTGAATAAGGGTATCTGGAATTACTATAAATTTAAATAAGTAATATACTTATACAAAACATTTGTGGAACAAATAAAAAGGGTTTTTTTCAGAATGTCATTTATTTCAGAATATCATATACATTCATTAAATTTGTGCTAAACGAAATAAATGATAGCAAATTTTAAAGTAGTCAGAATCAGTGCTTGGAAATTCGATTTAGCTCGTACTCGCACTTCAACTATCACTAATTTTGGCCTCTAGTCATCGTAATATTTACATTTGCTCGTACTTTTTGTCAAGAACCCTCCCGATTCTGTCTGTCTGTCAAGAACCCTCCCGATACTTTTAGTACGGGTATCCAAGCACCGGTCCAAATAGTCTAATAATCACCGCATGCTTGAAGAAAGCATACTTGCTGTTTCACTTCCTCCGACAGTTGTAACAAGAGAAAATTGCTCCAAAAATAGAGAAGGAAACCAGAATTGTATTGGATCAGTTTGTTCATCAACCCAAGCTCTTCCATCTTTTACTTGTCTGTCAAGAACCCTCCCGATTCTTTGTGTATCCCATCTAAATTGATCACAGATTAATTCTTGACTGACATAACCGCCCGTTTCTTCTGCCAATTGTAAAACTCTTGCATCGTCCATACTTAACTCTCCAGGCACACTTTGTACAAGAAAACGATCACCACCAAGTGCAATTAATTCAAAACCATGTCCTAATACTTTTAATTTTTTAACAGCACGCATCACATCATCACTATAATAAAATTAAAAATTAATTTAAAGTTTAAAATTGATTACTGGGAGATTGATTCTTTTCGAGTTTTTGAACGAGAACGCATCAATCTATTACGCAATTCGTCAACTGTAATTAATCCACCATTTTCTTGACTTGTTGACATGCAAACTAAAAGAATGTTTGAATATTTTTTAGTTGGAAAACAAAAAGTAAACCTTCAATAATTTGAATAGCAAGTTCGTAATAAAAACTACCAAAGCCTAACTTCTCTGTCCAGAATCCTTTGCTTGCTTAATAATTTATTTAAATGTTAAATTTTATTTAAATGTTTGTTTACATGCCAAAGGGTCAACACCAACAGTCGTACACATTTCTTGAAAGTAACGTCTGAATTGTGCATTTTTTGTTATTTCATCACGGTGTTTTGAAGCAAATTCTTCCAACTTTCCAGTAAATACATCCAATTGTTGAGAAAAGTGTTGAAGTTGTTCACTTGCCAACTGTTCACCTTTTGCTTGAAATTTAGCCTGAAATATATTATGAAATAATTTTTAATTATAAATTTTAAAAACTTGAATATCTTGCTTCTTTTGAACAGCTCCAACACCTATTGCACGTCTACGTGAAGCCATAAAAACAAGAAAAGTATTGGCTGGTTTTAATTTTTCTTTAAAACGTAAAGTAAAAAAACTTAAAGGAAAAATATTTTCTAGCATGTACAAAATTTACTACAATGAACGAATTACAATGAATCAGAATTAGTAATGGATACGAATACAGATTATTTCAAAATGCCTGCGGATATCCAGCCGTAAATATCCGGACAAGGATACCAAAATCCATTGTCCATTACCAAGAATGCAATGAATCATCCCTACTCTGAAAGGGCTACTCTGAAACATCCACTCCCAATTGAATTCCGCCGATTCAGAATTCTTCTTTATCTATAAAGTTTTTTTCGTACAGATTTATTTTCTAATTTTTTATTTTACCTGCAAGACGCAGAAGCTCAACGGTACAGAAAGCATGGCTGGCATGGGAATGGGTCCACCGGTGAGCGAGACACTCGTCGATGACGTTGACATCCCTGAAAGTCAGGTTAGAGTTGGTTGATTTTTTAATATGTGATAATCAAAACCTATTTTCAGATACAGCTCAATCAGCAGCAAACTGGATGTAGAGTTCAAATAGCAGACGAGAACATAGAAAGAAAACGCGAGGAAATTCAAGATGGAGACAAAGCGACGGATGAACTTAGTATCCTTTGTATAAAAACAGCAAAACGGGAGGTTGGACTTTAATGTTTATTAAGTTTAGTTTATTTTCAAGAAACCCTCACGTCCAGAAACTGAGCCAAAGTCTGTTGTTGATTCAATGCCGTCCTCTTCTATTGGCGGGCGAGAAGGTGACGCCCTCAAGCGTTTGAATGATAGGACTATTTCCAAAATCCAAGGTTTGTTTTCTCATTATTATTTTATAGAATTCATCTCTAGATTAGAGCGTATTTAAGAGCTTGGTAAATGTTTTTAATCAGTTACTGAGTGTCATAAATACGCAAAATTGATGCAAATATTCTAGCTATATTGATAAGTATTTACATATTTTGCTTATACACTTTAAATGTTTGCAACAAATTCTTATTGGGTTACCATATTCGGTAATAGTTCACTTTATCCCCCCTTTTTTACCTTCCTTAATTGTAAGAATATACATAATGGTAGATTTTCTTCCTTCTCAAGGAAGAAAATCTTTTGAGAATAGCTCACCCAGACCCAGAATTAAAATTTCTTTTTTAACTAGATAATAAATTGTCAATGCCAAAAACGCCAGATCACTATTGGGATCTCGACTTTCCTTCTTTAAATGAACAATTAGAACGTGGTTATATAATTCATACAAATTCACCTCTTTTTAAAAAACAATGTAACCGGCCTAAACGATGTCTTTTTAGAGAATGAAAATAAAACAATTTATTTTGATGAATATATTTCCTTTCTACTTACTTTGATTTTGTTTGTATTCTGAAAGTTTGTTTTTGTCTCGAAGAATCTAATTTATTTTGCTTTTTAATTTATTTTGAATTTATAAATTGGGATTAAATATTTTAAAATTTGTTACATTTAAATTTATTTTTTTAATTAAAAAATATCTACTTATTTTTGAATTAAAAAATATTTTTTTAGATTTTTTAGAATGGAATCTTTGGAAAATTTGAAGTCATCTTTTGATCAAGATGTTGAAAAAATGAGACAATTGGAGAGAGGTTATCATATGTTGTATTTTTTAAAAATTTTGATATTTTAGACAGAACTCGTTGTATTACAAATAGGAAGCAATTGGAGAGTCAGATGACTGAAAATAAAATGGTTAAGGAGGAGTTGGATCGTCTTGAGGATGGCGCTGAAGTCTTCAAATTAATTGGTCCTGTACTTGTTAAACAAGAATTGGGGGAGGCAAAAGAAAATGTTCAGAAACGAATTGATTATATACAAAAAGAAATGTGAGTTTATTTATGATGAGGACCTATAAATGTTGGGTATTTTTGGTAATTTGTTTGGGCTCCTTCCCCTGGCCAGTTTGAGCTTCTTTGCTGATCTATAATCTATCCTATACAATTTGAAGGAGCTCTTTAGGCCGGGTCAAATGATACTATTTTCGGTTAGATTTGTCGATTCTTAACAAAATTATAAAACTAAATCCTCGCATCTGAATAATTTATCAAGAACATTTTTGAGGACCTCTTACTTTAAAAATAAAAAATAATTTTATTAAATATTTTGCAGTGAACGGACTGAATTAACTCTGACCGAAGCGGCTAAAAATATAGAAGATCATAAAGAGTTAATTGAAAAGACAAGAAATAAATTAAGGCAAGCGATTGAAAAAAATGCTGCGTAAATTAAATATTTGTTAATTTTTAAAATATTTTTTGTTTTGTAATTTTTATTAGAAACAAAATAAATTACTAAATTAATACAAAAATATTTTATAATTTATTTCTAAAATTAAATTAATTGGATAATCTTTTTATTTTTCCGCTGACTTATTTGAAATTAGTCATAATTATGAGTGGAAGAAAAATGAAGGCTATTCGAAAAGTTATTAACAATTGGCCCTTCCAAAAATATATAGAGTTCAAATTCTGTGTATATTTTCATTCAATTTAAGAAATATATTCTCTAAAAGAATATCCAAATATTTTTTAAGATAAAATTTCGGCTGGGTTTTCACAATTAAAATAAAATTTTATTGTCAAACTAAACGTGCTCGCCGTTGAACAATTCCAATTAAACCAACAGCCCCACTCCTATTACCAATTGAAGGAGTCTAAAAAAGGGGGAATTAATTAAATATATTTTATTTAAATTCTGACCGCTCCCGATTTAACAAATTCTTCTTCAAATTTAGCCATAACAATTGCACGAAACATTTCATAACAATGACCCTTTTTAAATAAATAAATATTTTTTTTCATTTTTCCTGTTTAAATTACTTTCCATTCCTGTATTCTTTTTCGAAAATCACCAACAACACAAATTTGGTTAAATATTCTAGTAACAAATGCTGAACATTTTGGACAAGAACCATCAAAACAATGAAAAGCACATTTATGCCTAAAAATAAAAAATATTTAAAAGTTTAAAAATATTTTCTGTTGCCTCAGACAATAGCTGATTTTAGTTAAATCTTGATTAGATTCTTTTACACATTCTCCGGCACAATTAACAAGTATAGCACATTCACCTTTAATATTTTTATTAATTGAATAATTATATATGCTAACCATCATTAGCCCTTCTATTTCCCGAAAGAACATCAACTAACTAAAAAAATTATTCTTTAATAATATGTTTTTAATTTAAAAATAAAAAAAAAAGCTTAGCAAAAGTTAGCCACCGGGCAGGTTTGAACCTGCGACAACGCTGACAGTGATCGCTCGGCCCTCTACCGCTGAGCTACCGGGCGACTTTTATCCTTTTAGATCGTTTAACCCCCGCCAAAGCCTTTTAAATGCTGCTAGGTGAATCATACTTACAATAACAATAAAAGGATGTACAATTTTATAGTTTTTTTAACGTTTCGGGATAAATATCTCTCTGAATTTGAAAATATGTACTACATGTATTATGTAGTATATGTATAAGTAACATACTTTTATAAATATATCAAGGATTCTACCGACAAAAAGATAAATTCCTGATTTTCGGGAATAAGGACAGAAATATGCCTGATATTTACCACAAACCTGTTGTTTGCTTGTCATACAAAGAGGACATTTATTACACCTTTTAAATATTTTTATTTCTAAATTTTTATTTATTTCTACTTACTCTTCCATACATCCAGATGTAAATATACATCCATAATCTATATTTTTATCCAATTCATTGTAAAGATTTTTTCCAATAGTTGCATTTTCAAAAGAACTTTGTAAACTATCTAATTGAACACAACTACAAATATTATTTTTAAAAAAATAATAATCTTAAAAAAGAATTTTTTAATTACCGATTTTTCACTGTACAAGTAAAGAGATCCTTTAGAAAAAAAAATTAACAAAAAAAATTTTTTCTTGAATACCTTGCACATTATATTTAATTTAATTGCTCCATCAGAAATTCCAAAAATTGAATTAATTAATATTAATTTAATAAATATTAAAGATTTTAATAAATTATTTCTCTTCCTTTTTTCTTTTGGCATTTTTAATTTAATTAATATTTTTCTTAGACAAATTTCTGAGACAGCAATCATTTTAATTAAATAATTATGTAGAAAAAATTAAATTAAAAAATTGTTTTTTAAAACACAAAATGTTCACAGAATTTTTATGTTTTTAAAATGCTTGAGTGAATATTGGGGAGAGAGAGAGAATTTATTTTTTGTTGAAAAAAGTTGTGCTTTTTCTGTTTATTCTCGTCCTCTTTAGTATGTAATCTTCGGCTTAATATAAAAAATCAAACAGCCAAATTTAAAAACACGCAACAAGAATAAAATGAAGAGCCTAAAACAAGCCAAAAAAGAAAGGAAAAGATTAGAGATGAGAGAACAGCCTGGGGCGGATCTACGATTAAATCGAGCGTTGTAGCGGAAAAAATAAATATTTTTGGATTGTGAAGGTATTAGAAAAGTAGCAGAAGAGTGGAACAAAATAATAACAATTAATAATGGATTTGATAAGAAAAAAAAGAGAGAGGAGAGGGAGAGATTTTGATGTTGTTGTTGGTGAATAAAGATATCCAAAAATGGCTGAAGAAAAAAATATTAAAAATATATTTATCTTCCTTTCACTAACAACCGGTCCATTCCCCCCTTTTAAATAAAAAAAAGATACATAAAAACAAAATAGCACAGAAAATCTTAAAATAAAGTCCAACCAAAAAAAGAGATTAGATTTAAATTCCCTTTATTTTTGGTATAAACGAAATTTGGAATATTTTTGATAAAATTTTTAGAAAATTTAAATGATAACTTTGTATTTAAATTTAAAAAATTTTTTTTAAATAAATATTTTTTTAATTTTTTAAATAAAAATATTTTAAATAATAAAAAAACTTTTATATATTTTTGTCTTTTTAATTTCACAGGTTTTGATAACTAATTGACATTTCTTGATTTTCTTGATGTTGAATAGTAAATGATGAGGAGGAGGAAGAAGAAAAATTATTATTAATTTGTTGACAATTAATAATTGAATTTGTTTCAATATTAGATGGCGGCAATATATTATTATTATTTGAATTTTGAATGCCAAATGATGATACAAATCTTTAAATAAAATTGTTAAATATTATATGTTATCAATTCTGACTGATCTAATTATTGATCTAAAATATAATAATTATTTTTATTTTCTCTCTTAAACCCCAAAATGTTAGCCAACTAGATCCCCTCTTTCTTGCAATATTTCCATCAGAATTTAATATGTACTACTAACTACTTTTTAATTTAATAGTAGTTACAATTAGTTAATTATTAAAGTAAAATAAATAAATATTTATTTACTACCTTCTTGGATCTACTCCTCTTCCATTTCCTCCATTTCCGTATGCTATACCCATCCAAGCTGCTGCTATTCCCCCACTGCTTCCTAGCATTGTTTGATTTATATTTTGATGAAAATTATTTAAAATTTTTGGATTTATAATAATATTATTATCATTTATTATTCCTTCTCTGTTTTGGAATGATGTGGAAAGAGAAGAAGAAGTTGGGGTGTAAACTAAAAAATAAAATATTTAAAAGTATTTTTGCAGAATCAAAAACTATTTTAAATACTCAATTATTTTAAAGTTCCAATCCCCCTTCGCCCCCCCCCCCCAACCCCTCCAAAATTACCTGAATTATTTATTGTTTTTAATAAATATTTTTCTTCAATTTTATTATTTTCTAATATCATTTGATTATTATTATTTAATAATATTCCCTCCTCTTCTTTTTCTTCTTTTTTTGTTTTTTTATTAAATATATTTGTTGTTGGATTAATTAAGGAATTTGAAATTTGTTGTTCATCTTCAGCTGCAGAAGTATCTCCATTAATAAAAGTAAATACTTCTTCTTCATCTCTGTCAACAGAATGGGAAAGAGGAGGTTGTCCATCTCTATTTGAAATTTATTTTATTCAAAGAATTTTCTTAATGTTGGCTTTAAAATTCAGTGAGATTTATTTTTGGGGGGTTTACCTGGCCGAGAAATGATTGCTGTTAAAAGTCTCAAACGCCCTCCAAAATTAAAAAAGAAAACTCTAAAATTCTTATTAATTTGTATACTTCTTGGAGCAGTTTTTCTATTAAATATTTTAAATTTTTACCTAGACCCTCCAGCAGCTCTATCTCTTTGCCTTCTATTTTTAAACCAATTAGATACTTGTGTTTGGGTTAATGAAGTTCTCTCAGCTAATTCTTTTTTGGCTTTCGGTGATGGATAAGGATTTTCTCGATAAGATAAACGAAGAATTGCTCGAGAACTTTCCTTTAAATGTTTTTAAAAAATAATTATTTTTCTTCAAAATTTACTCTAAAACAATAACTAGTTTCTTCTCCATCCCAAATAGTTCTTGGCAACGGAAATTTCCTCCGAATTCGATATTTACTTACAGCCCCCAAAGTTTCCTGAAATACTGAATATACTAGAATAATTAAAAATTTATATTTAACACACCTCACGGCCACGAATTTTCTCCGCCTTTTAAAAGAGATTTAAAATTTAACTAAGTAAATAAAATATATTTATTTACCTCACAATAATGTGCTTTCATCCAAAGGTCCTAAACAAAAAATTATTTTTCTAATTTAATTTATAGAGATGGAAAGTTAATTCTAAAGATTTTTTATTACATTCGGGCCTCACAAATGTTAACCAACGTTAACCCTTCTCACGTTGGTGCACAATTTTTCAGTCCCAATATAATTAATTGAGTTCCGCCCTTATTATTTTTCTGTTTTTAAACAATATTTAAATTAATTTTAAATTTTGCCTGTAATTCAGGGTGATGTATAGGAGAGAAATTATGTGATTGTAATATTGTATATAATTCTTTAAAATTATGTTTATGAAAAGAAATAAAAGCTTGTGCTTTCAAAACACTTTCACTATAACGATATTCTTCTATTGGTGGAATTGTCCATAAAAATCTTGCCTTGAATTAAAAAAAAACATTTTTTTGTTTAAAATTTAAAATACCAAATTGTCTATTAAATTATGTCTTTGCATAACTTCACATAAAAAATTAACTTGTTCGACAGAATATATAAAATCAGAATAAAAACTGAAATTTTAATTTTAAATAATTTTTTAAAACTCCAAATTTAAAATTTTCTTAAAATTAAACTTTTATTCCAGTGTTTATAAAAAAAATTAATTTAAAATTACTAATTTTTATTTTTATTTCCAAAAATATTTAATTAATTATTAAATTTAAAAAATATAATCCTTTCTTTTACACACCTTTGTTGGCAATAATTCTGTTGGGCAATAGCCATTTTCTACTCTTTTTTTGTTTAAAATAGTTCAGCTCCGATTTCGAGACGGTGTCAAGTTGTAAGTATCGTCTCAATTTGAAGTGTCACAGAAAAAAGAAAAATGAGTAAAAAGTATGTTAAGAAAGATGATTATTTGGATTAAAAAAAGAATATCGAAGCTCAGGTTGCTTTCAAAGTAAAAAAGAATATATTAAAAATAAAAAAAGTATTGGATTCCTTCAAAGATATATAGTAGTCGATTTGGTGTAATTTCTCGCGCAAATTTCTGAATTTGAGGGAAAATGATGGAAATAAAAGGTTTTGAGAAAGCCAAGTCTGTTAGCTTTTTAGTTATTTGGAAGTATTTGTTCATGAGAAATTCAATCCACAAAATGCGCCAAAGGGGATTGAATGGGCAAAAAGAAAATAAAAAAAGCTCTTGGATAAAAGAAAAGCCTCAGAATTAACGGAAAGGGCGGTCATCTGCAGAATCATCTGCATCTTCAGCTGCAGAGCTGCATCTTCAGCTCTAATTATTGATCTAAAATATAATAATTATTTTTATTTTCTCTCTTAAACCCCAAAATGTTAGCCAACTAGATCCCCTCTTTCTTGCAATATTTCCATCAGAATTTAATATGTACTACTAACTACTTTTTAATTTAATAGTAGTTACAATTAGTTAATTATTAAAGTAAAATAAATAAATATTTATTTACTACCTTCTTGGATCTACTCCTCTTCCATTTCCTCCATTTCCGTATGCTATACCCATCCAAGCTGCTGCTATTCCCCCACTGCTTCCTAGCATTGTTTGATTTATATTTTGATGAAAATTATTTAAAATTTTTGGATTTATAATAATATTATTATCATTTATTATTCCTTCTCTGTTTTGGAATGATGTGGAAAGAGAAGAAGAAGTTGGGGTGTAAACTAAAAAATAAAATATTTAAAAGTATTTTTGCAGAATCAAAAACTATTTTAAATACTCAATTATTTTAAAGTTCCAATCCCCCTTCGCCCCCCCCCCCAACCCCTCCAAAATTACCTGAATTATTTATTGTTTTTAATAAATATTTTTCTTCAATTTTATTATTTTCTAATATCATTTGATTATTATTATTTAATAATATTCCCTCCTCTTCTTTTTCTTCTTTTTTTGTTTTTTTATTAAATATATTTGTTGTTGGATTAATTAAGGAATTTGAAATTTGTTGTTCATCTTCAGCTGCAGAAGTATCTCCATTAATAAAAGTAAATACTTCTTCTTCATCTCTGTCAACAGAATGGGAAAGAGGAGGTTGTCCATCTCTATTTGAAATTTATTTTATTCAAAGAATTTTCTTAATGTTGGCTTTAAAATTCAGTGAGATTTATTTTTGGGGGGTTTACCTGGCCGAGAAATGATTGCTGTTAAAAGTCTCAAACGCCCTCCAAAATTAAAAAAGAAAACTCTAAAATTCTTATTAATTTGTATACTTCTTGGAGCAGTTTTTCTATTAAATATTTTAAATTTTTACCTAGACCCTCCAGCAGCTCTATCTCTTTGCCTTCTATTTTTAAACCAATTAGATACTTGTGTTTGGGTTAATGAAGTTCTCTCAGCTAATTCTTTTTTGGCTTTCGGTGATGGATAAGGATTTTCTCGATAAGATAAACGAAGAATTGCTCGAGAACTTTCCTTTAAATGTTTTTAAAAAATAATTATTTTTCTTCAAAATTTACTCTAAAACAATAACTAGTTTCTTCTCCATCCCAAATAGTTCTTGGCAACGGAAATTTCCTCCGAATTCGATATTTACTTACAGCCCCCAAAGTTTCCTGAAATACTGAATATACTAGAATAATTAAAAATTTATATTTAACACACCTCACGGCCACGAATTTTCTCCGCCTTTTAAAAGAGATTTAAAATTTAACTAAGTAAATAAAATATATTTATTTACCTCACAATAATGTGCTTTCATCCAAAGGTCCTAAACAAAAAATTATTTTTCTAATTTAATTTATAGAGATGGAAAGTTAATTCTAAAGATTTTTTATTACATTCGGGCCTCACAAATGTTAACCAACGTTAACCCTTCTCACGTTGGTGCACAATTTTTCAGTCCCAATATAATTAATTGAGTTCCGCCCTTATTATTTTTCTGTTTTTAAACAATATTTAAATTAATTTTAAATTTTGCCTGTAATTCAGGGTGATGTATAGGAGAGAAATTATGTGATTGTAATATTGTATATAATTCTTTAAAATTATGTTTATGAAAAGAAATAAAAGCTTGTGCTTTCAAAACACTTTCACTATAACGATATTCTTCTATTGGTGGAATTGTCCATAAAAATCTTGCCTTGAATTAAAAAAAAACATTTTTTTGTTTAAAATTTAAAATACCAAATTGTCTATTAAATTATGTCTTTGCATAACTTCACATAAAAAATTAACTTGTTCGACAGAATATATAAAATCAGAATAAAAACTGAAATTTTAATTTTAAATAATTTTTTAAAACTCCAAATTTAAAATTTTCTTAAAATTAAACTTTTATTCCAGTGTTTATAAAAAAAATTAATTTAAAATTACTAATTTTTATTTTTATTTCCAAAAATATTTAATTAATTATTAAATTTAAAAAATATAATCCTTTCTTTTACACACCTTTGTTGGCAATAATTCTGTTGGGCAATAGCCATTTTCTACTCTTTTTTTGTTTAAAATAGTTCAGCTCCGATTTCGAGACGGTGTCAAGTTGTAAGTATCGTCTCAATTTGAAGTGTCACAGAAAAAAGAAAAATGAGTAAAAAGTATGTTAAGAAAGATGATTATTTGGATTAAAAAAAGAATATCGAAGCTCAGGTTGCTTTCAAAGTAAAAAAGAATATATTAAAAATAAAAAAAGTATTGGATTCCTTCAAAGATATATAGTAGTCGATTTGGTGTAATTTCTCGCGCAAATTTCTGAATTTGAGGGAAAATGATGGAAATAAAAGGTTTTGAGAAAGCCAAGTCTGTTAGCTTTTTAGTTATTTGGAAGTATTTGTTCATGAGAAATTCAATCCACAAAATGCGCCAAAGGGGATTGAATGGGCAAAAAGAAAATAAAAAAAGCTCTTGGATAAAAGAAAAGCCTCAGAATTAACGGAAAGGGCGGTGCTTTTTGTGGATAACGAAAAGAAGAAGAAGCATTTGGCTTTTTTAAAAGAAATGGAAAATATAGAGGAATATGTAGAGGTAAAGTAAAGAATTTTTTGTTTGAAAGCGGCGAATAACCGAAGGGATATAATATTTCATCTTTTTTTTACTTTCCTCTCACTCTTAAGTTAAGAAACAGGAATACGGTTGTTTTGTTGTCTTTATTTTTCTTTCATATTTTCACCTCTGTATATTATTTTTTTGAGAATTTTTATTTTAACTATGTACAAAAGCTTCGATTTATTTAAGTGATGAGGCCAAGACTTTATTAGAAAAACACGTTTGTCTGTGCATTATTAGGATTTAAAGCGTTTTCAGCAACCATTGCTTGGAAATTTTGATTTTGCTAGTCTGGATAAATTTTTGTCTCTTATCCAGTATGTTATTTTAAATTATATTTTTATAAAAAAATTATTTACTTATTTTCTTAATATATAAATTCGAAAAGATCTCTTGATTAAATCTCTTGATCTGTAATTTTCTAGTTTTAATTATTTTCTAGTTTATAGCAGAGATGTCACTGTTTGAGAATTAAGTCGGGTCGGGATTTCTAAACCTTTTTCGGATCGGGTTTCGGATTGAGAAAAGGTCCGTGTTCGGGGGTTAATGAGTGACAAGCTTATCCATACAATACTCTCTCTCAATCACTTCCAAATAATTTTATATCCAAGATTTCCCTCAAATCTCTGACATCTCCCCAAATCCAACTTAATTCCAATGAATACCTCCTCAAATCACTACACCGATACCTCCTCAAACCTTTTGATCCCTAGATATCATGCCCAAATTTCGCAACACTTCCTTTATTGTAAACACAGATTTAGTGTTTAAGCAGGTGAAAATTTTGAAATATTCAGCCCTGCATTTTGGCTGAATCTTAATGCAATTAGGAAGAAATTGATTATCTCGATATTGATCATTAAAATGTTCCATAAATAAAGTATTTGTGAGAAGGTAATTAATATACGATATTCAAATTTTTCATCTTTATTAAAATATAATTATTTATTTGTTCTTAAACTTCCATCCAAATAAGCTACTAAAATATTTTGAAGCACTTAATCATATCCTATTTGTTTGCTTGTCCAAATATTTGTTTTATTTCTTCTTCACACAAAGATGATGAAGTTTGTTAGCTAACTACTAATGTTTTACATAAAACTAACAAAAAAGTAGAGAGAGAGAATGGGGTGGAGAAGAGGAAAAACCCAGCAGGTGTTGATGCCCTCTCTTAACCTTTTTTTTAAAAAGAAGCTAAAAAGTTTAATTATAAAAATGACAAAAAAATATTTTTAAATTAAAATTTATATTTTTCGAATAAAAAACTATTTTATAACCATATTTATTCATTTAATGTTCAAGATTTGTAGTATTTGTCCATAGAATTTATTTTTCATTTTAGAATAACAAATACCGTATTTTCTTTTATTAAATGGTCTTACTAAATATTCTTTGAAATTAATCGAAAACTAAATATTTAGTCCAAATTTAACTTTTAAATGTATGTACATACTTCTTAATATTCTCTAATTTAAAAATAAAATTATTTAATTTATTTTTCTCACAATTTTATTATTTAAATATATTTATTAAAAATCTTTCAACTTTTCAAAAATATTTAAAAAAAACATTTTCATTAATTACTTTTCACTTTTATAAATAAAATCCCAAATAAACAAAAATTATTTTTTATTTATTTCTCTCCCAATTTTTCTTCTCTTCCTTTTTTTAATCGTCGGTATTTTTTTAAAAATTCCTTCAAATCGTTTATTGGCCTTTTTTCTTCTTCGCCGCAAATAATCATTTTCAACAAAACTTTAAATGATGACCAGAAGTATTTAAAAATAAATAAATAAAGGGAAGAATTAGAAAATATTTATTTTATATATATAAATTTATTTTAGTTTAATTTAAAATTTAAAAGATTCAAAATAAATAATTAGCCTTTTTGATTTACTGACTGCCTTCCTTCACTTTCAGCATAATCACTACAACAATTACATTCTTCAGTTATTTTTTCATTTTTTAATTGTTTACTTTCTCTAAAATATTTTTCTAAAAATTTTTAATTTTAAATTTTTTAACCGAATATTTTGTCTAGCCCTTTGTCTCTGATTTTTAAACCAATTAGATACTTGTAAAACACTTAATTCTGTTTGTTTTGCCAATTCTTGTTTTGTTTGAAGATTTGGTATTGAATCTATTTTGTATGCTTGTTTAAGTATTTCCCTCGCTTTTTTCTTAATTTTTAATTTAAAAATAAAAATATCCAATTTAATTAAAATTTTACTTTGAAACAATAACTAGTTCCTTCACCATCCCAAATACTTGAAGGGAAAATATTCTTTTTACGAATACGATAACGTGACACAGGATCAAGGGGTTTAGTACGTTGTTTTGAAGCCTAAAATTGTAAAAGAAATAATTTAAAAAAAAGAATTCTTAAAATAAATATGTAGCTATGTAACAGGGAACTAGCCGTGCCGATTCCCGAAATTGGGAATTTCATTTTTATATCGACTCGTTCCCTGTTATTTAAGTTATGTTAACCTTTTCTTTTAACATTTTAAATTTTAAATAATATTTTTAAAATAATTTTTTAAAATTATTTTAAGAAAACTTTTCTCTTTAATTTTTTAATAACCTCCGCATAATTAGCTTCATTCCATAAATTTTGCAATAAATTATGATCTTTTTGTTTAAATTTATTTAATTTTATATATTCTTTAAATTCTTCATATCGACCCTGATGAAATAACAAAACAGCTTTAACTCGAATCAAAACACTTTTGGCTAAACTTTTTTCAGGGACTGTTGGAGGGGGAAGTAAATTGAGTAATAATTCCTAAAAGAAAATATTTAAATAAAAAATATTTTTAAACAAAAAAAGACTAACCAAACCCCGGAAATTCTCAAAATTTTCTAGAATTAAACAAAGGCACTCCAACTGGTCATCAGTCAATGAGCTTACATCCAAACTGTGAGGAAATAATAAAAAATAAATATATAAATTTATATAAAAATAAAATAAAAAGTGTTTGGAAAAAATTAAAAAATGCCTTTGTAAAGTATTTTGTTGGTAAGGAGTTTCTGGTTGCTGCTGTATATGTTGGCCATCATTTATAGGCATTAAATAATGTGAAGGAAATAAAGAGCAACAGGAAGATGGGGAGGAGGAGAAAGAAGAATTTGATTGTATTGGGTGACAAGAAATTGAAAATGGAAATTGAAGCATTTTAAAATTAAAAATTAACTAAATTATATAGGTAAATATATAAGATTAGAAATTACACTTATTTAATTGATATTTGATAATTTTTATTGTAAGGTTAACAAAAATATAAACATAATTGAGAGAAAAAACTTTAATTATTACAAATCATTAAACTGTAACCAATCAAAAAAAATATTTTTATTTCAATTAATATATTAAATGAGGGGGGGGGGTGGGGGGAATGTTTATTTTATTTATTTTCAAGAGAAAATCCAAAAAGTAGCGACGGAAGGCAATGAATGTGAGTGTTTACCCCGAAGGGTTTGGGCCAACGTTCACAGAAGGGGAAGGGGTTAAATGATGAAAAAAAAATAAAGAGATTTGCTGCCGTTAATGATGATGATGACCGTCTATTTTTTCTCCATAACCAGTGGCAGGCGTGCCGTTGTTCTTTTTTTCCTCTCTCAAACAACAAAAAGCTATTCAACAAAACCGATTACGAAATTCTTAACAAAAGTTTTGAGCAAATATGTATATCATTTAAATATAATGAAAAAGAATAGCGCTTTATTTGTATATACCTACATACTTGCATTTATTTTTAGTTAATTTGACAAAAAATTATTTTATTTTTAATCTTTTTTAACAATTATGTAGCTTTAATTCTTAGTATCTTCGCAATCACTTCAGAACCTATGGCCTGGGGTATTTGTTAAAGCCTTGGCTTATTCATTAAAAATGTAGCATCATTTAGTAATGTTTTATTTTGTTGTTTGATGCCTGGATCTGCAGTAAATTATAAAAAGCCGTTAAAAAGCGTCAGTTAAGATAAAGATTATATATCCATCTTAAGTTATCATTTTTTGAATGAATACTCCATTTTTATTTTAAATAGAAGAATTGACAGAAAATTAGCTAATTAACTGAAAATAATCAAATTTTAAGAAAAATCTCTAAGAACCTAAAACAAGTCCAAAAAGGTCATAATAAGTTCAAAGTACGTTTTAGGTTTTAAAAAGCCGAAATAGGCTTTTAAGGCTTTTCTGTTCGCAGAAATAGTTATTTATACTGTAAAATTTTAGGGTCAAACCTAAAAAAGAAATTTTTTAGCTTATTGTACCTAGACAATCCTCTCTCATCCTTCAATAAGTAAAGATCCCTTCGAATGTGCAAGCTGTGCAAACATTGAAGACCGCTCCCGTTGCAAAAATGTTTCAAGGCACAAATTTGGCCATTCCCATGGCTAGCTTGAACAAAAATTGAAAAAAAAGTCATGCAAAAATGGGCAAACAAATTTTTAAGTCATTCAAATCGAGAGAGAGGAAATATTATTTAGTAATTTATTTTAAAAAATAGGAAAATTAAATGAGGAAAATTGAAAGAGAGAGTAAATAAAAATTTAGAAAAATATATGTATTATATTTATTTGAGTGTAAATTATGTAATTGCTTTAATATACCTAATTCAAAATTTGTAATTTACAATCCTGATTTCATAAAAAATATAAACTTTAGAAATTGGATTAGGAAATTGAATCCGGGAATTTTATTTAATTTTTACACCATTGACAAAACGGAACTGTTTCCTAAAAGGAATTTTTAACTGATAAAATCAGTAATTTGCACTTAATCCTGTCTCATTTTATTGTCCACTACTGTATTTACTTAAAATTTCAAAGGAGATTTATTTTTTAAATTGTAAATTTGCGCATTTTTGGCATAAAGTATTTTAGCGAAAAGTCATAAAAGAAAAATCTTTTTGATCAATAATTTTGTTTATTTATATTTGCCTAAATTTATTTTTTTAGCTTAATAAAATAAAAAAACGTTTATGAAGACAAATCTGTGTAACGATTATTTTCCTCGACGTCTACGGCCTAATTTCTCATTGAGTGGTTATTCCAGATTTTAATTATTTTAAATAATTTTGTTTTTTAGGTGTTCCGATTCCAAAGGAATTAAAAAGAGATCATGGATTTGCTCATCTTCCAAATAAATTTAACATTTTAATGACTTTATTTAATGAAACTGAAAAGGTTTTTTAGCTTTTATGGATATTTTTTGCTTTTTTTAAAGATTCTTCAGGCTGCTCATGGACGTGATCAACGTAAAACTTTTGATGAATTGTCTGCAAATGTTGAGAAAAATACCAAAAAGTATTTTAAATTGTTGATTAATATTGAAGTTTTTTTTAGAAAATTCACAGAAAAACATTTGGCACAGATTGTTTCCTTATATCCAACAGCCTATACACTTCGTTGGGAACGTGCAAGGGATAGACGTGCAATTCAATTAGGTCTTTGGGAATTAGTTATACAGCCAAATTTGATTGGAAATAAAGGTTTAAATTGAATATTTTTAAAGGATTTTTAAAATTATTTTAAAAGATTTATCTCCATTTGTGGACAGTTTTTTGGCTTCAATTTCTTCACTTCCAAATACTCCACTTTTAAATAGTCCAAATAAATTTGGAGAAGACGATAATAACAAATGGGCGATGCCAAATAGTGTGTCTTCTTCCCCTAATAAACGTCCTCCTTCACTTACTCCCGTAAAACTAATTTCACCACTTAAAAGTCCAGCAAGAAAAGATTGCAATATTTTCTCTCCAAAAAAGCCAAGAAATGCTGTTATTTTTAGGTTTTCTTTTTTTAATTTTAATTATTTAATATTCCTATTTAGTTCTCCAATTCCTGATACGCGTGTTAAAATGGATGCAAATCGATTAAAATGGAGGAAATTGATTTTTCGTCATTCGCTAGTTGCTAAAGTACGGGAGGCACATTCAAAATTTTTAGAAGAAAAAAAATGTTTTTATTTTATATTTTTATTAAAAATTTAAAAGAAATTTTTAGTTGAATTTGATGATAATCAGAATTTACATCCAGAATTTAAAAAGTCAATAAATGAATTAGTTGGTGATGTTTTGACAGATGGGGCTATTCCAAGTCGTCCAAAATCTTGTGGAGCAAATTTACAAACAACTGATATTCGAATGTTTCTTAAGGTTTTTAAAAATATTTTTGGCATTTGTAAAGTTTAAGGGTGTTTTCTACTAGCAATTTATTGGTAACTTTTTTCTAATATTAAGGTCTTTTACTCTTTCTCATTTAGAATTTTTCCCTTAGATTTTTTTGAGATTTGTTCTGATTTTGAAACAAATAGGAGTCGGAGTATGACAAGCACATATTAATTTACCATATAAAATTTTCGACAATGTTTAACATACCTCAAAGTGCTTCACTAAACAAAAACATTTGTGATACTGAAATGAGTAAAGAAAATAAAAAATTTACTAAGAAATCCTCGTTAGAAAAATTGCCACAGAAAATACCTTTTTACATGAGCCAATGTTTTTTAATAAATAATATTTTTCCTTTTAGAGTGTTAAAAAAGAAACAAAAATTGAAAGAGAGAAAACGCCTGAACGGCCGAATCAAGAACAAAAAATTGAAGGGCCTCCAACTCTTTTAAAAAAACTAACAGTTTCTTCAGCCCCACAAACACCTAAACAAAATGATGATTCTAAATCACTCCCTCCAATGACTCCAATACAAGAAAGGGTTTTTATAATTAAATTTTTAGAAGTTAAAAATTGTGTAATAGTTGAGAGCAAAATTTACTGCAAATGAAAAGGCTCAAAAAGGGGGACTGTCAATAATGGAAAAACGCCGGGCATTACTTAATCGACTTGACAAATCTATTTTAGAGGTAAATACAATTCTATTTTGATGGTATTTTATATATTATTTTCTTAAAAAGGTGATTAGAGCACATTTAAATTTGGAACAAAGATTTAGTGTTGGATTATCTGAGAAAAGTTTATTGCAAAAACTTGGAAAAGAAATTACATCAGGTATTTATTTTTAATTATTGAAAAATTGGAGATTGGTTGACACATATTTTGAAAGTCGTACTTGCACAATTATTTGCATCTATTTTCTCGTAAACTTTTACTTGAGTGCAAACCTTGTAGTTTTCGAAGTTTTATTAATTAAAAAATAATTTTTAAAGCCTCTCTTCTCGAACATTTGCAACTTGTTTGTGATTTGATCCCTCAAGAACCAAAAATTTGTTGGCTTGAAACTTTAATCTCAACAGAAAATGACCAAAAGAAGGAATCAAATTATTTCAAAATTTCTCAAGAATTGGGTCCAGAATGGGTAAATATAGCTTTTGATGTTGTAAGAAAGGAATTGGGACTACTTGAAATGAAAATGCGGGCATTACGTCGATCGCCATCTTCTTGCTTTTAATTTTTGGAGATTATTATTTTTTGATTTTAAAAGTGCCACTTAATTTATTTTTTATTCCTAAATGAATCTGTCGCTTTACTAACTAGAATGCATAAAATTTGAACGCTTGAAAAATTATAGCTCATGCCAAAAAGATCACGGGGCTTACAAATAGTCAAAAATGACTAAAGTAATCGTTATTTAAGGAATCCGAGGACAAAATTGGTAGAAATCTGGCGTATAGCCCTACAAAAATTAACAAAATTTTCTCTGTATCCGGAGTCCATATCCCGGTATCCTTTCAAATCCGCTGATATCCCTTTATCCTCCGATATCTCCACAACTCATCTGACATCCTCCTTAATCCCATGTTATCTCTTTAACTCTTCTTGGTCTCTCCAAATCCGTTGATATTCTCCGTAATTTCCCTTTAATTATCCATTCAAACCCTTATATGTATAACAAAATCGATGACTCGGCGACATTTAGTGATACTTCAATTTTTAATTTAAAAATGGCTAATATTTGGTGCGGACATAATTACTTGCCTTTTTTATCAATAAAACAATAATCAAAAACGGCAAGTAATTATGTCCGCACCTAATAATTGATAAAAAAAATTTTCCCATCTTTGCTAATTAGAGGTTTTTTAAACCAGTTTATCTTAACTCACATGTAAACCCAGTATTTACGAGAAAAATCTAGTTTTACTGAAAATCAATTTATTTCTGGTAGCATATACACAAAACACAATATATACATACAATAGTGGGATAAATCAAAATAAATTTGCAATTTCTAGCAATGAACAAAAGAAAAGGATTATATTTATTTGGGTTATAAGGATGTTTAATTTCATTGTCTTCATCCTTCTCAGCATCATATTAGCGTTCTCCTTCAGATCATTATCCCTTCTTCTGGAACACCTTGTCTGTGCTCATGTTCGCCAATGTCTGATATTCATTGGGAGCTGAAAAAGTTAAAAATATTTTCGAATTTTAAAAAGATTTTTGGTTATACCTGCCATTGACTTCTTTTGTTCTTCGGCCTTTTTTTCATCGGCTATCTTACTCTTCATGATGCTCTTTTCTGTATCATCATCATCCTCATCCTTTCCGTCTTCCTTTCCAGCTCCCTTTTCACCGTCCATTTCGACAGTGCTCTTTGTCTTAGGTAAATCAACATTTTCATAGACGGAATCAGAGGTTTTATTTGTCGTGTCAAGATCGTAGAACGATGCAGAAGTCTTTTGTCCAACTAAAAATATAGTATGCAAGTTATAGTATTGAAGATTCTATTAGAAAAAGTTTTAGTTTACCTTTAGACTTATCGTCTGGTGCCTCAGTCGAGTTTGGATTTGCCGTCATCGCTGCCACAGACATCATATCAGCTGGAGTAAGAATGACCGTTGGAGTGCCGTCGTCATATTTGCTGGGTGCACTCATTGGATTTACTTCGGGTTTTGCTTTCTCAGTTCCAACATTGACCAGCTTCGTCTTCTCTTCTTTTTTAGGCTTTTCCAATGCAACAGCAGTGACTTCATTTTTCTTTGCTGCTGCTGTAACAGCTCCAGCCTTTGTTCTGACCGCAGCTGTCTTTGTACTCGCACCCTGTTTGATGTTTGGTTTCGACTTGGTTTTTTCTGGAGGAAACGCAGTGGCGAGCGATGGCCCAGCAGCTGCCGTAGGAGTTGGAGCTTGCACTGGTTTCTCAGGCTTTTTCTCCTTCTTGACCGCTCCATCAGGACTTGGCTTTTTCCCTCCACCGCCTTTTGCCTTAGATTTCCCAGCATCCAACGGCGATTTCGCACCAGCCTCTATAGTCGCAGCATCCTTTGCCTTCTTTTTGCAGCATTGTATAAGCAGAACAGAAGGAAGTAGAAATGCCAACATAGCAACAAATGGCAGAACCAGCATTCTTGAGTGAAGTGGCAACGCCTAAAGTTTAATTACATGTAGTACAATTAAAGGAAGAAAAAAAATAAAAGATAATAGACCTTAAGTGAAGAGACAACGCAGTAGAATTGTATCGGGTATTGAAGGACGAGTAATTTTTACCTTTTATAGACCACTACTGTAGCTTCAAACCGTCGGAATTGGTTACCAAGATTTTTAAGAACTTTTTGAATTTTTATTTTTTGTCTTTTCTTTTTTTGATCTATTTTCCAAAGTTTCTTTATTTGTCCTTTTGCTTTTAAATTTTCTAATTTAATTACTTTTTTAGACAGCAGCTATTTTTTTATTATAACTTTCTTTAACCCAATTTCGCTATAACAGTACAAAAATGTCTTACCACAATGTGAGTAATTTATTAATTTCTTAAAACATGTCTAAAATTATAAAAAAATATTTTTTTTAAGTTGGTGGAAAGTCAGAGAGAATATTTTCGCACGGGAAAACCTGCTGAAATTGACCATCGAAAAGCTGAATTGAAACGTTTACGGCATTTAATTTTGGACAACAAAGATCAACTTTGCGAGGCAGTTTATAAAGACTTAAAGAGACAACAAGATGCTAATTATTTCTATGAATTGGCTTCTGTCGTTACAGAAATTGACTATGTGTTGGAGAATTTGCATGTTTGTTGATTTTTTTTGACTATTTCTAATATTATTCAAAATTCTATTTTAGAAGTGGACAGAACCTACAACTGCTGAAAAAACTCTCGCAACAATTTTGGATAAGCCTTATATTGTTCGTGAGCCGAAGGTTTTATTTGTCTTTTTGACTTTAAAGTTTGTTTTTAGGGAGTTGTTCTTATAATTGGACCTTGGAATTATCCATTGAATACTCTACTAATGCCGCTTGTTGATGTTATTGCTGCAGGTCTTCTAATTTTTTAAAGTATATTTATTCCAATTTTACTCTTTTAGGGAACACGGCAGTCCTTAAGCCCTCTGAAATTGCCTCGAACACGGCAAAAGCTGTTGATAAGCTTTTTACCGACATTTTTGATAAGGTTTTTATATTTTCTTAAAATTTTTTACCCAATAAATTTAGCGTGTCGTGCTTGTTGTTCAAGGAGGCATTGAGGAGACGACAGAGCTTTTGAAGGAACGTTTTGACCATATTGTTTTTACTGGCTCAACTAGCGTCGCGCGGATTATAATGGCTGCAGCATCTAAACATCTGACTCCTTGCACTCTCGAATTGGGTGGCAAATCGTAAGTTTTGAAATTATTTTTAAATTTCTAAAAAATATTGAATATTTTTTCAGTCCTGTGATTGTTGAACCAGACGCTGATATTTCAGTTACAGCAAGTCGACTTGCCTGGGGGAAATGGTTAAATTGTGGGCAAACTTGCTTGGCACCAGATTATGTTATCGTTCAACCAGAGACTAAAGATAAATTGGTTGCAGCATTAAAAACTACTTTATATGACTTTTATGGAGAGAAGCCATCGGAGAGTAAAGATTATAGCCGAATAATTAATAAGGACAATTTCAAGTAATTTTTATTTTAATTTTTTAAAATATTTTTTTAGTCGTTTGGAATCTCTTTTGAGCCAAAGTCCTAACATTTTATATAAGGCTGGGCAATTGGATGAGAATGATTTATTTATTCCACCAATTATTTTGGATGCCAATTTTAATGACCCTATTATGCAATCCGAGGTTTTTAAATATTTTTCTTTACAAAAAAGATTTTTAAAAATTTCCAGATTTTTGGTCCAATACTTCCAATAATCACTGTACGTTCATTTAATGAAGCAATTGAAAACATTAAAAGAGGGGAAAAGCCATTAGCCGCTTATTTGTTTACAAAAGACGAATCCAAAGTTAAACGACTTGTCAGCGAGACTAGTTCTGGCTCTGTTTGTATCAACGATGTTGTGCTACAAATAACTGGTTTTTTAAATTTTTATGAAATACAATTTTATTTAACTTTTAGTTGACACACTTCCATTTGGAGGAATTGGCAATAGTGGAATGGGACGTTATAGAGGCAAATTTGGATTTGACGAATTTACACATGAAAAGGCAGTACTGAAGCGTGGTTTCTTTGGCGATTCTTTGGCTTCGTAAGTTGATATATTCTATTAAAAATGGGGAACTTTCAAATAAAAAATTACGTGTATTAGAATAATATTTTGAATTATTTTTTGCAAAAACGAAGATTTTTCCTTCCGGGTTATGAAACTTTAATTTTATTATGTTTATTTAAATAAAAACGAATTCAATTTTAGTAGTCGATATCCGCCTCTGACATCTGAAAAGATGCGAAGTCTGCAACGTCTGACAGGAAAACGTCACAAAATGCCTAGTTTTTTGCGATTTTTGCCTGGTGTATCTTTTGTCTTTATCGGTATTTTGATTGGTTTTATCGTCCGATCAGCTTCTAGCTCCTCTTAATTTATTATTCTCTAATTTTTGTGCCTGAAAATATTTTATTTAAACAAAACATATATTTGCCTTTTAAATATTTTGTTTCCTTCCCCTCATCTGTACTCTCGGTTTACCTTCATATTTGAGCCATTTATTTCGACGATTCTATATATTTTTTAGATAAATAAACGATAAAATTTATTTTATTTACTGCGATGCAGTGACAAAAATATATAACATAAAGCACAAAAAGAATAAAATTTCGAGAATTGGTTAGGGATTTCTATAAGGGTTTGATTTAGTTGTAACAGGAAAGAACTAAGAATTTTAGCTCTCAATCTACATCAGTGATGGGAGAGTTTAGAATTTAAATGAAATAAAAAAGTTCTATTCCGTAACGAAGCGAAATGAAACGAAATTGAATAAGTGTCGAAATAGCAAAACGAAATGTATGTATTTCGTTTCACTTTATATCCTCACACGTAAACATTAAATTTTTTTCTCATTTAATCTTCTGACTTCTTGCATTTTATTATTTTAAAAAGTGCGTTTGGTGAGAGTATTAATATTTTGGAAGGAATCCATCATAGCAATCTTGAGTTATTTCGTTCCTAGTTCCATTCTCGGGGGTTAAAATAACGGAAATATATTTTACTTGACTTTTTCTGTCGAGAATTTTTCTTCGTTTCCTTTTTATGTTTTTCCTTAATTTGTTTTTATTCTTCTCGCCTTTTTTTGTTTATGCCCATTCAATCGTGCCAAATTAAACTCTGATAAAAAAAGAGAAGCTAATGGATTGCTTAAATTGATTCAGACTTTCTTTTTTGGAAATTTTTTACTTTTCTTCGAAAAATAATTATTATTAAACTTCTTACAAAAAAAAACAAAAAAAATTTTTTAATTTTTATTTTTTTACTTATTTTTAGTGCCAAATTTTATATATTTTTGGGAAAAACTAACAAAATACTTCTTAAAAACAAATTATTTGATGAGACGAATTGTTTTTAACGCCCCTATAAAAATTACTTTTTCTTAAAGCTCTCTTTAAAGAAAATCCCCCTTTCCCCTTTTCATTCCCCTTATTTTCATCTTTTTGCCTTTTAAAATAGCCACAGGCATTGTCACTTTTTTTTATTTAATTCATTCTTTTGTTTTTAACTTTGGAAACGTTGAGAAAATAAAAGCTCGAAATTTGAACTGCTTTTAACTAAAAGGAAATTTAGAAAGTATTTTTCCTTTAAATCTTTAATGGACAGAACGCATCTTCAGTCAAGTGCTTCTTATCATGGAAGGGAAGTATATTTATTTTTTGTAAAATATAAATTTTTTTCGGAAAAAATAAATACCTCAAATTCGAGTTAAAAATATTTTTATCGAAATTGGGATAAAAATTTCTCTCGCTGATGAGCTATAAAATATCCAAGGTCGTGACCTGCGGAACAAAAGTTGAGGACTAAGGACCTGATTTTTGCTTACCCAAAGTTTGGGCTCTGGTAGATTTATCATGATTCCGTGCCGGATTCAAGATTTTCGGATTTTTCAAAAAAAGATTTATCAATATTTTGTAATAAATTATTTCATAATTTCAATGAGTGAAAAAATTCTTTAAAGAAATAATTTAGATAGACATTTCATAAGGCCAAGAAGCAGAATTCATCCCATTTAAGGTTACCTCCGAGGTTTAAAATCGAAAATATCCAAAAAAGGATTAAGAGAAATTAAGGTTTAAAAGAAATTTTCGGGTTGAGTTTCTGGGCAAAAGCAAAAAGAAGGGAGAAAGAATTTCAATGCCTGAGCTGATTCAATTTGTCATTTTCCTTTTATTTTCTCTTTTTTTTACTCAGTAACGTGTTTAATCCCCGCTCGACATGCTACCCTTTTGTGCTTTTTGCTTTTGGCCAAAAGAAGAGCAAAAAAAGTAAATAAGGTACATATAACTCTTTTAGCTTTTTCTATTCACTAATTTGAGCTCAGTAGAGATGAGATTACTCCTTTACAATTTCTGTCTATAAATCAAATTTTGCTGCATGAGTGAATCTGTCATTTATTTTAAGTTGTTTAATTTAAAATTTTATTGATTTTGTAGATCAATTTTATTTTAATTTTGAAAAGAAGGTATATCTTAATGGGTCTATTAGCCAAAAATTATGTAATGTCGTTATGAAATAAAAAATATTTTGTTAGTTTTTTGTTGCTTCTAAATTTTTAAAAAAATTCAAATAGTTAAAGAAAATATATTTTAATTTAAAAACTTAAATTACATATTTTTAACTTTAAAGTGACAAAATTTAATAAATAAATTTTATTTGAAAGAAATTTAAATTTAAAATTTTAAAAACATCATCATTCATCACTAAAATATTTGTTTAATTTATATTTCAAAAAATTACTTTTCCAAAATTAAAAATATTTCTTTTTATTTCTTCCTTCACTCTTTTTAAATAAATAAAAAAATATTTCATTATTCTCGTAAAATATTTATATTAAATTAAATGTGCCGTTAAAAGTAAAAGTATTTATTATTTTTAAACAAATTTATTTTAATATTACTTTTATATAGTACATACAGTAGAACATACCTTTTAACGATTATATACTAGTGACCGGCGCCTGGCCGGATCCGACCGGATTTTTTTGGAGTTCGGGTCCCAAATCCGGGTTTTTACGATCTCCGGATTTTTTCCTTCGGAGACGGGTACAACCCTATTATTTAATGTTATATACGCCATTTAAAAATGACGAAGTTATCTACTATTTATTTTTAATTTAAATATACATACATATTATTAAAAATACAAAATTTATTTAAGTAAATTTTTAATTATTTAGAAAAAATTTATAAAATCATAAATCTTTAATTTTTTCTTCAGCAAATGTTTCATTTTTCATTTTCTTCAAATAACCAATTTATATTTCCTTTTATTTTTTTTAATTTCATCAGAAATAAAACACATTTTTTATTATTCATTAAATTAATTTTATTTGATATATTTTTTAATTAAATAAAATATATCAGGGATCCTGCCGTCAGAGACCCCATTCACGATTTTCGTGAATTGTGAAATATTTGAGACATTTAAGTTTTGTATTTCCCCTATTAATTGCAAATATCGTAATATTTGAATTTGTTTTTCAGGGATTTTATCTCCACCATTAATTCTTCTATAAAAAATTTATTTAATAAAAATGTTTTTCTCTTTAAAAACAACTTTTAAAAATTATTTAAATATTAAATTAATTTTATTTTTATTAATTTATTCATCTAATGGATATATAGATGAAGGTTATTTAAACAAAAGATTATTAATTGGTGGAAGGAATGAAGGACAACAACAACAACAAATATCTTTATCTTCCTCCCAGATTCAGAATTATTATAAAAGTAGAAGTCCATTTTATGGAGATGGTTAGTTAATTAATTAAAGATAATTTTAAAAATTATTTTTGTGAAAATCTGGGTAATATTTTGGGTTAGATCCCCCCTCTATTTTTTCTGTTTCCCTTAACATTTTGAGCTTATTTGTTTGATCTATTTTTTTCGAGCTGGGTTGAATGATAACAAGTTCGGCTAGATTTGTTGATTCCTATCAAAATTATGAAGCTAAATCCACGCTGGAAAAACGTTCTTTTGTCAATTCAAGGGATTAAAACAACGGTCATAACTTTGTTGTTTAAATCAGATTTCGTTTATTTTAGTACTATAAGTATCATTCGTCACACAAAGCTCGAAAAAAAACTCCCAAATGGAGCGGGAAAGATAGATTGTTTATACCTAAGTATCTGGAGGTGTAAAGAAGTTTCCCAATTTATTAATACTATAAAATGTATATATTTTTAAATCAAAAAGTTTTTTTTACTGATAGAATATTTTTTTAATAAATTACTTGTAAAGAATTCTCGAAACTAGTTCCACCCGATAGTTGGAGTGGGTGACTGTTGAAAGTATTACTAAAAAAAATTAAATATTTATTTAGTCCACAATTTAAATAAAAAGATTTTCTTTTTTACTTCCCCCGACAATTAATTTGTGACAAAAAAAGATAAAAAAGAAGTAACAAAATAAACGTTGCGCGATTAAAATAGTAAAAGGGGTTTCCTGTATGTGAAACCATTCAAGCATTTTTAACAGTTTTCCCCGCCTTTCTCTCTTACTTCCCCTCTATTAAAAGAATTAAATGTGCCTTTAGCTATCAACAACAACGGCAACGCTCCATCTCTATATTTTACATTTATTTGGCATTTAATAAAAGAAAATTGCATTTAGCAATAAAAATAGTTTTTTAAATTTAATTTTTTAAAAATATTTTTTTTACTTTTTTAAAAATAAAAATATTAGAAATTTTTGATTTAACAGAGACTATAATTAATTAATTAAATTATAAGCATTTTCTTTTAATAATTTAGAATACCTATTAAAATTTAACAAAAGTAGTTTATTTTTTATATAATTTTATAAGTAAAATCGTTATACCAAATTACTGTTTAATTAAAGTTTTTTTTGGTTAAAATGGTTTTGAAAAGTATTTATTTCAAACAAAAAATAAATTATTTAATTAAAAATTTAAATTTATTTTTTACTGTGTTTCTGACATTTTCAACAAAATAAATATTTAATATAAGGAGTGAATGTCCATTTTCAAAAAACTTTAATATATTCTCTCCTTTTTTTGGTTATTTGTCCACTAACAACAACTATCTATATATCCCCCAACACTCCTTATGTCATCCTCCTTCCCCTCTTGGGCTCAATAGCGACAAGGACATAATCCGTTTGTGAGTAAAGAGGGGAAGGGGGAGTGAAAGTATTTGTAGTGGTTTTGACTGACTTTTATATTATTTACATAAGATTGTCGTCACCAACTATTTTTTGCTTTAAAATATTAAAAATCTTTTTTTTTTGTTAAAAGATTTTTTTTATTTTTATGAAAGATTTTAACTTTAATTAGTAAATTAGTAGGTATATTAATTAAAAATTGCTAATTAATTTGATCTTCCACTTTGTAGGGGAAGAAGGAGAATTAATTTTT